GCCTCCCACCGCGAGCGGAGGGAGGGGATGAAGAGTTTTCACGGCTGTATGTGTTGGCCTCGTCATCATAATTATCCTCCGCAGCATCATCATCCTCGGCATCTGAATCTGCAGACGCGCCATCATATGAGTCGTCCGCGGCATCGGGTTCGGGGGAGGACTCGGAGACGGGATGTGAATCAATGAGCTCGGACGGGCTGCGTTCTCGTGGCGCTACCGAATTGCCTTCGCCATGGCTATCATCCGCGACGGGCAAATCAAGAAACGCGTTAGACATCGTTGTGGTGGAAGGAGGTTCTTGAGCAGATGGGATCACCATGCCAGAGGCTATAACCGAGGGGCAGTCAGCATTGAAGCTCAATTCGGGCTAGGACAGGCATGAGAGAGGCAAAGATGGGTAAAACAAGGTCACGCGATCCAGATTGCGGTCAAATGGAGCTATAAACCCAGTAGAATAGGCCAGGATATTAGGTTTGATGGAAGGGTATGTTTTTTTGATGACGGGTGGGATGGACGTGGCCGGGCGTGAAGAGAAGGCAATGACCAGGTTGGCACAGGCAATCAGACTCGGTGATAGCAGTGACACATTGCTCGCAAGGCCGCAGTCCATCAAGAAATGGATCGGAGTAGAAATGAGGTATTCAAGGATTCGTGCAGTGGGTCGAAGAGCGCGGAGATGTACCGCGGCGAACGATTCGGGCGACAACTCTGAGATCAAGAAAAAGATAAAATCACTTACACTCCATAGCGTGGTGACCCCGAAAGCGGGGGATCGGGAGATCAATGTGGAAAAGAAAATGGTGGGTGGGGGAGAAGCGTTGGCTGGTATGGGGGAAGAGGAGACGAGACTTGGAAGAACAAGAGGATTGGGGACTGGAGGGTTTGCTTGGTTTCAACGCCCGATCTCTCAGGCAGAGACAGGCCGCCCGATGTGGACTAGCGTGTTCGCTTGCCGCCGGCATCTCGCCGGATCACATGGCACAGGGTCAAAAGTTACTCCGGGGCGAGTCCAACAGCCAATCACCGCCTTGATAAATAAGTGACGCAGTTGGGGCCTGAGGCACTCCAGCCCACAATACGAAAGAGAATGCATTCAATTCTGCCGCCCCTCGTTCATTGATAGTGTGTTCTGTCCTCTTTACAAAGTCGAGTCTGCGCGGACATCTGGTGCTTTTCTGCGCCCTTACATACCTGCGACAGCACTTTTCGGCCTAATCCATCGCAACCCCCTGCGTCCACTTTGGGCTCATTCTTTTTTATCTTTCTCATACCTCGTCCAGGTTCTTTGAACCGCATCCGCCACCATGTCTGACAAGCTTACGCGGTATGTTTCGGCAGCTCCTGAGTCCTATATACGTTGCTAACGTGTTTTTCTCTCTATAGTATTGCGATTGTCAACAGTGACAAGGTTCGTCGAGAAATACCCCCACTAATACCGTTTTCTCTCCGGTTCGCGACAGCCTGGCTCACATCAGTTCTTTTCAACTCTACAGTGCAAACCGAAGGTACGCGACTCCCCATAATGTTCTCATGGTTATATCAGGGGCTGATCAGTTGCAGAAATGTCGTCAAGAGTGCAAGAAGTCGTGTCCCGTGGTCCGCACAGGAAAGCTTTGCATTGAGGTCGACCCTACCTCCAAGATCGCCTTCATCTCCGAGCGACTGTGTATTGGTTGTGGTATCTGTCCCAAGAAGTGCCCCTTCGGTGCCATTCACATTATCAACTTGCCCACCAACCTCGAGACCCAAGTCACCCACCGTTACTCGGCCAACAGCTTCAAGCTTCACCGTCTTCCCATGCCCCGCCCCGGTCAGGTCCTCGGTCTGGTCGGAACCAACGGTATCGGAAAGAGTACCGCTTTGAAAATTCTGAGTGGCAAGCTCAAGCCTAACCTGGGTCGATACGAAAACCCTCCCGACTGGGAAGAGATTTTGAAGTACTTCCGCGGTTCCGAACTGCAGAGTAAGCGCCAGCCAGAGACAATTGAAGGATATCACAGAAGCTGACTTTAGTAGACTACTTCACCAAGGTTCTTGAGGACAACCTGAAGGCTGTCGTTAAGCCTCAGTATGTCGACCAGATTCCCCGCGCCGTGAAGGGCCCTATCCAGCAGGTCTCCCAGCTCATCGAGGCTCGTGCCCAACTCGATAACAAGGACGAGATCATGGACGTTCTCGGTGCGTTACGTTTCCTACTTCAATGCATTGTAGAAACTCGCTAATATTTGCCCAGAGCTGCGCCAGGTTGCCGAGCGTGATATTGGTCACCTTTCCGGTGGTGAGCTTCAGCGTTTTGCCATTGGTCTGGTTTGTGTGCAGAAGGCCGACGTGTAGGTTTTTCCATGCATGGTGTCCAGGTCCATTGCTAATACTAGTATAGGTACATGTTCGACGAGCCTTCCTCATATCTCGATGTTAAGCAGCGTTTGGCTGCTGCCCGCACTATTCGTGGCCTTCTCCGTCCCGACGACTACGTCATTGTTGTTGAGCACGATTTGTCTGTGCTTGACTACCTCTCCGACTTCATTTGCGTGCTTTACGGTCGCCCTGCTGTTTACGGTGTTGTGACTCTGCCTTCCTCCGTCCGTGAGGGTATCAACATCTTCTTGGATGGTCACATTCCCACCGAGAACTTGCGTTTCCGTGAGGAGTCTCTCACTTTCCGTCTTGCTGAGGCTGGTGAGGACTTCATTGTGGACAAGGACCGCGCTTTCTCCTACCCGGCCATGGAGAAGACCCTCGGTGGCTTCCACCTCAAGGTTGAACCCGGAAAGTTCACCGACTCTGAGATCGTTGTCATGATGGGTGAGAACGGAACCGGAAAGACTACTTTCTGTAGAATGCTTGCTGGTGCCGAGAAGCCCGACGGTCTCGTCTCCGTCCCCAAGATGAACATCAGTATGAAGCCTCAGAAGATTACCCCCAAGTTCCAGGGTACCGTCCGCCAGCTGTTCTTCAAGCGTATCAAGGCCGCTTTCCTGTCTCCCCAGTTCCAGACCGATGTCTACAAGCCTCTCAAGATGGACGACTTTATTGACCAGGAAGTCCAGAACCTGTCTGGTGGTGAATTGCAGCGTGTCGCCATTGTCCTGGCCCTGGGTATGCCCGCTGATATCTACCTGATTGACGAGCCTAGTGCCTACCTGGACTCCGAGCAACGTATTGTCGCCGCCCGTGTCATCAAGCGTTTCATCATGCACACCAAGAAGACCGCCTTCATCGTCGAGCACGATTTCATCATGGCCACCTACCTTGCTGACCGTGTCATCGTCTTCGACGGAAAGCCATCCGTGGACGCTCGCGCCAACACCCCTGAGTCCCTTGTCACTGGCTGCAACCGCTTCTTGAAGAGCCTGGACGTCACCTTCCGTCGTGACCCCAACAGCTACCGCCCCCGTATCAACAAGTACCAGAGTCAAATGGACCAGGAGCAGAAGTTGGCTGGTAACTTCTACTTCTTGGAGGAAGAGGCCTGAAAAGGGCGTCTACAACGAGCAACGTCGCCGCCGTCACAAAATTGATGGCCGCGACCCTGAGCAGCGGCGAAATTGGCGCCGCGGCAACAGGAAGATCATGTGGTTAATGGCGTTCCCAGGCGTTTACAGAGCCTCGGCGGTTCAAGGCAAGGGACTGCATCGCTGCGCCGGGTCCTTTCCAGGTGACGACGATAGTCCCTCGGACGAGGATGGCGATGGCAATGACGATTTAAATGGCAGCAACGACTACGGCTAGCGAAGGGAGGTGACCCGGTTCGGTTCACTTTAACCATTCCCTGGTCTAGTACGCTCATTTATTTTAGCGACCTGCTGCCATTCGTCAATCCATCATCAAATGCCTATGTCGTTATTCGCCTTGCAACTACCTTCACTGCTCTGGATTTGTTCGACATATCCAGGGTCATTGGCCACCGAACGGGAACACTTGTCTGCAGATCTTTCACTTTCACACCTTTTCATTTTTTGATGGTGAATTGGGATCGGCATGGTTTGTTCCAACGGAGTAATTATACATAAGGTTGGAGGGTTTGGGTTTTCAAAAGTTCTTCAAACTTTTAGCATCGGTTTAAAGATGGATTTTTCGAACTGGATTGGTCCTTCTAGACCGGGAATGGCATGGGCTGAACTGCTAGCTTTCTTGCCTCTATGTTTAGATGGTTTTGACCTGCTTGCAGATGCTTAGAAATGCTATTTTCTATTTCATCTTCAACCCGAGCTATTTTTCCAAAGTGCTGTTACATCTCACGTGAAAAGCATTGTTAGTTAGGGCCTAAAGTGCGTAAATATATATTTCCAAGACGCGAAGCGGTTTTGGATCTAGAGTTATATGCGAGGGCTAATGGAAGAAAATATGAACAGGTAAGCCAGTAAATGATAATTAAGAGCCCAAAATTCAAAATAAATACACGTATACCTGATATGTCTAAATTATAGAGATCTGATATAATAAATTGCCAGTATGCGGAGGCAGACCCATGGCAAGACCGCCAAATCGAAGAGTATTAACACTAGCACTGGCTGCACCTACTGTACCAAGCGGGCCATGTTGAAGAACCATGTTGGAGACATAGCCGGGCGCAAGCACCTGCTTGAATCGAGCCTATAAGCAAAGAAAAATGGTGGGTGATAGGGGCATCTGTGAATATTATTTACCTTCAATGCTGCTCTGGTTCCATTTGTGTACATACAAACGGCCCTGTCCCCATATTACCCCACTGGGAGATTGATATACGCAATTAGGCAGCTAGAAATAACATTGAACATTGAACTTGCGTGTATTCAGCTTGTATCTTATCCGCCAGGAAGGAAAGGGAAAAGAGTTGGGGACTCTATTCCTTCTCAACTTCTCCTTCATTACTCGAGTGAATTGCGCTCTCATTCTGCCCTATATTCTGCTTCAAAAGAGTCAACAGTCTGAAAGAACATATAGCTTGGAACGTTGTTGATGTAACTTCGGCTTGGTATCCTATCTTTCAAACGAGAGAGAGAAAAGAACCGAGCACTCTATTCCTCCTCCTCAATTTCGCCTTCTTCGCTGCCAGAGTGAATAGCCTTCTCATCCTGCTTGGTATCTTGTTTTGTATCTTCTCCCTCTTCGGGAATGGCAGACTCTCGACGAGGAGCCCGCGAGCCCCTGCTGCGATCCCGCTCACGGCTATCACGACGATAACGCTTCGCAGACCGGCTGGCAACGCTTTCAGAATCACTGTCGCGCCGGCGCCGACGGTCTCCACTGGCCACACTGCGGGTATCACCGCCGCCACCGTAGTCAAGCTCATCACGGCTGCCACGGGGGTCACCACGGGTACGGTAAAGACGTTCGCGCTGGTCCTCGCGTGGGTCGGCATCCCGGGCAGAACGAGAACCACGATCGAAGTCGCGGTCCCGAGAACGGTAACGGTCACGGTCACTGCGCTCATCACGGCGGTCACGGGATGGGGAGATCCCACTGACCTTGCGGTAGGTTCGTTCACGGTCTGCTTGGGCCTTGCGGCGGTCTGCTTCGTATGCATCGAGTTCTGGGGTTCGGCTGACTCGTCCGCTGGGTCCCCGTCTTTCTCCTCGGCCGCTGCGGTAGTCACGATCGCGATCGTAATCCCGACGGCTTCCACGGCTTTGGGTGTGGGATTCACGGTCCTTCTCGGCGTCTTCGTCTCGTTCTTTCATACGGCGGATCGTCTTGTCAAAGGCAGCTTCCCGAAGTTCATCTGATTCAACCGCTTTGTATTCTTCGTATTTCTCAAGGCGTGGTTGGACTTCGCTCCAGGTGTCGGTTACCCGAACAGGCGGCTCCAGTCGCTTGATTCGAGAACGCAGGGCATCCGCGGCACGACGTTGGTGGCGATCTGCGGCATGCTTCTCTTCTTCATTACGCCGAGCTGCCTTATCCTGAATACGCTGGAAAATAAGACTGAGAATATCGGAGTCGATTTTAGAGGTGCGGCGGTCCGCAGTCATGATGGCATTGAATTCATCGAAAGACGTTTCAGTGGTGACTTCGTATCGTTTGTCCTGCATTTGTTAGCTTGACCAGTTCAATTGCGTAAAAAGATTCCTGACTCACATCGAGAACATCAAGTACATCGTTTCGGGGGCCACGCAGCGAGCGCTCCTCTTCTTCAACCATATCCCAGAAAAGATCAAGAGGCGTCGATCCAGGTTGTCCGAGAATGCCATGATATCTAGGATCATCCTGAATCAGTGGGCAGATATTCATCCACTTACTGCCGGCCTTGATCTTTCCCTGGGACCGGAGCTCCTTGAGCAATTCCAAGAACTGCTCTCGGGCCTTGCGCTCCTTTCGGGCTCTTGCTGCCTTGTGTTGCTGGCGAGCATCGTTGAATGCGCGTTCCAATGACTTGATGTGATTTTCGAAGGCGGTCAGAATATCAGACTTGCTCAGGGTCTTGAACTTATCATCGCTCTGAAACTTGTCGTCCGACTGAATGATAGCATGTGCCTCGGACCAACGTGTGTATGGCTCTAGGTCCAGCGAACCCAGGATGTTGACCAGCTCATCCATGGCGGCCTTGCGGGTGACAGCCTCCTGTTCGACGTGAGTCTTTTTGAGTTGAAGGATGTACTCCTCGAAGAGCTGGCGTCTTTCGCCTTCATCGTCGGTAGCCCGGAACGTGGTCTCGCCCTCAATGATAGGACGGATAGTCTTCCAGCGACTGTAGTGCTTGATCTCAGGATGCCGCTTCAGCATGGTATTGAAATCTGCGCGGAGCTTAGCGAATCTTTCTTTCGCTCGGTCCTTTTCCTGCATGCGAACCTCAACCGCGTATTTCTCAAATGCTGCCTTGCGGTCTCGCGGGTCTTTGAGAGCGCGGTATTGAGGGTCTTTGATGGTGGCGCGCATTGTCTCCTCCCACGTCCAATCGGGCTGCACATTGTGTCGCTTGAGCAGCTTCATGAATGCGCTCTCGGCTTCTTCGAGTGAATTGTAGTCAGGATCGGTCTGCGCCTTGAATTCTGGTGCGGCGACTGTGCCATTGTTGTCATAAGAGCCATATCCAATGCGCCGGTCGCCATATCCTCGATCGCCTCTGTCACCTCGGTCGAAGTCGTCGCGATCACGATGTTGAGATTGCGGAGGGTAGCTTGAGCCACCTGCGACAAACGATGAGCCGCTAAAGTATGGTTAGTGTGGATACTGGCAAGTTCAGGGGGTTACTTACGCGACTGGGGCTGCTGGAGGAGCCGGCGCTTGTGCAAGTGCATTCTTGTATTCCTCGGGAATGTCCCATCTACTCGCCTTGGTTTCCGTGTGGTACCAGTACTTGCGCCCGTCGGCTGCAGTGTGTTCCCTCCAAGGCTGGTTTTCCAGAGCAAGCTAAAGAAGAGTTAGCCCGGTTCAGAACAATTGGGTTTGGCACATACCTCAACCGCAGTCATCAATTCTTGCGGCTTTGTCCATTGTGTCGCCTTCGTCTGTACATTGTAATAATAGACGCGTCCATCTGTATTCCGCGCTTCCTGCCACAAGGCAGCTGAGGGGCCGTTGGGATTCATGGCGGTTGTTGGATTGAGAAAGAAGAGAAAACGGAGGATTGATGTAGCTCCGCGCGTTTGCATTGTTTGCACCGTACACTTATCGTTTATCTCCTGAGACTCGAACTCTCTTACTTGTCTACTTGTCTACATGCGACGTAGCAATGCCTGGCTTGGAGATCCCAGGTGAATTTCTACGCCATGCGATTCTCGACACAGTAGTCCCCCATGCGCCAGCACTCGACATCGAGGGGGCCCTGAGTTCGGCTCTAGAAGACGGAGCTGATGACCTCCCCTCTGTTTTGTCGTCAATTCCGCAGCGATCTCTCTTGTTTTTTGGTATGCTAGTCGCCAGTCCTCCTGAGCTTCGTCTTACTTATTAAAGTTCTATAGATGAATTTCTCCCCGTCCGTATCGTTCTGCGACTGTCCGATTGTTCAGAGACCATCCTGAAGCACTACCTACCTCGGCTCGAAGTCAGGCTCGACGTGTTTGCAGTCGACCCGGCCGAATCAGTTGCTGAGAATCCCACACCAACGCGGGATATCATATTCTCAGGGACAGTGCGCGGTGAAGATGATCCACTTGTTGTGTTCAATGAATTCGAGGGCGAGGAAGGCAGTGGTAACCATGTTTACTTGGTCTGGAACATTGATGCCACGCTCAGTGAGTTTGAGACCGTGACCCGACTGAGTAGTAGCTAACGAATGTAATGCAGAACGACCTCGTATCCGTATCCAACAACCGTCACTTTTGTTCATTGCCTCTGCTAGCCTAAATCCGTCTGATGGGTGTCGTCAGGAGGACTCACAGGATGACTATCTTCCCTCGCTCGTTGCGGCATCCACAAACATGCTCCAGCCTTTGTCTGGCGACAAATCAATCAGCCACAAAGAGCCTTTCCTTCCTGCATCCAGACTCTTAAGGGTTGTACCAACGACATACAACGAGGACCCAATATACAACATCCAACAACAACATGGCCACCCCTTTCGTGTTGTTCCTGCGGCGAGTGCAAGGATACGATATTCTCGACTCAATTCATACACTGGTCTTCCAACAACCATTGCCAGTCTCGATTTCGAAGTCACGCCGTTCTTGAGCAGCCAAGTCTCGTTTGACAAAGCAGAGCTTCACCTATCTGAAGGGACGATTGAGTCATTGTCTGACATACCAGGTCTTACTCTCCCATTAACATGCTACCCACGAGATGATGTGACCCTTATGTACAAACTCACGCCAGAGTATGGCCCTGAGACCAATCCCTCCTCCACTGCCATGTTCAGCATGCTAGATATCTCACTTGGGGCAACAATTATCGTGGACGATAACTGCAAACCGCGCATTTCTATGCAGTGGAAAACCAATGTCGACTTCTCCGTTGCCTTAAACCCTACTTATGGGGGTCCGAGTCCGGCGCTGCAAAGAAACAACCGCCCTACCAGTCTGTCGGTGTCAACCCAAGCCGGTGTACCACCTAATAACCGCAGCTCATTGCGAGAACGGGCGTACTCGGTCACCGATGTGGGTGTAACTATCTCATTCTCTGGGCCTACCCATGTGCAAGTGGGATCTGTTTTCTCCTGGGATGTGTTCATTGTCAATCGATCAAATGTGCCCCGCAAATTTGCTTTGATTGCGTTGCCACGGAGAAAACGCGTGGATCCGCGAGGACATGTTGCTCGACCTTCCTCGTCATCCATCACTAGCCGAAAGGAGGACCATGTGGCCGAGGCAGTGACCGACGACAATATCGTGCATGCCAGACAAAAGAGTGTAGCCGGTCAGGAAGTTGAGTTAATCAGCTTGAGCACGGATATCCGTGTAGGGTACGCACTCTATTCCAACCTTCTTTATCTCCACTAACATTTTCTAGTCCTCTCCTTCCGGGAACCTGTCACTCAACCGAACTCAAACTCCTACCTCTAGCTACGGGACCCCTTCACTTGGAAGCTGTCCGACTTATAGATGTGAGCACGAACGAAACGACCGATATCCGAGACCTCCCGGACATCCTGGCGGATGATCAGCTTCGCTCTAGTTGAGGGCATCCCTACACTGTATATAATACCCACAGAAATGAGCTACTCGATGAGTGATGCAAAGATAGAATCTATAAATCCTTATGAGACACGACGGGGGCAGCTGGCTGGCTGCTGACAATCAAACTGCGTGCTGACTACTTGTAACTAGTCATGACATTACACGAGATGCAAACCAATCCCTCAGTGCACGATTGATCATATATGGCACATTCCCATACGGTACCGTTGTCGTCCAAGGTTTATACAACTGTTCGCCAGGAATAATGTTGAACATGATTTGCACACAACGAGCTGATGATTGGTGGATCCCGCGGCAATGAGTTCCATATTGACCGTTTGACTCGTAGATTGACTTATGAACTAGGCTGTTGCTGAATTGAATCGACCTCAAAAGTCACGCGAGTGTATCAACACACAATTCATATAACCAGGATATGTCTCGAACCAACCCCAATCCCGCCACAATCCACCTCCTATCTCGGGATCAGAGTAAGAAGCTTCCCTTGCTCAGCAATCAAGTAAATCTCAATAGTAGACGTCAAGTTCTTTCCTCCAGACCCACCCCCAAGCACCTGCTCAGCAAAAACCCGCATCTGCAAAGTCATAAACAACTCTGGATAATACCGCTGGATATCCCTCTCCGAGACATCGACCACCGCGGTGCTCCAGTCATTGCCATCAGAAGCGAACAACATGCATTCAACGCCTTTTTCACTAGTCCACCATTTGGGCATCAACTCTCTATTCCTCTCAGCTTGTCGTAGGTACCGACCAAAATCCTCGATGCATGCATAGAGAAAGTCCTTGCAGTGGGGACGGTCATCCCCAACGCGGAGGCGGTAGGAGTCAATGAGCAGCTTGAAGACGTCTCTCTCAGTCCGGCCGTGTAGCCACGTGTTGGAGCGAAGTTGGTGGAAGGGCATGGCAATTTCATTATCTAGGACTTCGAATTTGTCGGTTGCGAGTCTGCGATTGCTCTCCGAGGGCTTTTCGTCACTGGGAGAACTGGTCAAGGCGGCGGCGGCTGCTGCGACTGCTCCTGCAATTGCCTTTGAGAGGGCTTTGGCGTGGGCGTTGGCTTGGGATTTGATGGTGCAGGCCTCCTTGTGGAACTTCCAATCCATCTTCTGACAGCGCTGGCTACAGTACCAGGTTAACTCGCAGCGGCTGCATTTCTTAAGGCTTGTGGTGCCGGAGACTGTTTTGCCGCATGCATTGCAGCTCTTCTCGATGGGAGGGCGTTCGTCTGCCATAATGGTTATTGTTGTGGGTCTCTGTTGGTTTATTTCGACATGGGGGTCAGGTTCGTATAATCGAGAATAGGTAGATCGACAAAGCCTCACGACTTGTTCCTGTGTCGCTGATGATGCTGTACGCGAACTCCTGCTTGTGAACTTGATGCTGCAAAGTGGTGAGTGACGAAGTTGGAATTGAGTAAGCAGATTGATCAGTTTCAGACCAGCAAGCAACTACACTTCGGCTCACTATGCCTAACGATCGGACTATGAGAACATCTCACTCTACTGGCACTTCCTGCTCACTGCGGTTACTTTCAGTATGAGCTAGCTCAGATCCAATGACCATATCACCTCCGCTACTCTGAAATTTACGGTAGCACTCTAAACAATTGTGTGGCCTCTCAACGCTCAAATTTCATCTGCACTTTCAGCAGAGGCATCACACTCTGCTCCCCAGCGATCACCCCATACAACTGCTCCGCAAAGATACGGAGCTGCGAAATGCTTTTGATATCGAGAGCGCTTGTGTTGCGTCTCACTTGGGTAAAAAAAAAAGACTAGATGGAGAGGGAAGGAAAATGCCGCAGACAGGGAAAGAAGATGCCGCAGAGAGGAACGAAGAAGATGGAGAGAGTGAAGGAAGGCAGTGGGAAGATAAAGAAGAAGATAAAGCAGACGACCAAGCGCGAACAAATTCGTCAACAACCAGGCTCTCGCGTCTCATGCCTTCACGGCTCGATGGCGGTGAAAAGGCATCGTGAATAGAAATAAGAGGCAGAAACGTAGGGCCAATTGATAGTAGCTGTATTAGAGCGAGCAATGAGTGATGTTCCAAGCACGGTCTCCGTAAGAGAGCCTGTATGCGCCGCTTAGTAACCGTGGCTACCACTTCATGTATTCTAGAAGAGAAGAAGGATTTTGTTTTGATTACCGGGTATTGGGCTAGTAGCAAAGCATCAAGCCTATCTATGATTATGCATCCATGGGTGCTCCATCTGAAGTGGATGCTAGTATATGCGTGCCAAGATGCCCCAAAACCCAAGTGTGCGAGGGTTGCGAGTTATTTATACATCCATTGCTCTGTGTCAATCATATTGACGCGACACACAGCAAGGAATCGGGCATAGAATTAATGGATTGTTGTATATGTTGTCTACGACGTAGCCCAGCATTATATAGTCCAGAAAGGCCTCTGATTGGCTGGCTGAGATGACGGTGTAATCGACGACCAGGTGACTTTTGTTAGTCATGGCGAGACGCGGAGACACTGATGGGAATCTTGGGAATCTGCCTATTCTCAATGCTCTGACAACCTCTTTCTTGACATAATTTTATACAATACTATAAACCCGGAACTCCGGGGCTAGCATAACCAAGTTCATCCGGATTTCATTGACTTTGCGTCATACTGGCGCACCTGGCCCTCATCCCAGCCCCAACCAGTCATTTTGCTCCCGTCATCATCCTTCATCATGATCTCCTCCGCGAAGCGAAAAGTCCTGGATGGCCTGAACAAGAGATACATCTACGGTCGCGTGGTATGTGATCCGCCCAGCCCGGCTCCTCGCTGTCGCTCCCCCGGCCTATTTGAGAGAGGCTAACCCTGTCGCCTGATGTCATTATTCTACAGCCTCTATTGCACACAATCATCTTTATCATCGAGATGGCCGTAGCGGCACGGCTTGCTGCCAAATTTAACGCCTACTATGCCGAAAGGCCAGGTATGCCTCTACCCGCCACATCCCGCTTGGCCACTCTGACATATTATCTTCCGATAGTGCTCACAACGATGGTCACCAACGCTGTAAGCTGCCCTCAGACTCGACAGCTCCCAATACGAACAGATAGTTGACAGTGCATGGATATAGGTGCTTGGTGGTGTCGCCGATACTGTTGCGCAGCTGATTACAGCCGTCAGAACCCGCCGGGCCCAGACCTCTGGGAACAGCGAAGATTTCCTCTCAATAGAGATTCATGACTTGGACAAGGAAAAGCCTCCTCCCGTCGGGGAACTAGGTTTTTCCCGTCGTTCACCCGCACCCTTTGATTTCGAACGTCTCACCAGGTTCATGGCCTATGGTTTCTTCATGGCGCCGATTCAGTTCCAGTGGTTTGGCTTCTTGTCCAGGGCGTTCCCGCTCACCAAGACGAACCCGAATGCTCCGGCTTTTAAGCGCGTTGCGTTTGATCAGTTAATCTTCGCGCCGTTTGGTATGTCCTCCCTCTTTACTCCATCGAACTGAGCTGACTTGTAAGGTCTGGCGTGTTTCTTCACCTATATGACCATTGCCGAAGGTGGTGGCCGGCGGGCATTGACACAAAAGTTCCGTGATGTCTACCTGCCTACTCTGAAGGCCAATTTTGTACTCTGGCCAGCGGTGCAGATTCTCAATTTCCGCGTCGTGCCTATCCAGTTCCAGATTGTGAGTTCCGCAAGCTTGTGACAAAAGACCCTAGACTAACCTCTCAATCAGCCATTTGTGTCAACCGTTGGTATCGCATGGACCGCGTACCTTTCTCTTACCAACTCCGCGGAGACGTCCTAATTGCACGCTTCAAGCGAGTATCACGTTAACGACCGAGTTATATAAATCGCAATGTTTTTGCTTTATTAGGCGCTTGGGGTGAACGGTTTTTATGTATATTGTTATATGGGTTTTGCATTCCAAAAGGTCGGATATTGCACATTTGGGAATCAAATCGGGGTTTGCTGTCTATGGATTTTAGGGAATTTGCTTTCAACGTCACATGTTCAATGTAGCGGCTATGGACATTTCCATCAGTAGACCATTCCCCCAGAAACCCCCGACCCCGAGGCTACAAGGACCTTCCTGGCCCGGCCCTCTCCGTATCGACGGCAGCTCTGACATCAGTCCCGCATCAGCCCGATCAGTTCTCCGGGGCTGGTGGGGGTACCCAGAGAAGAGGTACAGATATTGCTAATATACTTCCAGAACAGCGAACCAGCTCCCTGACCAGGGAGTACCGCTTGCGGACGAATACATCACCGGTAAGTACCAGTTGCTACGTGATGCGACCTCTTCACCGGGCCCCACCAAACCAACCCCTCCACTCTTTACTGATCGCGACTCACCGTGGCCTGATTAGTTCTTCTTTTCTCACCCCTCCTTCATTCTTACCATTGTTGACTATCATACTCACTCACAATGTCTCTCTCCAACAAGCTCCCCATCACTGACGTCGACCTCAAGGACAAGCGTGTCTTGATCCGGGTGAGTACCCCGTACCCAATTACCAAACATCAGCTGCTAATTGGAACAGGTTGACTTCAACGTCCCCCTCGATGAGAACAAGAACGTTACCAACCCCCAGCGTATCGTCGGTGCCCTGCCCACCATCAAGTATGCCATTGACAACGGCGCCAAGGCCGTGGTGCTCATGTCCCACCTTGGCCGCCCCGACGGCAAGGTCAACCCCAAGTACAGCTTGAAGCCCGTTGTCCCCGTCCTCGAGGGCCTCATTGGCAAGAGCGTCATCTTCACTGAGGACTGTGTCGGTGCCAAGACTGAGGAGATTGTCAACAAGGCCACCGGTGGCCAGGTTGTCCTGCTCGAGAACCTGCGTTTCCACGCCGAGGAGGAGGGTAGCTCCAAGGATGCCGAGGGCAAGAAGGTCAAGGCCGACAAGGCCCAGGTCGACGAGTTCCGTAAGGGCCTCACTGCCCTCGGTGACGTCTACGTCAGTATGTGCCACCCTGCTCCCTCGACTCTCGTTCCCAGCTAACCCACTGTAGACGACGCTTTCGGTACCGCCCACCGTGCCCACAGCTCCATGGTCGGAATCGACCTCCCCCAGAAGGCCGCCGGTTTCCTCGTGAAGAAGGAGCTGGAGTACTTCGCCAAGGCTCTTGAGAACCCAGCCCGTCCCTTCCTCGCCATCCTCGGTGGCGCCAAGGTCTCCGACAAGATCCAGCTGATCGACAACCTCCTGCCCAAGGTCAACAGCCTCATCATCACCGGCGCCATGGCCTTCACCTTCAAGAAGACCCTGGAGAACGTCAAGATCGGCAACAGTCTCTTCGACGAAGCCGGCAGCAAGATCGTCGGCGAGATCGTCGAGAAGGCCAAGAAGTACAACGTCGAGATCGTCCTTCCCGTCGACTACGTCACCGCCGACAAGTTCTCCGCCGACGCCCAGGTCGGCTCCGCCACCGATGCCACCGGTATCCCCGACGGCTACATGGGTCTGGACGTCGGCCCCGAGTCCGTCAAGTCCTACCAGAAGACCATCGCCGAGGCCAAGACCATCCTCTGGAACGGTCCCCCCGGTGTCTTCGAGCTGAAGCCCTTCGCCAACGCCACCGAGCAGACTCTCGATGCTGCGGTCAAGGCCGCCCAGTCTGGCTCCATTGTCATCATCGGTGGTGGTGACACTGCTACCGTTGCTGCCAAGTACAAGGTCGAGGACAAGCTCTCCCACGTCTCCACTGGTGGTGGTGCCTCCCTCGAGCTCCTCGAGGGTAAGGACCTGCCCGGTGTTGCTGCTCTGTCCAGTAAGTAAATGATCAAAAATAGACGGGAGGGGGTGCGCTTGGCCCGAGCATGTTTATGAAACTGTAATGTACACAGCCAATGAAATTTTCCTTTAATTATATCGTCTCAAGAGAAGCCTTTCTGTTCTTAGATTGGATAGCTAAATCTGGTGTGCTAGGTACGAAACCCAAGCTTTGAGTGGTATAGTTGATTGAAGGGTCACGCAAATACTACATATGCATGTAAATAGAGGCCAATACAAAAACTTACGATTATCCCCAAGACAGAACAGATGTAAGCAGATACTCCCAGCCACAGCATAGATGTACCTCGTAAATCCATGTAGCATCTTCCGGCACAGCATTCCCAAGACCTAGAACCTAGGCCAAGGCAAAAATCGACGAAAGTAAGGGAACGGAAAAGTAATTTGCGAAGCCCAAGGCTCCAGGCTCATATTCACGCAATAAAAGAGGAGGTCATAGATCAAACAAAACATTTCTCATTCCCCCGACAAGCCCACTTCACCCATCATCAATGACAGACGCGACCACCCTTCTCCTATTTCCTTCCTCGTTTCATTCCAATCCATTTCGCTCCATTCTAGCGACAGGGGTATAGGGAGAGTGCGAGACGGAGGGATGGAATGGCTGACCGATGTCGAAAGCGATGTGGGGTTCTTTCTGTGGATGGGATTGCGTGGCTTGTCTTGTGCTTGGGCTTGGGTTTGTGCTTCGTGTTTTGTTTAGGATGAGGCTTCGACTTTCTTTAATTCTTCTCTGTTGCGGGTGGGGTTTGTTAGTTGTGTTGTTGATGGAGGTTGTTGAGGGAGGGATAGTTGCGGTGAGGTCATGGTTGGGGGTGGGATTGAGGGGGATCGATGGGACATTGGGTGTAGTTGGAGCGGACATAGAGGCGCGGCGGGGCAAAGACAAAGGGCAAGAAGAGACAGCAAAGGACATCGCTGTCTAGGGTAGTAGGTGACCATCGCGGGAATACGCACTGGAGCTGCTTGGAGAAATCCTCCGCGGCATCGTCGTCATCCCAGCTCTCCTCCCAGAGGTGCTCGCTACCTCCATTTGCTGTCGAGCCAGAGGTTGGCTCGGCTTCTTCCTGGGGCCAGTCTGTGTATTGCTGGGTCAGTATCTGTCTGTCTCTGTGGGAAGGTGTTGCGTTGCGGTACCTTCAACGGGGAAGTCTTCGAACTCGTCGTCTTCCTCCAGCACTTGGGGCTTCTGCTGCTGGGGCTGCTCTGAAAGCTCGGACTTTTGGGTGGAGTTTGACATTGTGTATGTGTGATGTGTCTAGTTGAGAGAGGTGAGGTGTTAGAGTTGGAGCTGTCAGAGCTGGAAGCGGTGACTAAGGCGATAGGCGATAAGATCAATGGAGGGCAGAATACAGTAAAGAGAAGTTAATGGTGAATAGTTGTAGTTGATGGCTAATAGATAAGACTTAATAGGTTAAAGTAACAAATAGAATGTCAGAATGAACTAATATAGCATCAAGTTCTAGATCCGATCCGATCTCGAACTCGCTAACTGCTTCGCCCCTCGGAGGTGCCGGCAAGTTCAGTCTTAAGTCCATGGAAAGTGATTTATTACCTTCCTCCCGTCAGATTTGGCCCCTCGTTTTTCTTTCTTTGTCTTTCTTTAACTCTTCGCAGATGTTCCCGGAAATTGTGCTCGGATTCGGATTCGCATGGGACCGTTGACATTCTTCCCAATCCGGTGTTTTCTCACGCCTCGGCCTTAACGATACTTGTTTTCCACTTCCTACCGTTAATTTTCACCTCTATAACTCTTGGTCTGCACCATGTTGCGAGTCGGATCATGGCTGTATGGCAAGAAGCCGACACAGTCGGTGGATTCCATGGTCGAAATAAAAGACTGTGAGTGGCGCTGTGGTTTACTCCGGAGGTCAAGTGCGTGCTGACAGCGATATTTTGCGATAGTGGTGGAGGCGATGCAAGGTGTGCACCCATTGAACGCACAATCGCGGAGAACTTGGCACTGATCACTCCCAACTAGCGGCGACACTCATTCTCAATGACGATGTTGACGGCGCCGAAGCCAATCTCGCTACAGGGTCCTCTACTTTCCACCTGGTGCGTGATCGTCACTATATCCGATGACGTACCGCCGCTGACTGCGATACAGCTGGGCAAAGGTGTGGTCGCATTCGTGCGAGCGACATTGGGATTCGAGCAAGAGATTATGCGACAAGGTGGAGATACTTTCCGGATTTTGAGACGCAATCATTCTGACTTGTGCAGCCTCCGAACGACTCGGCGAAGCGGAAACTAGCGCGGGCAGCGACCAGACTCGGGCGCAACAGAACGTCAATGCCCCCAATGCCTTCCACTCCCATATATATGCTCCTGGCTCGGAATATGCGCTTTGCCAGGCAATCGCCCAATTGATGAGTGCCGTTGTGGGGGTACTGAACGAAAGCCTAACAGAAAGTATCAAAGCTTTCTATAGACTTCGAAAGGCTTATATAACGTTAGACGCCATTATGAAGATGGAAGAAAAGTTCATGGAATCACAAGATCCGAAGAAGGTGCTACTTCCCACCACCAGCGACCTCTCGAAGTCGAGTGCCGAATGTCCGGACAACAAGTCAGACTCGTCGAGCCAGACCTCGAAGGAAGACGGCAAAGTGGCTACAGCTGAAAGCGCAGAGCTCAGCCGATCATTAAGCGGGTTGGCCGTATCTCTTGAAACATCATCTCCCGGTGCCTCGACAGGCACTTTAACACCTTCCGCAAAGCACATCCATCACGACCCCGACTCGGATATTTTCAAGAACCAAATCGATATTTTTGTGCACTCCGGCGCCAATTTCTGCTTCGGTATTCTTCTCCTACTAATCTCCATGGTCCCACCAGCATTCAGCAAGTTACTTTCCATTATCGGTTTCCACGGCGACAAGCAACGAGGACTGAGGATGCTCTGGCAAGCCAGCAAGTTCCACAACTTGATTGGCGGTATGGCTGCCTTGGCATTGCTTGGCTATTACAATGGCTTCGTTCGCTACTGTGATATCATGCCCGATCCGACTCCTGGTGAGACCGATGTTGAGGGATACCCGCAGGAGAGACTCGCTGCTTTGCTGGCCGAGATGCGGTCCCGATTCCCTAACAGTCAGCTGTGGCTGCTGGAAGAATCGCGTATGAAGGGAGCGAATAAGGACCTGGAAGGTGCTCTTGAGCTCTTGAGCACGAACGCCAAGAGCCCGCTCAAGCAGGTTGAAGCATTGTGCGTGTTCGAGAAGAGTTTGAATGCATTGTTCCTCCACCGATACGACGTCTGTGCCGAGGCATTTATTGAGGTGAGTTATTAACCCCAATTTCAGAGACATCCCGCTGATCTTGCAGTGCGTGGACCTCAACTCCTGGTCCCGATCCCTATATTACTACATCGCCGGATCATGCCATGTAGCCCTATACCGACAAAACCTGTCCGATCCCAAGCTGGCAGAAGAACACGCCAAGAAAGCCGCCCTATACATCCGCGAAGCACCAGCGCACGCGGGCAAAAAGCGCTTCATGGCCCGCCAACTCCCATTTGACATCTTCGTAACCCGCAAAATTGCCAAGTGGGAAGCACGTGCCAAAGAGTGGGACGTTCCCCTGGTGGATGCCATCGGCGTGGATCCCATCGAAGAAATGATCTTCTTCTGGAACGGCCACAGCCGCATGACCGATGCGCAGCTTGAGGAATCCCTCACCCGACTAGCCTGGTGTGAAAGCGACACCAACAAGACCTGGTCTCGGGAAGGCACAGAAGAAAAAGCCATCCTGGAACTTCTCCGCGCGGCTGTTTTGCGCTCACTGTGCAAATATGACGAGGCGAAGAAGATCCTGCAGACCCGCGTGTTGAATCACGATAAGTCCCTGTTCAAGGGCCACCTGAAGGACGACTGGGTGCACCCTGTTGCGCACTTCGAGATGGCGGCGAACTTCTGGATGGAGCGTTCCACGTACCAGACGCTTCATGGGTTGTCTCACTCTACCCCTGCCGTTGAATCTGACAAGACCTCCACCAACTCTGGGAATAGTACCCAAATCGATACTGAGAGACAGAAGGTACGCAAGTGTAAGGAGTATCTTGACCATGCTGCCCGGTGGGAAAGCTATGAATTGGATGCTCGCATTGGTCTCAAGGTTACCGCTGCTATGGAGGCAGTTCACAAATGGGAGAGCGTGCATCCGTCCGCTTAGGTTAGGTTCACACGGGAGTCTACTTATTTCGCTGTTCATATGGGTGCATGTATCATACCCTACATAGACATGTTTAGACGTTAACGAGTTCTAATCTGTTTCTATACTTCTCACGTGACGTGACATGAAACGGCCCCCACTGGCCGCTTTCTTCCCCACACGCGGCACGTCGGAGTTAATGGCATGCCGATATCGAGTACAGTACTCGAAATATCGGGTTTCGCTGCTTTAAAGCTGCATGTACAACGTCCGCCGAATAGCCTATTGGCATGAATCTCGCAGCCCTCCGATCGAGACTCCGATCAAGGCACCAGGGTACTTGACATGGTTGGCACGCCACCAAACCGATGTAACCGGATAGCACGGCTCACCATCCGCCATCGGAGGTCCGAAAAGCTTGAATAAAACAATGAGGGTCCCTCCAGTCGACTCCAGTTCGAACTAAGCCTCAGCCCTGCTTGCTTTGCTTTGAACAACTCACGAACCTCTGGACCGGGCTCCCCTTTCCTCTTTCTCCCCGTTATCTCCGAGGGCAATATCTTTTTCCATCGGAGATTTTTACAGATACCCCGATACCCCAATTTTCAATAATTTCCTCCCCAACGGCCATACAGCTACCCTTGCAAGTTGCAGCAAATGTCAAATGTCATATTGAATCCATAATTTATAAATCACCACACCACGAAATGACAGAACGAACACCCCAGCTCCATTCAGATCGCAGCAGCGTATCCATATCAAGCGACAACATCGAATCGCAATCCCACCACGGCCACAGCGATGAAAGCGCTGTCACAGCATCACTAGCAAAACAAACCACAGTCACATCGGGTATATCCGTCTTCGAGCAGCGCGCGCAGTCGGTCATATCGCGCATTCGGAGTCGCGAGCCTGGGCAGACTGCTAAATTTACGCATCCGCTTTCACATACGAAGACGACCGAGGATGTGATTGTTGATTTTGAGGGGTTGGATGATCCGTATCGGCCTTTGAATTGGGGGTTTAAGAAGAAAGCTTTTACGACTGTTTTGTATGGGTTGACTACTATGGGTGAGTTATGTGTGACTTTTGGATTTAAGTTTAGTGTGGATGTATGTGGATTGAGCTGACTTCCTTTCTTTCTTTGATTTTAGGGTCTACTTGGGCGAGTTCAGTGTAAGATCTTTGTCTATCTTGTTAGGGTTGTTGTTGGATTGGGGCTAATTGTTCATAGGTATTCGACTGGCCAGGGGCAGATCAGTGAGGAGTTTGGTGTCTCTAATGAGGTTTCTACACTTGGTACATCACTGCTGCTGTTCGGGCTTGGATTGGGTCCTCTGATCTGGGCGCCTCTATCGGAAGTGTTTGGGCGCAAGCCGGCTGTGCTGGCGCCGTACTTTCTCGCGGCTGTCTTCTCGTTTGGTACGGCTACTGCGAAAGACTTGCAGACTATTATGATCACTCGATTCTTCACGGGCTTTTTCGGCTCGGCTCCAGTGACGAATACTGGCGGTGTCCTGGGTGATATCTGGACACCCGAACAGCGCGGAGCTGCCATCGTTGGTTATGCCTTGGCAGTGGTTGGTGGACCTGTACTCGGTCCAATTGTCGGTGGTGCTATTTGCCAAAGCTATCTCGGCTGGCGATGGACCGAATACGTGAGCATCTTCTTCCCTGAATTGCCACATAAAACCCCCACTAACAATAATTAGATCACTGGCATAATGATGATGTTCTTCCTAGTAATGGATCTCCTTTTCGTCGACGAGAGCTACCCACCAGTACTACTAGTCTACAAAGCCCGTCGCCTCCGATTCGAAACAGGAAACTGGGCCCTCCACGCTCGCCACGAAGAATGGGACGTAACCTTCAAAGAACTCGGCAACAAATACTTGGTGCGGCCCTTCCAACTCCTCTCAACCCCAATCTGCTTCCTAGTCGCCCTCTACGCCTCCTTTGTCTACGGCATCCTATATCTATCCCTAGCAGCCTTCCCAATCGTCTTCCAAGAAAACCGTGGCTGGAACCAGGTCGTCGGCGCCCTCCCTTTCCTCGCTTACCTAGTGGGCATCCTAATCGGCGGCGTCATCAACCTCGCAAACCAAAGCTTCTACCTCAAACGATTCAAAGCAAATGGTAACCGAGCCATACCAGAAGCTAGACTGCCACCCATGATGCTCGGATCTGTCCTCTTCGCCGCGGGGATGTTTGTCTTCGGCTGGACGAGCCCGAAACACATCCATTGGATTTGCCCGATGATCGGTGCTGTCATGATGGGTTTTGGTTTCTTCACGATCTTCCAGGCTGCGCTAAACTATCTCATTGATACATTCCAGAAATACGCTGCTAGTGCTATTGCCGCTAACACTTTCTTGCGTTCTATCTTTGCGGGTTGTTTCCCGCTTTTCACTACGGCTATGTTTCATAACCTTGGGGTGCCTTGGGCTGCTAGTGTTTTGGGTTTCATTTCTATTGCGCTTATTCCAATCCCGTATTTGTTCTATATATACGGCAAGCGGATTCGGGCGCGTGGATTCTGGTCGCGAGATTCTGTTTGAGTTGTAATTTGAGCATGTGGATATCATTTGTTAGTAGTGCTATACCTTGTACATACTTGTGGCTGGTGCCCCCCCTTGCAATAGAGATACCCTTGAGTTTCAATCATCTTACTTAACTTGCCATTTCTCTTTACATGATGGAATCTATGAGCGAAATACACTTTACCTTCAAGGTTTACTAGGTTACCGAACTACGAATGGGAGAATATTCAATAGAGACGTTTCGATATATTAGAGTATGACAAAAAGCAGAAAAGGGACAAGAAATCAGAGCAGACAGGACAGGAAAATGTAATGAGTGAAAATAGTAAGTATAGACGACCGTGTATAGATCCGAAGATCGAGGTCAAAATGACATAACCACATCACCAAGACATAGGAAATATAAGAATGATCGGTTCATTGAACGAGGATCAAGACCAAACGAAAATCAGCAATAACTTAGAACATACACACATGTAAAGTATGGTGTAAACATGAATACAAAAGGAAATAGAAACAACGGGAAAACATTACGATAGGCAGGATACTCGTCCTCCATTTTCCAAACAACACCGGTTTTGCTTTTTTGTTTTTGTTTTGTCTTTTTCTTTGCGGTCATCTCCAGGCTGAATCAAAGATCAAGCCCGATTAGCGACTAACGTGTTGTTACGCCGGGTGAGCTTCCGCGCCAACGTCTTAGCCTTCGACCAAGCCTTGTTCTTCTCAACGCGAGCCATAGGCTCAGGCGAGTCAAGGACAGCCCCGGTAGCAAGGTGCTCAGTGGGGATATCATCCTGGTGCTTGGTATTGTGCAAAGCCAAGACAGCCATCTGGCCCAGGAACGAAGGATGCTCGATTAGATCCTCGAGACGAACCTTGAGACCCTCCTGCTCAAGTAGCCAAGTAAGCTGGGCCAGGTTGAAGATATCACCTCCAAGATCGAAGAAGGATGAGTCGAGCTGGAAGGCTGATTGGTGGGTTGGCTTTTCATCAATGTCAGGGCCGATTGGCGCTGTGGTCGTGCGGCTGGGTAGGACCTGGTGCCAGGAGCGGGAGAGGATATCAGAGTGCACGAGGAGCTCGGCGATGGAGCGGGACTTGAGATGCGCGCTGAGGAAGTGCTCGTCTGAGGGACGGGGGAGGTCGTCGATTGTCTGGGGTGGCAGGGAGCGGAGCATGCTTGCTGATGGTAGCGATGCGCTTGGGTTTGCAACTAGGGACTGTGCAATCTCGCATGCCATGTTGAGTACCCTTGATGCGAATGAGGGCATAATCGGGCCCTTTTCGGAGTAGCCTAGGGTGACGTCCAGGCCCCGTTCGCCTGAGGGTCGTGAGACCATGGTCAGGTCGGCGAGGTTGTCGTTGACGCCAACACCGCCCATGCGGTATTTAGTACTGTCCAGCTCAAGGGTGCCTTCGTAATCGACGTTCTGGTGGAAGACCGACGTGGTGAAATAGGTCCAGGCGGGCCAGTCGGTGCATTGTTTGATGATCTCGCGGAAGCCGAGAGACTCGAAAGGCATGTTGGATACCTGCTGGTCTTGAATGTAGCGGAAGAGATCGACGCCTGTCCAGTGCTCGCTGAGCTTGATACGCACTGGAATCACGTTGACGCAGGGGCCGACGGTGTTTTCAATGCCAGGGACTGTGGCATTGCGGCCGCTGATTGTGAGGCCGAAGACAACATCAGACTGGGCGGACAGTTTGGCGAGGGTCAGGGCCCAGGCGGCCTGCATGACAGTTGCGATAGTGACATTGCCAAGGGCAGTTGGTGAGATCTCAATGCGCTTGTGAATCTCTGTGAATGCTCCAATGTTCTGGAACATGCTGGTACCCTTTCGGCGCACAACCTGGGTCATTTGAGATCCTTTGAGGAGATCAGCCCAGTGGCGGTAGTGGTCGGGGCCAATTGTGCCCGGGAGCTGACGAAGGTAGCTGGCGTAGGGAATGACTGGTGGCAGTGGGCTTCCCTCGTATCCGTGCTTGATGGCGGCCATGATCTTGGGCAAACACACTCCATCGTACTGGGTGTGCGACAGGCGGATCAAGATACGGTGCTGGTCGCTGCCCTTCCTCTTGACCACGTAGAACTGCACGTACTGCTCTCCTTCGCGGGGACCATATTCACGGTCACGCTGCTGAAGAGTCAGGGTGAACTCATCGAGAGCGCGATCGGTCTCATAGACAAAGATGCTGGGACGGATCTTGCGCAACACAACCTGGAAGAACTGGTCGTGGAAGCAGACAAAAACGGTCCGCAGAATGTCGAAGGCATCCACGATCTTCAGACAACTCTCGCGAAGGCGTCGCAAGTCGAGGGGACCGTTGCCTTCGAGGTAGAAGTAGTTGAGCATCCACCTGGACTTGAAGAGAGTTGCTGTCAGAGACATTGCCTGGAAGTCAGTGACAGGGAGAACATCTGCGATGCCACCTTTGAAAACCCCAATCTTGGGGCAAATTCCACGCTGGACATCAGCGTCGTCAACACACGAGGGCTTGAGCACCTCAATGCTCTCAGAAGACGGGGTAGGCCCCAGAGTGGTTGGCGTGTTGTCAGGGAAGTCATCCTCCTTGGTGATGGCAGATTGCGGTTGGAGATCCACATTGAGCATCTGCTGAGTGATGTTGGCAGCACGGACAGTGGCGACCATATCCTCAAAGACAGGGTTATTGAAGACATCCGCGACAGTGAGAACGAGGCCTTCCTCGCGGGCGGCGCTGACCATTTTCATGGCGGTGATACTGTCACCACCTAACTTGAAGAAACTCTCCTGGTGTCTCACCACATTGGGCGAGAGACCAAGAGCTGTACTCCAAAGGTTCCATAATTTCCTTTCCACGTCGGCCGACATCCCCTCCTGGCTGGAACGAGACGTCGCCGAACAAACACCCGAATCATCGGCACCTTGAATACCCATCTGGTATGGCGAGTCCGCTATAGCATCGGTGCGGACGTACTCCGACAAACCAGTAGTCTGGATAGAGGGCACCTGCAATTTTCCTTCTCTTAACATCTTTCCAATAATCTCATGAACACGATCATCAATAATCTTTTGAATAGCACTGTTGTCCATTGCTTCTCCGGTGGACTTGGCCTTGTCGGCGAGAGTGGTCTGAGAGCGATCCCAATCCACTGACTCCGACGCGGTATCGGCACCAAACTTGGCCTGCGAGAGAGTCACAGTCGGGGATTCAATAAATCCAGTGAACACTCTGGCGATGGTATCAGCCAGAGACTGTGCGTGCTCGTCAGACACAACATCGTTCCAGTATCTCAAGAGAATACCCTCTTGACCACGGGCAATTTCGACGTTCACAGTGACCGCATACTAGATATTGTTAGCAATTGTGACGTGGTTTATAAATCAGATGTACTTACTTCGCTGGGGTCATGTGCATGCTGGAGATCAAAGGACAGCCCCTTATCCTTGGAGCCACCCGCTACCGAGTGGTTCTGGATGGACAGTGTAGTGTTGAAGAGGGACCGTCCTTGCCAGCCAAGCTCGTGCTGAATGCTAGCCAAGGAGCAACTCTGGTGAGGAATGCATTTGAAGTAATCATCCTGAACACTCTTAGACAGATTGATGAGGGTCTCCTGGCCAGAGAATTGAACTCTGCAGCAAAGCATGTTAATGAAGATCCCAACCATGTCCTGGATGCCATTGACAGGGGCATCGCGACCGGCAGATAAATATCCGAAACAGACGTCATCGGATTGGGTGAACTGGCGCAAGACAATCGCCCAGGCAGACAGAGTAAGGTTAGCAAGAGTTACAGAGCTCTGCTCGCAGAACTTGAGCAACTCAGGGAAGCGCTGGAAGTTCATCATAACTCCCTTGAGTTCACGCTTGAAGCCAAAGTCAGCCGAGTGAGAAACATGGCAAGGACGCACTCCTCCAAGGTACTGCTTCCAGTGATCAAGAGCCTCGCTTTGGCTTTGGGTACGAATAAACTTGATGTAATCGCTGAAGCAGGGTCCTGAGCCTTCAGGGAGCTTGCGCTCGTAGGCTAGAGGCAGATCACGAAGAAGAATATCGACCGAGCCACCGTCAATGATGGCATGGTTGATTTCTAGCTTGAGAATGACTCGTGCAGTGATGGTCTTGCAGATGGTCACCTGGTGGGACAGTTTCGATTGCCGCATCGCATTCATGTCACGAAGGGAGATAGCGGCGAGCTTCTCCTCGACTTGGGAGTCGTGACATTCCACACGAAGGATACTACTGGTGACCTTCTTAAGGACCAGCTGGTCGAATGACCCACCAGTGTAGCTGCTGTCGACGAAGATAGTTCGAAGCACAGGGTGACGATCGACAATTGCTTGCCAGGATTGTGCAAGCTTCTCTGCATCGACCTTGCCACCCTTTGCGTCCTTGATCTCGAACACAGTGTGGAACATGTAGGCGCTGGGGTCGCGGAGTTGGCTGAGCAAGAGACCCTCCTGCATGGGAGAGCAGGGGAAGATATCCTCAACATCATCCGTGCTGCGTATACCGGCCTTGCGGAAAGTGCTTGTGGTAAGCATCTGGAGGCCTTGGTAGGTGATGGGAAGAAGAGGGTAGTCGCTGAGGGTAGGTTCGGAAGCGGCTGTCTTCAGAACCATAAGGTCCTTCTCGAGAGTCTGCTTGCACTGCAGGATCCAGCGGCGGATCTGCGGCTCATGCTGCATCTTGCGGTTGTAGCTAAACGCCACGTTGAGACGCTCTTTGATGACAATGGCCGAGAGTTCAAACAGAGCAAAGCGAACGGTCTGAGGACCCATATCACCTGCAACAGCGAAGTCCGAGCCGTCAAAAACACTGCCATGGTGGTGAAAGAGGGAGTCAGCCCGCTCCAGCTGCTGGAGTCGACCAAGGTAGTTGAACAGAATCTCCAGCGGAACAGGGAAGCCAGAAGAGGCTGCATTGTTCTGAAGGAGGCTCTTGGCGAAGTAGGGTCTTCCGTTGTCAGTGATATTGCGGCGAGTGTCCTTGACGCGCTTGATAATGTCGGTAATACCGCCTGTTTGGGTTAGTATGATATCAGACAGGCGGAATTATTGTGACTTACTAGCCCCTCCATCGATCAGCATTGGTGCCATGGTGGTAAACCAGCCAACGGTCCGAGAGAGATCGATGCTAGAGTCCCACGGCTCTCTACCATGTCCTTCGTTATAGACCGTGGGTATCTTGCGATCGGTGAAAGTGCGCCCAAAGGAGTGAATGATTGCAGAGAGTAGGATATCAACGGTGTCAGTGCGGAAGACATCGTGACAGCCATCGAGGATGAACTTAGTGGTCTCCTCACTCAAGCTGAAAGATTCCATCTTGAGATCACCGTATACATTGGGCAAGTCCTGCATACCCCAGTAGCTCAGGTTCGGCTTCTCGGGTGTGAAAGGCAGGGCGATGTTTGCATCATGGATCTTCAATCTTTCTGTCTGCATAAGACACCAGCTCTGGAAGGAGAGTGCCTTGTCCAAAGATAGGGAACCAGAAACAACCAGCTCCTCGAGGTCTTGCAGGACGATGCGCCAAGAAACCATGTCGATGCACAAATGATGAGCAACAAAGAAAAGGATCTGACCACCGGCGCTAAGATTGAACAGATCCGCTGCAAGAATAGGCCCGTTCTGGGGATCTAGAGACTGCTGGCTGTCGGCGATCTTGGGGACCATTTCGCGTGTATCGCTGACAGAGTGGACACCGAAACGGAAAGACTCATCAACCTCTGCGGCCGTCTTTTGCTGCCAGATGCCATTCTTTGCGCTGAATCGTGCTCGGAGCATGGCGTGTTGACCGATCACGGCCTTGATCGCACGGCGGAGCACCTCTCCCTCGACGCGGCGAGATATGCGAACCGTGATGCTCTGGTTGAAACGAGCTTCACCCTTGAAAGAGTGCGAGCTATGGACGTACAGCTTCTGAACAGGCGAAAGAGCAAAGCCTTCACCAGACTTCTCCTCGGGTTGCGTGACAGCCACCTTTGTGCCAGCAGTCTGGGCAAGCTCTTTGACTGACCGACTCTGCAAGATATCGTGCAGTGTAACAACAAGGCCTTGCTTGCGAGCTCGGGAAATGACAGCCATGCCAGTGATACTGTCTCCGCCTATGAAAATCTTATTAGTATTTTGGATGTGTCCGTGGAGTGGAGGCAACTTACCCAAACTGACGAAAGATCTATCGACGCTGACCTTCTGCAGTGAAATGTTGAGGACCTGGGCGAAGATTTCGCGGATAATATTGAGAGAGCCAGTCTTCTCTTGCTCTTGTGGCTTCTCCTCGGTACTACGGCGCTTGATGCGATCATAGTCAGCCATGATACGCTCATACGAGTCGTCATCAATGTCCTCAAGCCAAGCAGTAATTTTCTTCCTGTCAAGCTTGCCAGAGACAAGCATAGGAAGCTTCTTTATGAGGGCCCAGGTCTGAGGCACCATGTATATAGGCAACTGGGTCTCGAGACTCTTCTGAACATCAACAAGTTCATTGTAAGCGTGACGTTCGAGTTCAGCCTCGTCAACAAGTTCACAGGACTTGTCGGAGATCAGTTTGGTGTCAGCTGTAACACTGTTGAGAGACATGACAGTAACAAGGCGCTGCTTGAGTGGGCCGTTCTTGGGGAGAATGACGACGGCGTGGCGAACACGAGTGTCTTCGTAGAGACGGTGCTCAATCTCACCGAGCTCCATGCGCTGACCGTGGAGCTTGACCTGGTGATCCTTGCGGCTGATGTACTCAATAGAGCCGTCCGGGTTGTAGTAGCACAGATCACCGGTTTTGTAAATACGGCGGGGCCCACCAACCTTGGACTCGAAGTCTTTGATCCAGGCTGGGTCAGTGACGAAGGCCTCCGCATTCTTCTCGGGGTTCTTGAGGTACTCTCTTGCCAGGGCAGCACCCTCAAGAGCCAATTCACCAACCGCACCAAGAGGGGTGAGGCGATCGTGGTTGTCAGGATCGACAATCCATGTCAGTGTGCTGGGAATACCGTAGCCAATTCGCGCAGGATCACGGCTGGCTGCCACTGCATTGTCAATAACGGCAAACACACATGTCTCCGTGGGCCCGTATCCGTTCATAAGATGAACAGTGTTGGCCCACTTAGTGATAACCTCCTTGGACATCTTCTCTCCACCGCACACCAGATGCTTGAGAGAGGGAACCGAGGCAGGCTCAATGATGCTCGCAATGGATGGGGTGAGGAAAGTCCAAGTGACGTTCAGGCGACGGATTGCGCCAGACACATCGTTGAGACGGTCATCCTCACTGGGGACACAGATACAACCACCCAACATGAGGATTGCAAGTGTCTCCATGATAGCAGCGTCAAATGTGAGGGATGCGAACTGGAAGACTCTGGAGGTGGCATCCATGCTGACCATTGGCGCGAAGGCCATGATACTGCTGACCACATTGCGGTGCTCAACAATGATCCCCTTGGCACGACCAGTACTGCCAGAAGTGAAGAGCGCGTAAGCCATGTTGGTGGGCTGCACCGGAGTGCGACCCCGGGAGGGTGCCTTCAGGGATCCATAGGCCTTGATGGTCTCCTTGCTAATGGGAATAACGGTCTTCACCACACGGCTATACCGGTTGGTATAGTTGGGGGTGCAAAGAATCATGTTAGCGCCAACATCGGCAAGAATCTCCTCGTGTCGAGAGGTGGGGTGAGACGGATCAAGAGGCACATAACCACCACCAGCAATGAGAATACTGATGAGGGTTACCATAGCCCACACTGATTTGTCAAGACAGACTGGGACAAACACCTCTGGACCAACTCCGCGAGAGATAAGGTAGTTGGCGAACCCAGATGCGAGGTCCCAGAACTCTCTGTATGTGAGGTCACCATCCCAAGCGCGCACGGCGGGGGCATCTGGAGTCTCAGCACACTTCTCGCGGATGAGATCATGGACACATCGCTCGACCACAAGAGGTGTACGGCCGTTCCATTGACCTATCTCAAGCTTGTCCCCGGGGCTGACCATGTCCAGATCACCAATCTTGCTAGCGCTGTTCTTTGGCATGCAGATCAGCTGGCCAAGAACATGAGCGAATTGCTCAGTGATGCGCTTAGTTTGCCAACCATTGATAACCAGCTCATCGTGGTGAACAGTGAAAGAGACGCTTGTCTTAGAAATGCCACATTCCACAACGAGGGAGTGGGTGAAGAAGTCCTCACTTGTCTCTCGCTTCTCATCCATCCAGATCTTGTTGTCTAGATCACCATCGTTGGACTGGATGACAAGCAAGTTCTTGAAATCGCAACCACTGGCGGTATCCTTGTTGAGCTGGCGAATGCGCTGGAGACCGGAGTGCAGGTGGGGGATCATCTGAGTGGTCGACTGGTGGATTTTCTGCAGGTACTCGAGAGTTGACATCGCATTGTCAACTTGTACACGAGTGGGGACGGTGCTCAGGACAGGACCGACAATTTGGGCAACGCCAGGTAAATCAATATTTCTGCCGGACAAGGTCTCGCCAAAGCAAACATCACCAGATGAAGTGTGAGTAGCAACGACAATAGCCCAGGCAGCGCGCATCAGAACGGGAATCGTAAAGTCGACGCTGTTGCGAGTTCGAGAAACATTCAGAGTGTGGTACTGGGTGTTTCCAGCGCGGATAGCATCAGGTACTGCGTTCTTGTTCTGGGGGAAAGGAGTGCTGGAGAGGCCCGCGAGGTAGGACTTCCAGAATGCATCCGACTCGTTCATGTCCTTTTTGATCAGGTAGTCAATGAAGAGGCTGTAAGGAGTCCCAACTCGCTTAGTCTGAGCAGCGAGATAGTTTTCCTCAACCTTGCGGAAGACCAATGGAATACTCCATCCATCATAAAGTGCGTGGTGAACAGACCAGACGAAGTAGCTAGTGGAAGATCCATAGGGCTGGACCATGGCGTAGCTGGTCAAAGGTGCACCATTTTGCTTTGGCAGCTGCATAATGTCGTGGGGAAGGGAATCGAACGACTCAGCGTGCACCCAGGAGATTGGAGCATCCTTCAAGACAACCTGGGCGAAATCCATGGCCTCAGTGTGCACAAGGCGGGTGCGCAGGATTTCGAGGTCTGCAACAGTCTGCTGCCAGGCATCCTTGAAGCGATTGACATCGACCCCATCTGCAAGACGGAAAACAGGTTGGGCGACGTAAGAGCCACTGTGCTTAATAGAGAGAGTGAGGAGGCCCTCTTGGACAGCGCTGCATGGGTAGACATCGCTGATGAGATCCTTGGACACCTCGCAGATGTCGGTGACTTCATCAAGTAGACCTTCGGTGTCAACGTGAGATGGTAGAAGTGAGAAGGGCTTGACAGCGGCAGGCTTGGCCTCAACAGTACCAGCTGAAGCCGCGCAGCTCTTGGCCATGTCAATCAAAATTGGCGTGTTGAAGATGCTCGAGACAGTGAGCGCAATTCCCTCTGCTTGGGCCGCACCAACGAGGTTCATGGCGGACAGGGAGTCACCACCCAAAGCGAAGAAACTGTCATCAGCAGTGACAGAGCCTGCCTCGAGCTGCAGAGTGCTCTCAACGAGGGCCACAATCTTAAGTTGCATGCCATCAGCTGAGGCCTCTTCCTTCTTGTCAGATGCATGGAAGGTGATGTAAGACTTCAGAGTCTCCTTGGGCAAAGACTGAACCATAGCCTTCAGTCTTCGGCGATCGATCTTAGCCGAAGAGGTAAATGGAAGGTTGCGGATGGGGAAGAACAGTCTGGGGATCATGCTCTGGGGTAGAAGATCGGGCAAAGAGGCCTTCATCTTCTGGATGGCATCCATGTTAGACACGGAGATGGGCAGTAGCAAAGGATCAGCTCCAGAAATGGTGGGTGCAAATTGATCGCTGCTACCACCGTTTGAAGAAGGGTCGTGCACAGTGAAGAATGCAGCGAGTCCCTTGGCAATGGTGCGCTCCTCGGGAACGACGACATCAACCGCGACCTGTGAGTCCTCAGGAAGGCAGAGGAGACACTGGTGCTCAATCTCCTCAAGCTCAATGCGCTGGCCGTTAAACTTGATCTGGGTATCCTTCCGGGAGATAAACGCAAGAGTGCCATCAGTGTTGTAGCGCACCAGGTCACCAGTGCGATACATACGGTCCTGGCGCTTGAAGAGACCCTGAAGCCCAGCATGGTCGTTCCAGGTGGGATTCTCGAAGAAAGCAGCCTTTGTCTTTGCTTCATTTGCAAGGTATCCACGGGCAATGTTGCTTCCTTCCAAAATCAGCTCACCAACAGCACCAACGGGGAGAAGGCGGTTGTAGTTGTTGGGATCCACAACCCACACTCTACAGTTGGCAGCGGTTCCTATAGAGGTGGGATCATCGTTGACACGGTTACCATCCCAATCAACCTTCACGCCGACAGTAGCGACGACGGTGGCTTCCGAGGGACCGTAGGCGTTGATAACAAATCGGTCGGCCCAGCGGTCAATGTGGTTGGCAGGCATCTTCTCACCACCGGTGATGATGGTCTTCAGAGTGGGGACAGACTTGGGCTCCAAGGTATTGACAATTGCAGGAGGAGAAGACATATAATTAGCCTCCATGCGACGAATCGCACCACCAAGGTTGTTCATACGTTCTTCCTCGCTGGGAACGCAGACACAGCCGCCAGTCATAAGAGTCATCATAATCTCGAGAACACTAACATCAAAGGTGTAGTTCGAGAACTGCAACGCACGGGTTCCGGAGTTCATGTGCAAAGCATCCGTCATGGCTAAGGCCGTGGTGCTCAGAGCGGTATGCTCAACCACAGTGGCCTTAGGTTTTCCAGTGGTACCAGAGGTAAAGATAGCATATGCGGCGTTACTAGGAGAAGGTCGAATACAAGGCATAGCCAAAGGCGAGTCAGGAATTTGAGAGATAGAAGTTTGGCAAACGGCAAAGGATTTTTCGCACAGCTTGGAGACTTTAGCATGAACCGAAGAAGAGCACAGGACCAGACCAGTTCCAATCTCATCAATGAGCATCTTCAGACGGGAATCTGGGTGGGAGGGATCAATAGAGACGAAAGCTCCACCGGCTTTGAGAACGGCCAACTGGGCAACAACCGCCCAGGCGGACTTCTCGAAACATAGGACGACAAAGACTTCCGGCTTGATACCCAAACCAGAGAGATGACGAGCGAAGCGGCTGGAAACCATCTCGAGCTGTCCATAGGTGAAGTTCTTATCCCAGGAGCAGACAGCCTCAGCGCGAGGATGCAGAAGCGCCTGCTGCTGGATAAGCTCATCTGCACACTTCTCGACTCTGGGAGGCGAGGCGGCGTTCCAATCGCGTATCTGGCGAATGGAGCGTTCGGGGATGAGATTAATGTCTCCGACCGTATGCTCGTGCAGGTTGAGGGTGATGAGGTCGTCCAAAACCTGATCGAACATATCGATCACATGGTTGATCTGAGAGGAGGACAGGGTTTCGGAGGAGTAGTTGAAGTGGATCTCTGCATAGGAGTGCGAGACTTCCGCTTCAACGAGGATATTGTAGGTATTGGAGGGGTTAGGCTCTCGGATACTTCCCTTGGGCAGGGACGAGGCCTTGCGGTAGGTGAGACAGGTGTTGAAAAGAGTAATATCATCGAGACCAAGCTGTCGCTGGACCGCTTTCAAAGAAGCGACGTTCAAAGCGCCCTTTTCGGCGTCGATCTTAGCCTGCTGGAAAATGTTGAGCAGCTTGCGGTCATTTTGCACAAAGAATCGACAAGTAGCGATGGATTGAGGGTCCACCTTGTTGTCCTCCGAAGGGCAGGTGGAATAACCAAAGCAAACATCGTCTGATCCGGTATACCACCTCAGGACAACGGCCCAAGCAAACTGGAAGAGAGTTTCCACAGAGATACCGGACAAGTTACTGAAGGCATGAGTCTTAGCAGTCTGCTTGTTGAGCGTACGCGTGGAGCGACCATCGTTTCCTGCATCGTGAGAGAGCGCAGGGAAGACGCAAGGCTCAACGTCAGCGAGATACTCCTTCCAGAAAGCGGCGTTACTCTCGGAGAGACTGGCATTTCGGGAAGTCCGGTTACCAGCCTTGGTCCCAGTCCAGTTTTTAATGTCGAGAGCCTCCAAGACACTGCTTGAAAGTTCCTGTGTCTCAACTTTGAGGGCTCGGTGGTTTAGTTTTCCAGATGAGGTCAGGGGAAGGGAGGAGACGGGGATGTAAATACTAGGAACCTTGCTATTGGGCAAACTAGTGCTCAGATGGTTGTGAAGACTGCTGACGATTGCCTTCAGATCGGCGGTGGAAGATTGGACAACACGTTCGCCAAATGTAACTGACGGAGTATCCGCAGAAACAAGGAAGGCCACAAGGGTATCAACTCTAGCGGCATCGCGTCCCAGTGTAATACTTTCCACAACGCACTTCTTGTTAGCCCCCAAGAAGGAGTCAATTTTGTGGTGAGTCTGGGCCAAATCGCCGGCCAAGACTGACGAATTCTTGTCACTCTTGCGCCCAACGAAGACAAGAGATCCATCGGAGTTGTAGCGGACGAGGTCTCCAGTCTTGAAAACGCGATGCTTACCATCGTCACGTCGACCGGATAACCATGTTGGATTCTCGAAGAAGTCGTCGGTCTCGGACATGCTGTCGAGGTAGCCACGAGCAACAACCGGTCCCTCGAGCGCGAGTTCTCCAACACTGCCAATTGGAACAAGGGTGTTGGGGTTCTCAGTGTCAACAACCCAGGCGAGGCAGGAGGTGCTCTTACCAATCAGGGTGGCATCATCCTGATCTTGAGAGCAGAAGAGGTGGAAGCAAGCAGAGGAGGTTTCGGTTGTGCCATACAAAACCTGGAGATGGAGATCATCGTCCTTCCAGTTGTCAAGAACACCTTGAGGGACAACCTCCCCACCGAGCGCAATGGAACGCAAACCCGGCACATCCTTTGGCGAGAAGAAGCTTGCAGCAGTGGGGGTGATGCTGGCAACATTGGCGTGGAGAACATTGATAGAGGCAGCCAAGTTGAGAGGATCGATGTCAGCTGGAATGCAGACGCAACCGCCCCACATGAAAGTACCGAACGCCTCGAGGAGGAATCCGTCGGAGGTGTGGGGGGCAAACTGGAATGTTCGCGAGACATCAGCAATAGCCATAGTTGTAGCAAATGCCTCAGCACGACTCATGATGGTGGAGTGCTCGAGAACGACACTTCTCGCGGGACCAGATGTGCCGCTGGTCATGGCAACATATGCGACTTCGGAAGGCTTTGTGACGGGCTTGAGAACCTCGTCAGCGAGATATTCAAGCAGGGATTCGCTGACGGGGATGACATATGGAACAGTATCCTCGAGGATCTGAGCCTTCTCAGGTGAAGCCAGAGCCACCTGGAGAGCATTGTCGACAATCCACTTCTCAACCATGGGCAAGTTTTGGGTGCTGCTAACTGGCATGCAACCTCCGCCGGCCTTCATAACGGCTAAGGTGGCGACCATGTTCCAGAGGGACTTCTCAAAGCAGATAGGGACAAGTGTTCCAGGGGCAACACCAAAGTTGACCAAGTAGGTCGCGAGGCGCGAGGAGTACTGATCAAGCTTGGAGTAGGTAAGGTTCCCATCCCAAGCAGTGACAGCGAGAGCATCGGGGCGCTTCTTAGCCATTTCTTGCACGGCGTGGTGAGCGCACCTCTCGAAAGGCTTGGGAGTCTTGCTGTTCCAATTCATGATCTGGGCCTTGTTGTCCTCAGTGAGGTTGTCAAGCTGGCTGACTTTACCATCAATGTTGGAGACAATGTTCTCGAGACACTTAACGTAAGTGTTCGCCACGTTAATTGCTTGGGCATCCGAAAGATTGCTAGTCCAGTAGTTGAGGTCAATGCGGGCGTCGGTATCCATAGCCTCGATGTTGATAAAAACCGAGAACTCTGCTGGGTCATGAATTGATCCAACCTCAATGCACTCGATGTCACTTTGAACGACATCCTTGGAACTCGGGAGACGACGGTAAGAAACACCCGAGTTGAAGAGATTGGTGTCGGACAACTTCAAAGCGTGTTGGATATCAATGAGCGAGGTGTGGCGGAAGGAAAGGCTCTCCATGTAGTCATTCTGAATTCGTTGCAGAACATCCCTGAGATTGGAGTCACCAGAGACCTGCATGCGGCAAACCAGAAGGTTAATCACCGGGCCGACCACCCACTGAACTTGATCAACGGAGACATCTCGCAGCGAAGCCATGTAGCTGAATGAGACATCGTCAGATCCACAGAAAGCGCGGAGAGTCAGACCCCAAGCAGCATTGAACACATTTGCCAGCGTGATGCCGTGCTTCTCGCAAACACTCTGAAGTGCAGAAAGTGCACCAAACCGGACGGGAATCGACCGAAGAGTCTTCTCTGCCTTCTCACCATCGACAAGGGTAGGGAAGTGGCAAGGCTTAGCATCAGCCAGGTAGGAGCGCCAGTAATTCATACTGGCTTCCTTAGGCGCACCTTGCAAGTACTGTATGTAGTCCTTGAACAAGGGCTGCGGGCTCTCCTCGAGTCTTCCTGCGTATGCTAACTGCAAGTCACGCATAATGATTGAGACGGAGTTGCCATCCATGGCAGCGTGACTGAGTTCAATGCGGGCAAAGAGTCGCCCAGTGGATGTCTGGCAGATGGAGAAGCGATACGCCGGGGCCAGCTCACTGTAGTCTTTGGGCTCTTGGTTGTCGAACGTAGCGAGGACGTCGCTATCGTCAGACGATTGCAGGAAGAGAGGAGTGGCATCGTACTTCTTGAGCACAACCTGGCAGAATGGATCGCGAGGGGTGAGGTTCTCTGCGAATATTGTGCGGAACATCGCATGGTGAGAGACCACTTGCTGCCAGGCATTGATGAGTCGGTCCAGGTTGGGTTGGTTTGCGCCAGTGCCTCGGATCTCGAAGGTGTCATGGACAGCGTAGTAGGAGCTGTCACGGGTACGTCCGAGCAGAATACCCTGCTGCATACGAGAGCAAGGATAAATATCTTCCACAAGGTCAGAAGACTCTATGCCCATAGCAGGCAATTTTTCGTTGAGCAACTTCTCCAATGTTGGGTAGGTCAATGAGAGCATCGGGAAAGAGCTGAGAGTCAGACGGGGCGTCGCGGTGGGGAGCTGCTCAGAGAGGCTAATGAGCAACTGCTGGCAGTCGGACACCCAACGGTGAATGCGGTTCTGGTGCTGCATGGTCTTGTTGAACGAGAAGTTGAAGCGGGCCTTGCCAGCAACGACCATGGCAGAAATCTCGAACAAGCCAAAGCGAGGAGTATCAAGTCCAAAGTCAGCGGCACCACCTCCTTGGCCAGCCTCACCGGCCATCTGGTCGACGAGCTGGAAGAGTCCATCCTTCCGCTGCAAATCGCGATGCTGACCAACATAGTTGAAGGACATCTCGAACGGATGGGGGTGCTCGGATTCGTTCCGACCAGCAGTGGGCAATGCTCGGCTGGTGAAGTCTGCACGTCCATTGTCCGAAACACGGCGACGAAGATCTTTCACCTGCATTAGGGTGTCGATCGGGTTGTCCGACTTGTATGAGGAAACGAAGATCGGTTGCAAAATTGTAAACCAGCCGACAGTGTGCGAGATATCGATCGACGAGTCCCAAGCTTCACGACCATGTCCCTCGTTGTAGACCGTCGGTAGTGCGCGATCAGGGAAGGACCGGCCGAATGAATGAATCATTGCGGCAAGGAAAAGATCAATTGGCTCTGTGCCGAGAGCATTGTGGCAGTCGAACAGGATTGCGTTCGTGTGAGCGGGATCGATCTCGAATGAAGCACAGTCGACATCGCCGTAGGTGGTTTGAGTGTTTTGCAGTCCCCAATAGCCAAAGTCTGGAGTGGCTAGAGCATCAGTCGCAACCTTATGCTCGATCCGAAGGTTGTTGCAGTGCTCGTTTTGGAGACGGCACCAGGTCTGGAAGGGCAGAGAATCGTTGCTGACACTCTTGTCGGGATGCAAGATGAAGTCCTCCAAGTCTTCCAGAATGATCCTCCAGGAGACGATATCTACAACCAGGTGGTGAGCAGTCATTGACAGTACATGTGGTTGGCCCTTCACCGTGAAGTAATCAACTGCCAGGAGTGGGCCGGAGAAGCAGTTGATGGATGATTGACTGTCAGCGATTTGGGGCTTGATGGCATCCATGTGGTCAACAGTGTCGGCCCTCCATCTGTAAGAACCCTTGATATCGCGGGTAATGACCTGGCTCAATGCCGTTGCATGTCCCGTGTCTATGAATCGTGCGCGGAGCATGGAGTGCCGGGAGACCAAGCTCTCGATAGCCTTGCGGAGCGTTCGTTCGTCAAGTGGCTTGTTCATGCGGACCAGAACACCCTGGTTGAAGTGACCTTGCCCTTCCTTTCGAACACCAAAGTGGAGAATCTGAATGGGTGAGAGGTCGAATGCCTGATCAATGGTCTCCTCGTAAGTCGTCATGTTGCTGATAGTCTTCGCTCGGGTGGCGAGATCTCGGATCGATTTGCTGCGAAGGATTTCTTGTACTGAAAGCGCGAACCCACTCTTCTTGCACAGACCAATACATGTCATCGCTGCGATCGAATCACCTCCAAGTGCCAAGAAGCTCTGGTTCAGGTCCAACTGGTTCTGGGGGATGTTAAGAACGCGGCTATACACAGCGGCCAAAGATTCCTCCCGTTCGTTGGCAGGCTGTGAGTTCTCTGCGTCGAATACTGAGACAGAGGTACTGTTGTGAAGATCCGGATCACTTTCCATACCCGCAACCCAAGTAGCGACACCTTTGCGATCCAGTTTCCCAGATGGCAAAAGTGGCAGAGCTTCAACGCAGAGCCAAACCGCAGGGACCATATAAGTCGGAAGCCGTGCGGAGAGACGCTCACGGATTCCAGGGACAATGGCAGCCTTTTTCGAGGCGGACACTAGCCGCAGAGGCTCCAAATCTGACTTCAACTGTTCAGCGAGTAAGCCTGTAGAAGAGATAACCGCTGCCAAGCGACCCTTGGAGAAGCCCGACTTGGGGAAGAAGACGGAGCAGTGAGTGACGTGCGAGTCGATGTACAGTTGGTTCTCGATTTCGCCAAGCTCGATGCGCTGTCCGTGGACCTTGACCTGAGTATCCTTCCGACCAACGTAGTTGAGTGCACCAGAGTCAGCGTTGTACCTGACAAGATCACCAGTCTTGTAAAATCTGCGGTTAGAAGGACTGTCCGTCTCCAATTTCGTGAAGGCAGGATCGTAGATGAAAGATTCGTTGGTCTTCTGGGGATTATTCACGTAGCACCGGGCCAGGGACGGGCCTTCCAAAAGTAGTTCGCCGGGGCAGCCCACAGGGACCAGTTCGTCGTGGTTATCAGGGTTCACAAGCCAAGCTCTGACACCGATGGGCAGGCCGATATCTTTGCAATCAGTGTCTGGTGTAACACACGAGTTGAGCACGGAAGCCACACTGGCCTCAGTAGGCCCGTAGCCATTGACTAGTTTAATCCTGGACCAGGTAGCCAGCTGCGACTGAGACATTGCCTCGCCAGCCAGGACCAGACTCTCCAGTCCTGGGACGCTGTCGATTTCAATGAAGCCGATGAATGACGGGGTAAAGCATGCTTGAGTGACTCGCATGTCATTGATAGTGCCGACAATGTCGTTGAGCCGAGCCTCCTCGCTCGGGATGCACACGCACGCACCATGTATGAGCGGCGTCAACGACTCAGACAAACTAGCATCGAACGTGTGCGCGGCAAACTGGAGACAGCGCGAGTCTCGGAACACGCGCAGGCCTGGCCCATGCACGATGGCACTCGAGAGGAATGCACGGTGCTCCAGCAAAGTTCCCTGCAGAAGTATCCAAGTCAGCGGCTGAATCCCTGCAAATGGCAGGAGTAACAGTGTCTCTCACCTTGGGCTCTCCAGTGGACCCGGAGGTAAACAAAACATAAGCCGCATTTTGACTTGTAACACCCGATGCTAGATCGACACTGTCTGCGTCGGACAAACGATCCAAAGTCTCCGTGTTAAGGGGTATTAAAGTCTTTACAATAGGGCGAAGCTTCTCTGCACGCGTGTCGGAGCAAAGTACAACTGCAGCCTGGACGGATGTGATGAGGTTCTGCAGTCGGGAAGTTGGGTGCGTGGGATCGAGTGGGACGAAAGCTCCCCCAGCTTTCATCACGCTAAGCATTGCGACGATGTTCCATTTCTGCACCTGTCAGCCACCTCTCTTCAACAAGATCTCAAGAAAACTCACCGATTTGTCGAAACACAATGCCACGCGGACTTCCGGGCCAACGCCCTGCATGCGCAAGTGACAGGCAAGCTTGGACGCATGGTGGTCCAGCTCGGCGAAGGTCAATTTGCCATCCCACGCGCACACAGCCTCGCGGTCTGGTCCACTAAGTACCTGATCGTGGATAGCGTCATGGATGCAGCGATCGTGGAGTTTAGGAATAGTGGAGTTCCACTTGCGGATGCGTTGCCAGTCATTCTCCGAGAACAAATTAAGCTGGCTAATAGCGGTGGTCTCGGCAGCAAGGACTTTGGCAAGCAACTGCTCAAAAATGTTGGCGACACTCTTCATCTGGTCTGCAGACATGTCGCCCTTGCGCCATTCAAGAAACATGCTGATATCTCCGCGCATGACCTTGACATGAAGACGGACTTGACACTGCGCGTTGTTAGCACGAATTATACTGTCACCCAATGATCCGAACTTGTACTCACCTCATCTGAGAGAGCCGTTGCCAAAATAGGTTTTGAAGGTGAGGCCGGCGGATCATATGTGCGCAGCATCAAGATGGTGTTGAAAGGAAGGTATCCCTCGGAAGCGGCCTCCGAGCTTCCACCATTGTGCTGTTTTTTCAGGCCGGTTGCGCGCACCTTATCTACAATTGCCCTGAGAGAGTCATTTTCGTTGATCGACAACCGAATGGTCGAAATGTTGGCGCCATTGGCACGCTGTACAGGTGATTTGGGAGAGCGCGAGTCTCCCTCGAGGTGTTGGTACCCGAAGCAAATATCCTCGGAGCGGATATAGTAGTGCAGGACGAGGGCCCAGGTTGCGCGTAACAGTGAATCAAGGCGACCTTCGTTGCATGCCGTTAATAACTGCGCATGCTGAGCGGCGGTTGGTCTCGTCTTCATCGAGACTGGCCGTTTGGGCCCGTCGACCGCCGAAGCGAACCGAGGCAGATAGCACTGGGTGGATTGAGCCATGTCTAATTACGGGGTATCGTTTGTCTTTCCGGTTTGTGCTATTCCTTTCCTGCGGTCGAAGAGAGTGAGGACCTCAATGGACGATGAACGACAAAATTAATCCAAGAGAGGTTGATAATTGGCAGCGCTCGCGAAATCGGATGGAGCCGGTTGTTTTAAACATCTACAGGGTTTTTTGTTATTTATTTTTTATTACCCTACGCCATAATACCCAAGCCAGCATCGCCATGCCGGGGCCAAAGCCTGGAGCAATGGCAAACCCGCTATCTTCCTTGCATGGGTTCGGATCTAGATGAATGAGAGCGAGAGAAAGATACGTACTGTGGATCGGTACTTAGCCCCTGTGGAACCAAGTCAGACACTTTTTTATATTTTTTATGTGAATTTTATTGTTAGTTAACCCTTTCGCAGCGTAACCCGCTCTGGCTGCTAACACCGAACATGCAGGGGCAAAGTCCTGGGCTCTTTTCCCCCAAGCGAAAGCCTGCAGTTCCCCGGCCAGCCCTTGCGGTCTCGAACGTGGCTCCTAGCAAGGTATAGGTGCCGTCTACTCGATACGCCACCCAGAAATGATGGCGATTTTGTTGTCCTCATGCTTTTGTTCGCTACTTGGCCTACTCGTCGTGCTGACTTGCTGACGATGATGACAGTGTCAAAATACATAGGGCCTAGGGAACATGCGCTTGGTCCCTATGCCCTCACCTCCTGTAGAGATGATACGGATGTATGATGCAGCTCTTCTGCAAACTTTTGGCGCCAACGCAGGTATACGGGCTCCTCACGAGGTGAGCCGATTATCCTTTACACCGACTTGTGCACATGGCACTGTCCCCGTTCCAATCGCTTGGAAGCTCAGAGTCCGCATGGTACATGAACAGCGAGCTGAGAGCTCGGCGTAAGGTTGAAAGACGGTGTCGATCGATGATGATTTACCGCGCAGTCCTGTCACGTCCGGTTGCGAGGACGTGGTGTCGATCTGTCTGATCGCGATCGGAAAGTCAATGTGCCCTCGATGTTGTCTCGGATCAAACTTCGGAGAACTTGCAAGTTATTTCAGTGGGGTATCTCCGGAGTCACATTGCCCCTTCATACGGAGTACGTCGGACGTTGGATCTACAGCACTGACAGAGATTTCTTAGGAAAAGATAGGCGTTCGGAGGAATAATCGGCTTAGTGGACTAGCCCTAACTACAGTATCGGTGGCGAAACGACAAAGCCGGTAATTCTTGCGATCTAATTGCAACTAGGGGTCAGAGACGTAATGAAATGATCTGTAAATCGTTCGCAGATTTGTTGTGACGGCGTAAGCCACTAGCAGTGGCTTCTGCAAGGGTCGTCAAGGGATGTGGCTTTATCCCGTGACCTGTCTACTTGGCAATGTCATGAACAGTAACAGCTACACCTTAGAGCCCCTATTCCTTATAATATTTTTGTTGCAGAAGATCTGTGAGAACTGTTGTTATCAAAGAAGCAAAAATTCTCCTAAATGTTGCGATCGTGGCTAATACTTGCTTTTTGCATCACGCGCTTCAACTTTACTACCTCTCCATGTGGTCTTACATTGCTTTTTCTTTTATCTCGCTTACAGGTTTTTTTTTACCTTGTCCAAATTTCCCTGCTTTTTCTCCTGATCGTTCTCGTATAGACACAAACAACGAGGACCTGGAACGTACATATGTCGTTGTTTCTCCACTCGCCGGTTCAGATTTTAACCTCCAGATCGATGTTGATCGGCGTCTTACCCCTGTTCGGGTCGAGCCGTCTAGCTGTTAGGCGTTTTCTATGTTGCCTGTCAGCTAGATCCGGCTGAGACCCACCAATCGTCCAAGTTTAGTGGTAAATCGCGAAGATCCTTGGCTTGGGCTCCCGAACTAACCGGTTTGTGGCCTTTCGGGAGGCTTGGTTGGCGAGCACTAGACGGAGCTAACCAGGGCTAGTGCGGGATTGCTAAGGATAGCTCCCGGGCTGGCGCCGATGCTAAACTAGATTGGACAAGGGACCTGACAGGTTAATAACATTGTTATGATCCACCCGGCGTCCGCATTACAGGTCACTTTCGAAATATCTGCGATCGCTTGAGCCCCATGAATAAATTAAATAGGCACACTGTACTGTACATGACAAAGCCGTATAACTTACTACAGATGCGAAAGCATGCCCCTCCGCATTGTTGGGGGATTTGGAATCGCCTGCATATGTTTCTGCATGGGATTTGCCACCCATCAACCACGCTTCACAAAAAAAAACCGGGCTTACCCCGGTCGGCCTCCACTATGCGAGCCTGTCCAATGACTCTGCTGTACTGTACGTACAGATCCCGAGTCCTGCAGGTTGGCCCAGCGACTCTGGCCACCACATCTTGGAACATGCAGGATTCCACGTACATGTATGTCCATACCCACCCGTTAGGTCAGGCTCAATCGAAATCTAGGACACCGACGCCAGCCCATGAAAATCCGAGGGACTGTGGTGGTCAAGTTTTAGTCTGTTTTATAGCAGTTAAAATGGACCATCGGGCAGGATGTAGAGCTTCAGTCCTGGTGGCAACCACTACGGCGAGTCAGAAGAAGCAAAAAGTCGTCATGACAGGTGGGGCATTCTGTGGAGTAAATATGAGAATTGTGATCATGACTGTTAAGGGTTGTCACTCGCGTGAAACTCGTCTTCCTTTTCTCAATGTAGATCCATCCGAAACTCTGCTTCACCGAGTTATTCGAGTCATTCTTACTCGTGTATGCATCTCACCACAATGCCATGCGGTCAGAGGAAAGCAAAAAAATAACAAAAAATAACAAAAATAACAAAAATAAAATAAAAATAAGTTAGCGTTCGGTTTCACTCGGAATCCAAAAGGATCTCCCGTCATACTAGGGGAACCGCCCTCGCATGAATCCAAAGTTAGCTTGCCCTAGTTCCAGACACGGGATTTGGCCAAAGGGGAAAGGGAGATCTCCTGGACATACAATTGGCCACTGAGACTATAATTAGTCCTTCATGCAAGGTCACACTTTTCACCTCGTGTTGGTCGGGATATACCTCTCAGAGGTGTTACTTTCTGACTCCAGGGGGAACAAAGCTATTGGTGCCTCTGCATCCCCCACATCCCCAAGGGGGACATAAATTCACAGTAAACTGAGCTTTAAGTCAACATGACCACATTCGAATGAGCAAGTGGGGGCATGAAATTACAATCCAAACTCCAAGAGGAAAAATAGCCATAGAAAAGAGCCCGAAATATACCCAATTGCCCCTGTGAGGTGCAGCTCAATGGGTCGCCATACAGGAAAGGACATAGCAACAGAAGTCTAGATGAGCTCATAGAACATGGCTAGTATTTGCATTGTAAGATGATTGCATCAAGTCTTTAATCCCATGTCCACTCTGGTGCAGGGAGCCAGTGGCAAGGCTCATCAAGGCGAGCTCAGGGCTGTAATCCTCCTAGATGTAGTAAGCTCCTGCAAGAGGGATACAAGACCTAGTTGACTCCTATGTACCTTCTATGGGGACTGCGGCTAGTAGAAGTAGGATTCTAATGTCGCTTTTAGATGCATCCAATTCCAGACTAAAGGCCTAAACTTTCCCTAATGCATCTGCTTTGACTCCATACATTCGTTTGCTTTCATTTATTGCATTTTTCTCCTAATTCCCCGCTCGTTTCTCGAGTCTCTCTTCTCTTCAACCATCCTTCGTCGACAGGTGGTTCAGGATTAGACATGACATCCTCTCTCTCTTCAGGGCCGTCGTGCCGCGATCTGGACAACACTATGCGTATTGATGCTGGATCGTGCCGCGGGGGTTTCGACTTCTCTCTTTTATTCGAAGAAACTATTCTTGAGATCTTACCTATTGTCTTAATGCTAATTGTCATTCCTGTTCGTCTCTGGCACCTTTCACAAAAACGGAACAAATTTGTTGGATCATGGTTGCTTCTCGTCAAGCTTGTAAGTGGCGCACTTCTCTTTGCTTTTTTCCAATCGCAGCGAACACCGTCGGATTTGAAATGTTTAACCAGGCATCGGGAACTATTCTTATCTAATGCGTGTGTTTTCCCTATGACAGGCAGCTTGGTTGGGATTGGTAGCGCTCCAAATCGCCCAGATAGCTTTATGGTCTCTTCCAGCAGCCGACAGAACGAAGGCTTCCATTGCAGCCAATGCACTTCTGACTGTCGGTGTGCTCATGCTCGGTTTACTCTCATATGCAGAGCACACGCGATCCGTGAGACCATCGTTTATTTTAAACACCTACCTCTTCTGCAGCCTGCTTTTCGATATTGCCCGGTCTCGAACTTTATGGCTGCGCCGCGTGGATTCATTCAATGAGATCATTGCTATTGTTACTACAGTAGCGGTAGCTGTCAAACTTGTTCTTTTCATGCTTGAGGCTATTGAGAAGAGGCACATTCTCAAATCGAAATACGCCAGTTACCCGCCAGAAGCAACAGCTGGTTTCTATAGTCGCGCGGTTTTCTGGTGGCTGAATCCTCTCTTCAAGATTGGCTTTAACAGCTTCCTTCGTGTGGATGACTTGTCTGTCTTGGACAAGGAGCTGAGCTCTGAGCGCCTGTTCGCCAAATTTGAAGAAACATGGAGCAAAGGTAATATCTTTGTCTAGTATATGCTGAACATAGCTTGCTAACTTGATTCAGTGATTAAGAAATCTCCCAACACTTTGCAACTGGAGGCACTCAAGGCTGCCAAATGGCCTTTGCTTGCAGGTGTACCCGCCCGAGCATGTGTTGTGGCTTTCAACTTCTGTCAGCCTTTGCTTCTTGAGAGATCTCTGTCTTTCTTCAATTCCCCCGAGAACAACGACTCCAACAATGTTGGTTACGGGCTGATTGGCGCTTATATTATGGTGTACTGTGGACTTGGAATTTCAATGGGTCAGTATCAACACTTGACTTACCGTGGAATCACCATGGTCCGAGGAATCCTCATCACGATGCTCTACAAAAAAGCCAGCTGCCTGACTCTTACTGACACCGACCCTGCCAACTCGGTCACATTAATGAGTGCAGACGTCGAGCGCATCACTCAGGGCTGGCAAACAATGCACGAAATCTGGGCAAACTCCGTCGAGATTGCTTTGGCCATTTACCTCCTAGAGCGCCAGCTTGGAGTCTCCTGCGTTGTTCCCGTGTGTGTTGCCCTCTTCGCTCTGATCGGATCATTGGTCGGTATGTCCTTTGTGGTTGCCAGGCAAGCGAAGTGGCTTGAGGCCATTGAGAGACGTATTTCGTCTACTTCCGGCATGCTTGGGTCCATCAAGGGCGTCAAGATGCTCGGTCTGCAGGACTCCTTCATGAAGTTCGTGCATGGTCTCCGGCTGGACGAGCTGGATATCTCCAAGAAATTCCGTACCCTTCTCGTTTACAACATGGCTTTCGGTTGGTTGACTCGCATCTTTGCTCCGATCTTCACCTTCGGTGTCTATGTCGGCATTTCAAGCAACCCCCTGAGTGTCTCTCGGGTCTTCACGTCTCTGTCCCTATTCTCCCTTCTCGCGGATCCTCTCTTGACTCTGGTCATGGCATTGATGTCTTTTGCCGGTGCTCTTGGATCTTTCCAACGTATTCAGCAGTTCTTGGATAAGGAAGATCACTCCGATCGCAGACGCCGAGCCTCTCAGACCCTGATACTCAATGATCTCGGCGAGAAGCGACTGCTTAACAAGTCTGATGATCTCAACCTATCTTCTTCTTCTATTAACTCCGACTCTGTTGAATCCTTTAAGCACACTCGCAGACCCTCCTCAATGGCTAATGCCGTGATGATTCAGAATGGAAGCTTCGGCTGGGATGCCGACAAAGACCCGATTCTGAAGGATATCACATTGACTGTTGCTCGGGGTAGCTTTACAATGCTTATTGGATCATCTGGATGTGGCAAGTCTACACTGCTCAAGGCCCTTCTTGGAGAGGTCCCTTGCTCAGAGGGCCAGGTTGAACTATCTACTCCCAGTGTCGCATTCTGCGATCAGACGCCCTGGCACATGAACGGTACTATCAAGGATAGTATCGTTGCAATGTCTGACTACGATCCCAGATGGTATGCCTCTGTGATTCAAGCCTGCGCTCTGGAAGAAGATCTTGCACAGTTCCCTCGTGGAGATGCGGCTGTTATTGGCAGCAAGGGTATTGCGCTCAGTGGAGGACAAAGCCAACGTATTGCACTTGCTCGGGCAGTCTATGCTCGGAGAAACATCATTATCCTCGACGATGCCCTCAGTGGCCTTGACGCTACCACCGAGAACCACATCTTCCACAACCTGTTCGGAAGCGTCGGGCTCCTCAGAGAGATCGGTGCTACCACTATTGTAGCTTCGTCTTCCGTCAAACGTCTTCCTTACTCTGATCACATCGTCGTCATGGACACTACAGGCCGCATCAGTGAACAAGGAAACTTCCCTGCTCTGAACAAGACCGGTGGATACGTCTCAAGCTTCGGTCTTGGTTCGCCTGACTGGGATTACAAGCCGAAGAGATTCTCTGATTCCCCAAGCTACAGCAGCATAGACACTATCCAGAAAGAAAAGGAGGCAATGGCCGAAGAGCCAGAGCATCGCGATACTGGCGGCGATCTCGGAATTTACACCTACTATATCGATGCCATCGGATGGCTTCCGGCCATCGTGTTCATGGTCGCCATGGCCAGCTTCATCTTCTGCATCTCTTTCCCCAGCATTTGGATGAAGTGGTGGGCTCAGTCTGACACCGCACACCCCAAGCAGGAGATCGGTTACTATCTCGGTATCTACGTGATGCTTGGCTGTCTCAGCATGATTTCTTTGCTCGTCGGCGCCTGGCAGATGATTATTACCATGGTCCCCAAGTCGGGCGAGAGCTTCCACCGCAAGTTGTTGACGACTGTGCTCGGTGCGCCCATGTTGTTCTTCTCCAATACCGACAGCGGATCAATTCTCAACAGGTTCAGTCAGGACTTGATGCTCATCGATATGGAGCTTCCCATTGCTGCTATCAACACTGTTGCTACCTTGTTCCTTTGTCTAGCACAGATGGCGCTCATTGGAGTTTCTTCAAAATACGCGGCAATCTCTTTCCCGATCGTTCTCGGTATCTTGTTCATGATCCAGAAGATGTACCTGCGTACCTCGCGCCAGCTCCGTTACCTGGATCTTGAGGCTAAGGCTCCGCTGTACTCGCACTTCACCGACTGTCTTCAGGGTCTTGTCACTCTGCGTGCCTTTGGATGGCAGCATGCTATGGAGAAGAAGAACATTGCTCTATTGGATCACTCGCAACGGCCCTTTTACTTCATGTTTGCTATCCAGCGCTGGCTTACTCTCTCGCTGGATATGGTTGTAGCTGGCATCGCTGTCCTTCTCATTATCCTGGTTGTTGCTCTCCGTGGATCTACTCTCAGTGCTGGCTATGTTGGTGTTGCTCTATTGAACGTTATTCAGTTCAGTCAGAGCATCAAGCTTCTGGTTACCTTCTGGACCAACTTGGAGACTCACATTGGGTCTATTCAGCGTATCAAGGACTTCACTCAGACAGTTGAGTCGGAAGATAAGCCCGGTGAAGACGGCGATGTGCCTCCCAACTGGCCGGCCAATGGTGCAGTCAGCTTCCACTCCGTCTCTGCAGCATACAGGTATGAATTCTACTTCTACTTCACACTATCATCATGCTAACACAGACTCAATCAGACCTTCCGAGCCAGTTCTCAATGATGTCTCACTCACCGTTAAGGCCGGCGAGAAAGTCGGGATCTGCGGTCGAACAGGAAGGTAAGAATAAACAGTCCAGACAATTCACCTACACAGAGCTAACAAGCCACCAGCGGCAAAACCTCAATGATCATGAGTATCTTCCGAATGATGGAATTGACCAGCGGCACCATCACCGTGGACGGGGTCGACCTAACCAATCTCCCCCGACGCGAGATTCGCTCGCGCATCAATGGCGTCTCCCAAGACTCCCTCCTGTTCAAAGGCAGTGTCCGCCTAAATGCCGACCCAACCGGGGCCTGCACCGACCAAGACATCCAGACCGCACTCAAAAGCGTGCAGCTCCTCCCAGCAATCCAAGAAAAAGGCACCCTGGACACCGACATTGATGAGATCCACCTCTCGCACGGCCAGAAGCAACTCTTCTGCCTTGCCCGCGCCCTCCTTCGCCCGGGCAACATCCTCATCCTGGATGAAGCAACCAGCAAGTAAGTCTCAGACCTTCCTATTCCAGCCCACGCACAGCGATCCCCCTCGCATCTCATGCTCCACACGTCTCCACTGCGCAACATATTCATATTGCGGTCATGGCTCAACGCCCCCTGCATGAGGCGGTTGGATCCGAGCGCAAGTCCCTTTTAGCCTTTGCGATCTATGCCTTGTCTCCACATCTCACATCTCAACATCCCTTGCTGTGTCTCTTGTCTCTGTCTACGTCTCTGTCTTGGACATTTTGACTAACGGAAACCACAGCATCGATACCAAGACAGATGAAATCATGCAACGCGTCATCAGGGAGAAATTCTGTAATCACACCATCATCGCCGTCGCCCACAAACTCGATACCATCCTCGACTTCGATCGCATCGTCGTCTTGGATGCAGGGCGCATCGTCGAGAACGGCGAGCCGTATGTCCTCCTAACAGAGCCGAAGTCGCACTTTAGCAAGCTGTATGCTAGTGCTATGGCAACGGAGGAGTCGGATTGATGTCTCTCTCCCCCTCCACTCCATATTTGTTTATTTGGCTCTTATCCGCTTGTTATTATTTTCCACGGGCTCGGTTGTCTGATTGTTTTTGCGCCTATACCTGCACCACCTACCTGCACAGATTGAAGCGTCTTGTTCTTGTCTTTTTTGGCGCGTCAATCATCTACATTCTCTTTGCTCTTGAGGTACATATCGACATCGACATACTGACTTTCTGTGTTATTTCGTTGTTTTGCGTTGTATAATGCTGTTTCTCTGTTTATGTCTTTTCTTGGGGGAATCATGATTGCAATGCCTTTCTTGACTATCTTTGAAATTATTTTACATTGATGGTGGGATTGGGATGAGATGGTACTTGGAACTATACTTAACCCTTCTATGGGTCTACTCTTAATTATAATCGAGAGTATCAATTGGATATTTCATAAGACTTCTTAATTTTGTGTGTGCTTTTTGAAAGAAGGAAAATAACCTAGATCGAACAGTTGCATGATTGGTAGGCGGTGTTGCATTCCTTCGATGAAGCGCCAAGTTACGTGTAGACGTAGAACCTCTCTCTAATTATCCGGGATTTTTATCGAGAGAGTGTATCAGTAATAATATTATTGAAACAATATGATAATTTGAATTTATTTCCAAGTTTATGATGCTGTCAATCGGAGTTGAGACATCGTCTGGTTATTTTTCTTGTGAAGCAGTAATATATAACTTAATCTACAGTGTCCATCCACCGCACGTACCGTAACACCCTCCTCCCGTTTTTATCACAAACCACTAGGTTTGGAAAACAAGAATAAAGCAGCTCTAATCCTGAAACTCCAATGTCAATATGATAGCAATATTTATCATGGCCTGTAGAAAGTGTAGACTGAAGCCCAAATCCGAATCCCCACTACGCCTACCAACAAAAAAAGCGACACAAAAATTCACATCCTATTTTGTACCCGTCCAAAAGATACAAGACTAGCCTAAAGCAAAGAAGTGATAATGAGAAAACACCAATAGGAGTACCATACATTGGGCAAAAGATCAAATTCAAAAAGCGAATAAAAGAGGCAAATAAAAACCCCTCGGCCTAAAATGCAAGTCACAAGTCATAGATAGAAAAGACCCCCGAGTCGAACGCTGCCTCAACTACAAAACCATCGTTTCATCATTATCGAAATCCTCATCCTCCTCTTCGCCCAGAAGACCAAACTCCCAGTCACCACGCTCAATGCGACTAACGCGGTCGAGCTCGGACTGGAATTCGCGACGGAGGTGCTCGAGCGTGACGATGATGCGACGCTTGAGTAGGTGGTTTGTGGGTGGGACCTCAAAGGAGACTAGACTGTCGCGCCGGTCGATTGGTGACGATTTGCTGTTGCCTCTGTGGTGGGTAGGTGCGAAGGCGACGGTGTTGGAGTGGCGTTTGTGTGTGGATGCGTTGGCATCCTCCATGAAGACGTCTTCGTCGGTATGTGTTGTGCTCTGGCGTCTTTCTGCGTTCGGGGCGTTGATTGAAGGACCATTCTCGACTAGGATGTAGGCCTCGCTCTTGTCAACGCATGCGAGCAGGTTGATTAGTGACAGGAGCTCGTGGCGGATTTCCTTGCTTTCAGCATCGTCTTCTTCGACTGGGGGACGGGATTCATCGCGATCCTTGCCTTTGTGGACGAGGGCTGATGACGGTGCGTCGCGGGCATTGCGGAGGCGCTGAACATTGCGGTAGGCGATCTCGGCAGCGCCGCGGTAGTCATTGCGGGCAATGCGGTAGGCCTGCAGGATGCGGTTGTAGTCGGGGGAGGTTTCGACTGTGTTGTTGTCGGCATCTAGCCACGAGGCGTAGGTGCTCTGTTTGCGGGTGAGGTGGACGAGGATCTCGTCGATGAAAGAGGCGATGCTTGGCACGAGAGAGGTGGGGAAACGGAGGATCTGCTTGAGGCCTGCGGTGCCAGGGCCGGAGACAGCCAAGATGGTGGAAACAAGCTCGGTCAGCTCTGTTTTTTGCAGTTTGATATCCTGCAGTTTGGCCAGGGCGGAGTATGCTTGGTCAAACTGGCAAGTCTTGAGGGCTCCCGTGAACAGTCGAGACAGGAGATCGTCGCGCATAGCCGGGTATTCGGAGTCGTGTTCGGCTCCCATTTCCGAGTCGAGGGCCTGCAGCGCCAGGCTGGCAAAGTCCGCGACATGCGAATACGAGCGCGCCTTTTCAAATATGGAAAGGATGTGCTGGTAGTATTTCGCAAGGCCGTTGTGGAAGCAATCGACATCAAGGAGGTCCAGGAGCTCTGCTGACACGTCGGAAAGGTTGCCCATTGGCTTTCCGGAAGCTGTGAAGAGTTAGTGAACTGCGTTAACAAGAGGGCATAATCAAATACATACAGAGCAAGTAAGCTGCCTTCCGGAAGTAGATAGCCGCAGTATCGAATTCGGACATGGCCACATGTAAGCGACCCTTGACATAAGTCGACCACGAAGTGCTTGCTTGGAAGCGAGAGAAATCCCATGCAAGATCAATGTTGTTTTTCGCGATGAGATCACATTGAATGTGGGCAACGGCGTTCTGGTAATTGACTTCGCCCTCGCGGGTGATCCACGCGACAACATCTCTGATCCCCAGGGTCAAAGTGTAGCTTTGCGGGGAGTCAATGGCTTGCTGGGGCTTGATATCGGTGACAAACAGATCTTCGAGAATAGTTGCGGTCCGTTGGTTCTTGTTGGTCGCATTACGGTCCTTCAGAGAACGGCTGGGTGTTGACAAGTCATTCCGTACCTTTGGGGCACTATCGGGGCATTTGCGGACATTCGAACTGAGCCAGTCCATCATCTCATACTCTCGTAGGAGGTCAACCATGGTGGAAAAAAGGTCTGCCGCATTGAAGTCCGACTTGGAGTTTTGTTCCCATTCGCCATCCACAAAGGTGACTAGAATTAACAAATCGAAGAACATCTGGCGCATGATAGAGATAGTCTCCTGGGCACCACTGACCAGAACTCGGGCACCAAAGTAGGTTGAAGCAAGTTCCGAGTCTTCTCCACAAAAGTGAAGCGCGGCGGTATGGATTATGGCATTGAATACGTCCATGGGGAGACAATCTGTCTTCATATGTTCGCTCAGCGCAGCATCTAGGGTGTCAAAGGCTTTGTTGGAAATTCCGTTCACAAAGTCGCATCGCTCGCGGAAAGTCTCCATGCGGTCCGTGATCGATGATGAGGGCTCGGAAAAGATTTCGGCATGAAGAGCAGCCCGACACGCACCCTCGAGCTCGGGGGAGAATCTCTTCCGGAAATCAGACGCCACCTTCATCAAGGCGGAGGCTGTATCATAGCACGGGCCAAGCTCTCTAGTCACGTTTCGATGCCTCCAGCGATCGGTCATATTGGGCACTCCATCACTCAGTTCCGTATTAGAATTGTGCAGAAGCAACTCAGTGATGCTGCATTCCCGAATGACAGCGCAGGAGTCTGACAGAAGCAGCCATGGCATATCGGTGTATGAGTCGTAGGTCAGAGAAACAGGTTCGAATCGGCGCTTGTTGAGATCCTCCGCGACTTGCCAGAACTGGCGCCACTTAGAGTCAGTGTCCGTGCAGAATCGAGTGAAGTCCATCTCATCGTCGGCAAATTTGCGAAGCGAGACTGCTGTTGCTATCGTCGAGCAGAGTCGTTCGGCCAATGGAACGTTCTTCTTCGGTGCAGATGAAGCTGACGAAAGAGGCTTGATAGCTTCTTGATAAACAGTCAAAGCGGTCTCAAGGACCTCGGGAAGATATCTGTGCGGCTGCAAGAGGTATTGAAGCCATTTTTCGGTGGGGTCCACCACATCGTCAATTACCAGAGATGGTGGTGCTTGTTGTCTATGGGTTTCGAATGTTGTTGAAACCCAATTGCTGGACCAATCTTTAACCAGGGTTTGAAGGTTGAAATGCAAAGTGTAGAGTTGGTATAGACCATGGTTTCTCCAGAGAACCCATAACTCCATTCCCTTGCCTTCTTCCCGGGACTTGACCTGGAAATCAGCGATGCTCCAGAACATGTTACCCGTGACATCGGGATCCACGGGCCGGAAAACACTCTCGGGGAAAAGTTCCTCAATTATCAGATCAGAGGTGAGACCACCCTTGACTGCCCAGAACTTGAACTTGCCATCCTCGAAAGGCGAATATGTGACAACATAGAAGCGATGTCCTCCGTCCATTGCCCGCTCGGCATTGAAGACACGCATGAATGATGTTTCGGCGGGGTTCAAAGTGTATGGCACAATATCCGGGTCTTGCAGTGAGCGTCCCAGGAGATCCTTTGTTGCCGCTTGCTTGTTCGTCGCGAGATTCCAGATTTTCAAAGTGTGGTTCAGACAAATCGCGAAAACGTAAGTCTCGTCCGAGGTAGTGGCAATGGCGTTTGCGACATTCAAATCGAGGTTTCGTCCATCGTGTCTGACCGAGGAAGTTGCGTTCCATTTCACAAGGCCACGAATCGAAGAACCCCATGTCCGTTCGTCGAAGGTAAGAGGAGACCAGTGCGAACCTAGAAAAAAGGGTTAGTCAGAACTCGAGTCGCGAAAGGAGCAGAAAGCAGACACAATCACTCACCATCATCGCCAGCTCTCCGCGTCAGCCGCAAGAGCGCGCCATTGTCCAGAGAGATGAACAGCTCCAGGGGGCTGCTCGCGTGCAGCCGGTGGGGATGCGAAAAGGCCAACGGGGCAGGAGAAAAGGTCTTGCACCAATCCCTCACATTCTCATCGATCGAAGAGGTCCGACGGAAGAACTCGGGGCGTAGAGACAGGGTGTGCAGGGTCTTGGAGGCGGTAATCACAAAGACATTGAGGATTTCGTGATCCTCGGGATCCGCCAATGCAACTCCATGGGGAAGAATCTGCTCCTGGAAATCGAGTCGCAGAGTCACATTGTACTCATAGACCTCCGTCCCGCCCTTCGTCAAGTCCGCGCAATGGATCTCCAACACCTTGTTGTCGTTGATGACCCTCCACAAGAACGTCCGCGGGTAGACTCTGCGTTTGCGGAAGTAGACCTCTCCCTGTGTCGCGAGGTAACGTCTGGCGAATTCATCTTCGTCCTTGGCGATCGGGGGTTGCTCGGGGGTGAAGGAGATTGAAAAGCGTGGGCGACTGATCAGGCCGCCGTCGTTGGCTGGGAACTGGATATTGGCGACCGTGGTCGGCGAGTATGGCCGAAGATCGACCCTTGAGTCTTTGTAGATTCTCGCCATGATCGATTGACGCGGGGTTCCAGAGTCAGCTCAGAACTCCATGGCAATGTTGAAGGGAAGTGTTGCAGGGCGGGAAGCTGGAGCTCTCAAAAAACAAAGTCTTGGCGCGATAAAGCGAAACTTTGCACTGGAGATCATTCTTGACTGCGTTTCTCTAATTTTTTTATTTTCTGATTGATGGTTCATTGTTTGTATTTTCTGTATATATTTCACTTCAGCCTCGATTTCTAGCTTACCATATGTAACTTTTCCTCTCCTCGATTTATACATCCCAGGTCCTTTACACTATCGGGCAAATACACGCCAGTCACAATGAAGCAACAATGTTATTCATAATAGATTCAATGCTATTAGATACGAATTTTAAACGCTGAAATGTTGCAGACCGCACTAAAGAAATGAAACTGAGGGATGCTCATCAAGTCACTAATATCGTGTCGCAGACAAAGAATGTTCCGCTCATTTATCCTCCAGATCCTTCTCATTGGGGTCACCAATACCATCCTCGTTAATAGCGAAGAGACAATCACTCTCGGGAAGACAAGGACTGTCATAAATCTTGCAAATACGAGTCTCACCACGGCCCTTCTTCAGACTGAGTCGAGTCGTACTGGCGTGTGCAATGATATTACCTCCAATGGGCTTCTTAGGATCCGGATTGAACATAGCACTGGGTCCACCATCAACCTGGGCAACAACCTGGTTGGTAATAACAACCGCAATACCGAACTCGTCTGCGAGGCGTTGCAGGGTTCGCATGAACTTGGCCAAATGTGTCTGCCGTGAGGAGAGCTCACCACGGCCATTGAAATCCGTTCGGTACAAAGACGTCGCCGAGTCCACAATCAGCAGTGAGAACCGTGTCTCGCACATCATCTGCGATGCTTGGTTGAGTAGCTGCAGCTGATGATCCGAGTTGTATGCACGGGCATATGCAACATTATCCAGGACTTCCTCGCCGACGAGACCGTATCGCTGTGCGACTGCGAGCAAACGCACAGGTCGGAATGTTCCCTCTGTATCGATGTAGAGACACTTGCCTTCACCGCCACCCATGTCGAACGGCAGCTGGCAGGTCACTGCGAGCGTATGGCAGATCTGACTCTTACCCGTTCTGAACTCTCCAAAAATCTCTGTGATTGACCCCGTTTCAACACCACCTCCCAGAAGTGTGTCGAGTCGCTTGGATCCCGTCGTGATGGAGATGAGCTCACTTCGCCTGGCGTGCATTTCCGTTGCCGTTGTAAAACCCATTGGTACTAATTTGGCAGCTGGGTAATTCATTCTCATCAGCAATCTGATCTTCAAGCAACAACTCTGCCAGACTCGGGGTGGGCTTACCCTCTACTAGGATCTTGGTGGCTTTTTGTTCCGAAATACCCTTGATCTGTTCCAACAACCGCTTGGGCCTGAAGGTTCCAAGACATGTTAGCAAGAGTGAGAGAAGAGAGCGATTTCCAGAGTCTCGTAACTACAATGAACCCGACGGTCATGGGAAACGTACGTGTAGGCGACAGCCTCGACGGTGTGGTACCCTGCATCCACAAACAGCTTGATATCCCTCCCGGTCAAGCCGGCAACGCCCTATCGGAGCAAGCATCAGCAATCTAGTCTAAAAGCACATAGCAAGAGCACGAAACATTGACTCACATCCAGCGCAGAGAGCGGGGTTGGGGCACCGGGGCCAGGAAGTCCACTTTCATCGAATTGCTCTTGTCCTTCCATCATGGCAGGGTTTTCCTCGGATATATTGATTCCGGGGGTATCTGTCTGTCTCTTTTGAGGACACTTGAGGCTCCAAGGCGCGGGTCTGAGAGACGCGTTCGTGTGAGATTATTCGCATGCGGTGGTGATTTCTTCTCTTGAACCAGGCTATCAATACCAGCGTCGCAGGTAGTGATTCAACAGACAGTCACCCGAGTGAAAAGTCGAGTTGTGGCAAATTGTCTTTGGGTCAACAATTCCCCTCGACGCGTTGATGGAATCGCGAGATCACGTGGGCTGCTGCCTTGGCCTTGCCTGATTTGGAGAAATCACAATATTTCGATGTGTGTTCTATTTCGCGAACATTTACCATCGATAACTCGCATCAGTGGAGGGAGTGTCTCATGTTTTGTGAGGTAATCCATCTACTGTTGATATGCGGACTTCAATGTCAAGGTCAATTTGCAAAGGTCTAAGAATACAATTCCGCCCCCATTGAGAAGACAACTCCATGCTTCCACTAAAATATGTTTCTTCCATGTCAATTGGAGCTCGCGCAAGACCAAGTGTTCAACTGCGCCATGTATCGCAGCGCTGGACCGCAATCAATGCTAGATGTGTCGAGACCAGAGAGCAACTGTCGAAGGTCTCAATGTGAAGGTCTATCTTCGCGCAGTCCAGATTTCCTGGGGAGACGGCCTCCCTTTTTCGGAGAATGTGCCTCAATGCGCCTCATTTCCAGCGGAGCTCATCCACGGACGGAAAGGACGAAGCAGCGACTTTCGCAAATTCCGTTTCTGGTACTCCTGCAGAGTTGGATTGAATTCAAGATGGTCGGCCGGCTCGCCCATCTGGATGTTCTCGTTGAAGATCCGGCTCATCTTGCGTCGGAACTCTTCTGATGATCGCCGGCGAAGGGTTCCTATAGGAGAATTCGCATTAGTTTCCGTTCCAGTGGCTGCTGTCATATTTCTGTCTTACGGGTAAACCGAGATACCCTATTATTCTCCGTTGAAGCATGGTCCATTTCATCTGTACCATCAGAACCCACGCTATGATCTTTGACCTCGGAATGGCGGCTTGAGCTGAAGATCCGAGTATGGAAACTGGCACGCCTCTGGCTGCGCGTTGTGTCTTTTACACTAACCAGCTTCTCCTCCTGTACAGGCGACATGCGGAGGGCATTGGGATTGATCGGCAAGCTTGCTCGACTTGAAAACGCATGTTCCTTGGATTCATAGGAAAATCCGGCAGAGGCTAAGTCTAGCTGCGAGAGGACTCCATGTCGACCAGCTGGAGGGACGGGTCTCGGGCTTATGAGAGTACACTCGGATCCCAATGACGACTTGGGGCTTTCGGATGCTTTGGATGATAATCTCAGCGCTGGACTGGCCGGCCGGCTTCCAACTGGTGTTGTGGGTTGGCAGGGACTGTGGGATGGTGTGTTGGGATTCGAAACCCAGATTCCTTCGATTGCGATCCCACTCTCCAACGCCCGAGCACCGAAGGGAACGTCGTCTCTGTGCAGCATTGGATACAGTTCGGCCTCTTGCTCTCTCGCGTGTGCCTCTTCTGCAGTGTACTTGCGGATCATCCATCGGTTGTAGGCCAAGACACCAAAGGAGTACACAAGTACTAGGGCCTGCAGATGCTGTCAGCCGTGTGTCTGGGGTATTGCAGGTAAGATTTCGCGTACAATCAGCATTGCCAGTACCTGTTTATGAAGCGGTTAGTGGACGTGTTCTTTAGTTCAAGTTGTGAAGACATACCACGCTGAGCTTCTCCCATAATTCCCAGTCCACCCAGAAGGCCATGACTTAGGTTCTGAGATTGGGTTTCCGTTGCGAAGGCATCCAAATGTATGATCTGCGAAAGTTCAGTTCGTGATGAAATAGAGGGCAGCGGAGAAATGCAGACTGGATGATGAGAGAGGGAGGTGAGGCTGTCTGGGAACTGCTTTGGAAGGAACACCCTGAGCATCTCAAGTCGACATTCTTTCTTTTTTTTTCTTTTTCTTTTCTAGTAGCGGCCTGGAAGATCTGGCTGTATCTTTCTGTGTTTCTGCTTTCTCTGTTAAAGGTATGTCTTGGAAGTGTATCTATCTTTCTTGTATTGTCTCACGCCAGTACCTTAGACTGGGGACAACACATGTATGCGGTTACCCACTGAATCACCCTCCATTATGGTTTTCAGAAATGGGCTAAGCAATGGCCATGGAATCATGGAAATATTTCAATGACATAAATAAAACAAAAATTAGATCGAAAAAGCGCAATGTTCGGCCAAACAAAAAAAAAGTGCTAAAAAGAAACTCTCCCTCGGGGAATCGAACCCCGGTCTCCCGCGCTTATCAGTTTTAATGACAAGCGGAAATCATCACCACTAGACCAAGGAAGATAGAATGACCGAGTTACTGCTCGACCACTTGGCTGGTTGATGGAGAATCCTGTTGTCTTTGACGTTATGTTTTAACTAGCGATATCACAGAAATACCCAACACATCCATAGTTCATCTCGACTCTTCTTGACATTTCTTGGGCGTAGTAGGATGAAAATTGATATAATATAAATTGATATTGACTTAGTTCATATTTGACCCCTATTACTGCTTCATAGACAAGAAACCAGAATATATCAAAAATGTGTATCTAGTGCAACAAATTGATAGATATATCACGGATACCATCAGAGCGTATACTTCATGTAAACCAAATTCCAATCTTTTTCTTCAGTGGGTAACTGCATCCGGATACCAACCATTTGTATCGCCCCCGGTCGACGGAATAGTGGGATCCCAACACCTCATAGACACGAAATCCTCCGGAGACCAAGCAAACTCTTGCGGATATTGACAGCCAGCCGCAGGATTCCTAACGTCCCCTTGGTACGACTCCGTAACACAATTTTGATCTCCATAGATTGTGCATTGCCCAGCAGTGATAAAGTATGACTTGGGCTTCGAAATAGTTTGGCTTTTACAGCTACCCCAATTGAGACCGCCGTCGGTCCACTTCCGGCACGAGGTCTCGTAGTCATTGATGTCTGTTTTGAGATTGGCTGAGAGATTTATGCATCTTGTGTTTGCTCTTGTATGGTGTCCTTGGACTGAGAGGTACTCTTCGCTTTCACAGCCTTTGTCCTTGTAGATTGTTATTTGCCACCTTGGGATTGGTGCTTCGCTCGTGGTTTTGGCTGCTTTTTTCTTGGTGACTGAGCTCGATTCTGTGAAGATGGTTGTGGTCTTTGAGGTTGCTTTTGTAGGCTTTGCCGTTGCTTCTGAAGAAGCACTCTTTTTGGCAGGAGAACCTGCCTGTTTGCAATTGGAGAGACAGCCTGTACCACAAAACTCACTCGTAGTGCCGCACTTACCTAGTTTGGAACACTTATGATATGGTTAATAGGAGTTACGAGATAGAGAGATGTTGGCACTCACACATTGACTAGAAACACACGGGTTGAGAGAGGCAAGATCAGAAAGTCTGGCAGGACGTGCAGTTCCAGGCACCTGAGGACCACATATAGCATTCGGAAGAGCCACTGGCATTGGATGATTTCCAGAGCTGAGACAGATAAAGTCACCTTGCTTCACTTTATTACAGCCTGTCCAACCCCAAGCCCCGGTGTTCCAAGTTTCAATATCGGCAGTGGTGATTCCGTATCGCGTGGCAAGGGCTGCGCAGGTTTCTCCTGCTTGAAGAGTATATGCATGACAAATGCTATCGGGAGTTGCCTTTAGTGCGGCATCACGTTCGTGGAGTGACTTTGACAGAACAGTGTCGTTGCCGCTCTCGGGCAGGGCCACAGCCCTGGAAATAAAAAGTAGAGTGAGAAAGCTGGATAAGTGAATGAGTTTCATTGCGTCGATGAAGTCCCTGAACAAGATCAATTATCTTAGGATCATTTCAGATTTATATAAGACATACAATAGACTTCGAACTTTATGCTCCGCCAGGGTTCATGCCGAGAAATGTCAATGCCTGTCAGATATGAGTGGCAAGCAGGAGATATATGAGATGGTCAATGCCAATTTTAGCACCAAACTCATTGTTCATCTACAGACCCCAGCAAAGAATCCGCCCAGAGCCAATAAACGCTAGGAATGCTGGAGGGAACAATCCTGGCCAGACAAAGAGCCATGTCTCCTCCGCGTTTTAATATCTCAAGGTCGCCTTTGTCTGCTATGCACGACCTCTCGAACGGGGTTTGAATAAGGTTATTCGAGTCATCTGCCCGTCGGCGGCTCTATTGAGCTGACTTCCCAAAAGGGCATTGAATAGCTTTTGTTACATGGGCGTCTTTTTCCTTTTACAGCATAGATGGCAGATAAAGTCAAAAAGATTTCCACGCGATCACGCGGCCAAGAGTCCACAATAGCTATTGGGGTACTAAATGGGAATGAGCCGTAAGATGATAGAAAAGCAATGAGCCATTGATAACTTCAGGGCTTAGTTATTAGGCTACATGGAAGAACTCGAATTGTGGAAGATTTGATGAAATAGATAAAGTGAGAGAAGTATTCATTCTGTAATGGCAAACTGTGCCCGTGCGAACTAAGATCTAAATTTCATTAAAACGTAAGGCTAAAAGGAACACATGCATAATTAATATAAAGAAGGGATCGCTCTCTTTTCCATCCACCATCAACTGTCTAGACAGCAATTGCCGGGGTAAGGGTGCCACCCAACAACGAGTCATTCTCATTGATGTAGCTGTCTGTACCTGTCCGGAAAGCGATCTCTTCTTGGGTGACAGCCGTGGTTTCAGGAACAGGGTGGTGAGCGGGCCAGATTTCATGGCCAACATCTTCCTCCTTTGAGCGGTGTTGTGTAACGACATCGCGCACAGTCTTCTGGAAGTGAAGAGGACCACGCTCCATCTCGGGGTGAAGCTGGCCGTTAACAAAGACACCGGCGTTGAGGTTCTTCTGGGAGTGGATGCAGAGGTACTTGTCTTCGGACATGATTCGCTTGTACATGTCGCTGATGAGGTTGAAGGCCTCGTCGGTGGCATCCTTGTGGCGATAGACTTCGTACCGCATTACACACTTGGTAGGGCTCGTAGGAGTGAATCGCTGCATGAAGAAGAAGTTGGGACTAAAATGTCTGGTTAGCGATGTTTTGATGTTGGCAAGAATGATGTGATGTACTTACGAGATGTTGAAAGAGGCGTTGGGCCAGAAGTAGGTGGTCGCTATCCGGAACCCCTTCTCGATCTGATCCTGGCGTGGGGCACCGTAATGCTGAATGTGGCCGTCCTTGGTCTTGACGTAATAGGAGTTGAGGTCGGCAATGGTGGGGATATCAGGGTGGGCAACTTGGCAGTGGTAGCACTCGTTGTAGTTATCGGCTAGGATCTTCCAGTTGAATTCGCCCTCCATATCCCAGGTGTGATCAAATTGGTACTCTTCGAAGTTGTAGTGCTCGAATCGGGGCTGCTCATCGACTCCCTCAAAGTCATCCTTCCAGGCCACCTCTGGTGTCTCGCTGGCATCCAAGTTGACCCAGACGAAACCATTTCGGTCAAGGTGCACATGAACAGGGATGAGGTCGTTGTTGAAAGCCTTGATGTTTCCTTCGTGGTCCTTGGCGATAACGAACTCGTAGCCAGCGGCGTCATATTGAACGCAGTCACCGGCGTTGGGAACGCGGTGCTTGTGGGTCGTGAGAAGCCACTTGCGCGAGAATATCGATCGTCGCTCAAGCTCATACATAGCTTGGGAGGTGTACCATGAAGCAGGCAGAGCACGGATGGGCTTCTTCTCCTCCTTCGCCGGCTCAGGCGCAAGGGCGGAGGTACCGAAGAAATTCCTCAAGAAGGACATTGCGAACCAAAGAGTCAAAGAAATGTCTTTGATTGAAATAAGATAGAGATTGATATTGGAGTAACGACTTTATACTTCTGAGCTGTTGATAACCATTTAACCTGGAGAACCCTCTTCTATATAGCTATCTTGATATCGACCGAAACACGGTGCTGACCACGCCCCCAGCACCTCCAGGGACGGCATCCACGGTAACCGTCCTTTCGCATCCGAACCGATGACATTTTGGGATGCTCATTGCGATCAGGTGGCCAATGTCGACGGGAGTTATATGTAGAAACCGATCATGTGACCGGTTGATACCCCAACGGAACCGAATGGCTTGGAAGGTTATCTAGCAAACAACTCTCTGCCGAACACAACAAATCCAGTCCGGGGGCTGGTTGTGGCAAGGCCGATAGCTCCCCGGACTGCATCATTGGTTCATCACAGGTCCACGTTGATCTCACCCCGACGCCCGTTCGCGGTTCGGTGCAAATCCGTCCCACACCGGCTGTTTAGAGATACCTAAAAGGGCAGTCTTTAACATTCTCCATGCTGCAGGGGAATTGAAACCGGGTATTTGGAGAACTGCAAGATGGGCTTTAAATCAAGGATCGTGCATCTATCCAATTGCGACCCAACTCTGACCCGCCATCGACAGGAGAACAATCTGGAACTTCCAAGACCTGGAGGTTGCAGATGTCATGATACTTGCAATTGGAGCTGAAGGTAAGCCATTAGTAGGTACCTGAGACCTTAAGACCACGGCTGGCTGCCCCTTCATGGAAAGTAACATCTCTCTGCCCCTCTCCCTGCCCCTTCTCTCCCTATTTCTCCCTATCTCCCTATCTCCCTATCTTTCTACCCCTTGGGCCTCAGCCTTTGCATATCCTTTGTTTGCTCCTGACACGTGTCGCGAATAGCCGATAAGGTTCAACATAGGGTTGCAGCGAGACTAGAGGTTAGGCTGGTCTCTGGTATTCTGATTCTCGTCCGCTCGATATACCCCAAACGTTTGCCGACTTGTGACAAGAAAGATAGCGTCCTAACAATACAGAACATATAAAGTTTCTGGTAAAATCAAATTTTCATCTCTTCGACGATGATTCGGATGTTCTTAACGTGCAAGATCGAGTGCAGCGACGCGGACACTCCAGCTTATCAACCCCGTCCATAGGCCATTATTTCTGATGTGTGATGAGATTTACGCATCTGCATTCTGTATAGAAGGGATTTCTTATCCTTTCTCCTTTGTCCATTGAATTATTCTCGTTCATTGAAAGGATGGGACTCACATATCGTAACACCTCTGATTTGGTTATCAGAATTTCTGGCTTTGCTCATCGAATCCCGGGATGTGTATAGACTCTGTTTGCCTGGTCAATCCCATGGTTCTTTCAGTGGATCCTTATCACTTGAACCTCGATAACACTTGGAGCAATTCTAATTTGACTACAGATCATGAGCATTGCATACTGCCCTGGTAAACTAGATAATGTGGCAATGCTGGTACCAATACCGCAATGAATTATACATAGAGCCTGGAAGAGCTGATCAAAGACAAGAAATCAAATCTTCAGCCCCAAAGAGCTTCGGCAATACATGTATCACTACCACTAGAAGACCATGGGGAAATACTTCGTAGGAAATCTGTCATGCGATCTCAAATATATTCGGCAGACCAAGGTCTGGTGAAAGCAGATATCGAAAGTCTGAGGGAGCAATTGGGAATAATCTCAAAACCGATTTCTTCGCTACAAGGAGAGGGCATTATTCCGGCACTAGATTGTCTCGCTGGAAGATGACCAGAGCAACTTCATACGACGGAGGATGTATTTGAAGACTCAGAAAAAAATAAAACAGTGATTGCCAGGGTCTTCAAATTTACAGTGTTGAAAATTAATTTGCCTCTGAAAACTCCACTCTAGCGAGAACAAAAGATAGGAACAGTGATAGACAGGGAAAGACTCCCAAAGCTCCGCTCATTACTATACCTTTCCAGCCCTGGTGGATGTTCAAATGGGAGAAATATCCAAAGTAAGCATCGATCACAACAGAAAGCAAACCCCCAAAGCAGCTCACGTAGACAAACACGGCTAGTGCAAACTTCAGACGAGGGCGCTATGGAAAGTTAGCGTGGAATAAATGACGAGGCGATCCAAATATAGATCTGAAGTAGAACATACCTTAGAAACGAATTGGGCAAGAGGGTTAATATTGTCAAAGAGCACCATAACGGGAAGTGATAGGGAAAGAAGTATGTCCAAGAAGGGGTTGCCCCCGGCTTCTCTTAAAAATACCATGTAAGACTGTACTTCTTTCTGTTGCTTATGCAGTGAATGAGACAGTTCATGGGCGATGGAGATTTTGTCGAGCCCATCGACGAGGAATACTTGCTTTAGCAATTCCAAAAGATCTTTATACATCTCCTCGGCCTTTGAAAACTTTTGCTGATGGGAAAGGGAGCGTGCCAGCCAGTAGACTGAAGTCATTGCCTCAGGGTCCTGAATACCCCGCGTTCTTTCTCTCAGATTGAGGCAATCTCGGAACATCAGTTCTGCCTCTGGATACTTCTCCTGGAAGAAGAGCGACTTGGCCAGCCAAATCTTTTTAGTCCATGTCGTCGGGAACCTGAAGCCTCTGGACTCCTACCCACGAGAAGATACCCACGGAACACTTGCTCTGCTTGTTCGTAATCTTCGCGTTTACAAAGCCTTAATCCAAGTTCCCATAGGAAAAAGGATTGACTGAAAGACAGACAGGTATAGTCAAAATTCTTCAATGACTTTGTGAGCTCCAGATACACATATTGGGCCTGTGGACTCTTTGAGTTATCGAGCAGCATTCCCAGAGTTGACAAAGTAGCCAAGGTTTTATGATTCTGGGGCCCAAACATCTTTTTCTGCAACCTGAAGAGCTTTCGGCAGGTATATTCGGATCGATCAGCCCTTTTTTGCTTCTTGAACAATTCAGTGAGACGTTCTAGAGTCATCATTGTGTCGGAGTGGCTTGCCCCTAATCTTTCTTGTTGAAGGTCTAAGAGTCTTTGATAGGCCTGCTCCGCTTCTTCGAGCTTTCCCTGGATTTCTAGAACATGAGCAGAGCGATACATAACGAACAGTGCCCAATGGCTGACCATGTCAGGGTCGAGTCCAAGATACTTTCGGTAGGTCTGTTCTGCTGCACTATATTGTTCTTGGCGCTCGAGTTCAACGGCAATGTCGAAAAGATCGTTTAAGTTATGGTCAGATTTGAGCGGCAAAGCCTCTGCTTGCAACAAGGCTACCTTGCTTAGCAGCTCATGCTGTTCCTCTCTGTTGTTGACAACGCGTGACAGCTTGGCCATGGTAGCAATGGTGCTGGAATCTTTGTTGCCCAACGCTTTCTTTTTCCATAGCCACAGTTGGCGAATGACTGGCTCCGCATCTCCAAACCTGCCCAGCAGAAGGAGTCTATCTGCTAATCCCTCTTGAGTTTCAATGGTTCTCGGATGATGATGGCCAAGAGCTTTCTGTTTTGCACTAAGAAGCTCACGATATATCTCCACGTCCTCTTGATACCTTTCTTCCACCGAATAAATGAGATGTAATCGCTCTAAAAGCTTGATAGAACCGAGATTGTGGGGACCTTGGACATTTTGCCACTGTTTTAGGGTCTCCCTGATATAATGTATGAATTCTTCGGTGTATTTTCCATCTGCAGATCTTACGCTGGTGAAGCCTTGTTCCAGCCATATGAAGGGGTCGTGCTCCGCACCGAGGTATTCCTCGCAAATCCTGAAAGCTTCCTGGGAAACTTCTCGTGTTATGATCTCTCTTCGATGTAGATTTCCTTCACAGGATGATACGATGTTTTGGCCGAAGAGATCCGGCGCTTCTTCTTTCAGTGATGTGTTCATCAAATGAATAAAAACGTCTGGGGAGTATTCTGGAAAGCGATGTGTATCTCCAGAAGATACCGCTTCTTTGCCAAACAGGCCATCTTCATCAAAGAGACCTAGCATGGGATCCTCAGTTTCAAAGCACAAGTCTTTCCAGGAAGGTAAACGCACAGTCCTAGGACTTCGCATTCTTGTCCAGTCTAGGGCGTCCTGTTGAGCTGCATTGTGACACGCCTTGACTGTTTCATCATGCCGTGGACCAAGAAGATATGCAAGCAATCTGAATCTTTGACTCAGGAACTCCCGCCATGCCAAATGGAACCCAAGAACTTCCCAGCAATACGCCGATTGGTCCAGAACTGCCGCAAGAAGAAGTCCCTCGATGGACTCGGGTCCTGCCAAAACTGCGCGAACATGAGACATCGCTCTTAGAGAGAATTCGATGCTTTTGAGCTGTGTTCTTCGGAGCCAGCCCTCGAGTTGCTGGACGGTGATGTTGAATGCAAGATGTCGCTCACTTTGTTGCTCCAGCCAATTTTGCATCGCGAGGCGAACTAGACGATGAACTTGCAACATGTCAGAGTAATCATGCCGTGTTACGAATGCGTACCCCAACAACGAGCCAATAGCTTCGTCTGTCTCAATCTTGTCGTGGCCATGAGAGAGGAGGTCGATCGGGATATCCCGTTCAGCCAGAAAACAGATTTGTTTGATGAACTGTGCCGCAAGTGGACTATCTCGCGAGATTTGAGTGAAAGATATCATCCAAGTCATTGCCACGGGGTTGATAGAATCATCGTAACGAGTCGTATCTTCAAACCCCTTGCCAAGCAGCCTCAGAAAGTCTTGCTCGCTCGACTGACAGTACTCAAGGTACGTCTTGATTGGAAGTCTTTTCATAGAAACGTACGCAGAAGCTTGTTTGACTGCTAGGGGCAGATAGCTGAGCAGACAGACTATCTCTTTTATAGACTCGATGTCATGTTGGTCTTGATTCAGAGTATTGTCGAACAAAGCTAAAGCTTCTCCTTCGGTCATTTCGGGCACAGTAATTATATGTTGCCCAGGGATGTCACATTTGACCGCAAACTCCGATCGACGAGTCGTGAAGAGTATGGAGCCGCCTTTGCTGGATGGAAAGTATTTGGAAAGCCTTGTTGTCCCATCGAAAAAAAGCTCGGTATCATCGGCATTATCGACGATCAACAACCAGTGATCTTGACTCTGGCTGAGAGCTTGTTTGACAAGTGTTTTCACGTCCGCACCAGGCTCTGTGATGCCCTCGGTCTGGAGCCGGTTACCAATCTCTCGGTATGCAGTTTCAAAACTGGCACTTGTCATAGCCGGAATCCAAAACACAGAGCAATCGGGGTAGTTATCTTTAACACGGTATGCAATTTCAAGTGCAATCTGGGTTTTTCCAATGCCGCCCAGACCATCCAAAGCTGTCCTTTGACATGTATCCTTGATGGTGGACGGTGGCACTCGGTCAAGTAGCTGTTGGATCATGGCCTCACGCCCGACAAAGCGTTCATTCCGATCAAAAGGGACCATCCAGTGGCCTATCTTCTCACAAGGCTGCTGGCTTTCCAATGATCCTTTTGCTTCGGCGCACATTTCTCTAATTCGATTTGACACGCTGATAAAGGACCGGTCTTCAGGTCCCGAAAACTTGTTCATGGCAAGATGATCAGTTTGGAGCGGGACTCGATCCCATCCATCAACACAAGCAGATGACTCCGGCACAACCCTTCCTCTGAACAACCCCGGTAAACCAAACCTCTTACCATAGTCCGTTTCATATAACTCAAAGAAACAGCAAGCAGGTATCAAATAACGGTCCCGAATTTGACAGAACTCGTGCAATAGGTCTTGCAAAGTATCATTGTCATAGACGAGATCGCGAACAACACCTCCATCAGCCCCAACAAGCGACATACAGGATGCACAGAAGCTGGCAAGAGGTTGCATTTTCGTACCACGAAAGGGTGCTCCGAGAGCAACAAATCCCTTGGTGGCTTGAAGCAAGTACAAGTACTTCCCGTCCTGTAAAGATTTTGCGCGAAGTAGGGCATTTTGAATGACCAAGCCACCAAGGCTATGTCCGATCAATATGATCGGTCGGTCTCTCACGCCGTCGCGAAATATAGGCAGGTTTTGCACTAGATCCTCTGCGCATAGCTGTAGGCGAGTTTGAGGGGCGTTTCTATGCCATTTTGTGTCATAATTGTATACCGCAATGCGTGCCTTGGGAACAATGGCTGGGAGCATGGTCTCGTCCTTGAGCCAGTGGACATATTTCGCTGGGCTCTGTGTGACATCTTTCCACGTCCATGACCAATCGACGTTAGACCCCAGACCATGTACTGCAATGATGCTTTTGGATAGTTAGATAGGTTTGTTGAACCTCATCATGGATGGCTTCTCACTCGACTTCAAAACCATTCTGGTCTTGACTTGGCCCTGCGCCAGGATACAGAGTGTCAAAGCCGCGCGATTTGACTGTTTTGAGTCCGACTGGCATCAGTTATTTTTTACATTGAACACTGCTGGAGAAAACTCACAGTTGTATGGCTTGGCTTCTGCCTAAGCCAGTATGAGAACACCAGGGCAACCACAGCGGCTACCAGGAGTTTTTCCACTTCCATGAGTACCATATAGCATATCAGGAATAGACATATTACTGAAAGTGCTGACTTCCTAGTTGGGCCGAGAATGAGTTTAGATGAGTCGAAGCGTAAGGGGCGAAAAACGCGAGGCTGATGCCAATCATGTGACGCACGTCCAATATGTTGATCACCGATGACCTCCCGCCAGGAAGCGTCAACAGCTTATGCTGCACGTCTATCAGAGATTATAGACGGCGCGGATCGAGCCAAGCCGGTTTGTGAGGTCCAAAACAACACTGTTGCCTTTCGAGGGCATCCATTTGTCGGATTGACCCGAGCGGCCACCACGCGAACAGGAACGAGCTACAGCAGGGCTATTACCGCCATAGATCCGGCAGCAAATCGTGCCCATTCAGTCTCTCGTTTCTAACTGTTTAGTAAAGCGCCAGAGAATTCTCTCTCGGCCATCAATAGGACTGTCAGGTGACTGGAGATGATATGCCAAGAAAAGACACTAGGCAGAGTCACCCCACCAACAATCCACAGCTTTTCTACAGTGTTTGTCGTCGGTACCCGGAAACACGGAGTATATGCGACTCGATATAACTCCGTTCTGCGATGGGGTTAAGAACTATCCTCAAGGGCCTGCGGCCCTCGCAAAGCAAAGAGACACCACGGTTGACAGCGCCTGCCGACAAAAACAGTAGCCTAGCACCTGGCACTTCCAACAGCCAGGCGTTGCAGCCAGGCGCATCTAACTCGCGTATTAGCCTTGCCCAAGATGACAATACCCCTCGTGACTTATGGGATGAAGCGTATTTGATTCTCAGCAAAGAAGACCCGAGGCTCTTCCAAAGATATGAGGAGATCATAGCCACAGAAGGAGACGGAAATGGTGATCTTAGACAAAAGAATCTAGGTCAGTTCGTAATATTGCTTCAAGGAAGTTGTTTATCTGACGTGACGGGCGTTCAGCTGCTACTGGATCATATCACCGCGAGGAGCAGCTTCGGCAAATAGCGAAGAACAAGATTGAAGAAATCAATCTGGCGCAATGGAAAGTCGATATCGGTAGCCATTCCGTTGACCTCAGTGGGCAATTCGACAACGCTGTGAAGATCACGATTGCAATCAAGGATTTCGTATCCTCAGCTGTCAGCTCCGAGCCTCATGCAGCACTAGCATGGGCTGGGGTGTGTATTTTCTTGCCGGTATATCCCAGGAGTTGATCAATGCTTTAAAATTGTGTTTTAATGTTTCGCCTTAGCTACTCTTAAACCCGACACAGCAAAAGTCGGATGCCCATGATGGCCTCGAGGCCATACCCTTCATTGTGCGGAGGCTAAGGGTTATGGAGAGACTGATCAGACCAGGAAAGTCCGGATTGACTGAGGGTGGCTATCATGTCGATAGCTTGGAGCTTGTTCGAGACTTTGAAAATGCAGCTGTGGAGCTGTATAGGACAATTCTCGAATTCCAGATCCGATTAGTGAAGCAGCACTCACGGAGTTGGGCAGAACGCTATGGGCGAGATGTTTTCAAAGTCGATGTCTGGACAAGTTTAACGGGACAGATTAAGGCCCTTGAGACAAAGTGTGCCGAGCTTGCTCAGGATCTGAGTCGTGAAAATATCGAAATGGCTTTACAAGACAGCGAGCGCAATATGCAATGTGGGTTCCAAAAGATCCAGCAAGAGATCGAGAGAACGACACGTGGTATTGAGTAACAGACCCTGATGCAATCAATTTGGCGTCAGACCGACGAAGAGCGCAGGTGTGTACAACTGTTCCGACAATCAAATCCATACGAGAACCAAAAGAACAGAACGCCACGAAGGGTCTTGGAGACAGGAAAGTGGTTCTTGGAGAATAAAAAGTTTTTGGATTGGCGAGAGAACGAAGGCTCCGATCTTCTTTGGCTGTCTGCTAAGCCCGGCTCAGGCAAATCCGTTCTGGCAAGGACACTAATTGACGAGGGCCTGGTTACCTTGAGCCACCAAAAGCAGACTGCGGTCTGCTATTTCTTCTTCAAAGATATTTCCCCATACCAAAGAAGCGCACTAAGCGCCATGTCTGCGATTCTGCACCAGTTGTTCTCAGCATTCCCGTCACTGGTAAAACATGCGCTTATTCCCTATGGGCTCAATGGGAAGGAGCTACTTCAATTGTTTGACGAGATGTTTGACATCCTCTGTGAGGCAGCTGCTGATCCAGCTATTGAACAAGTCGTGTGCGTACTGGATGCTCTCGACGAATGTGATGATGATGACCGAGTCCGCCTCGTTGAAACAATTACATCTTTCTACCACGATGCCATGAAAGCCCCAAAAGATCAGCCCAAGTTGAAGTTTCTTTTGACCAGCCGCCCCTATTCCAATATTCACTCGCAATTTCACGAAGTCATGAAAGAGACCCCTACAATCCATTTGTCGGGAGATCAAGAATCCGAAAGGATAAAAGACGAGATTAATCACGTCATTGATGTCGATATCCCAAAACTCGCTGCTAGAAAAGGATTCGATGGAGAGGCAACAGAGTACCTACTCGAGCAATTACATCAAGTTGACAACAGGACATATCTGTGGCTAAACCTGGTAATGGAAGAGATTCGCCTCAGTGAGCGGCCAGCCAATAAACGGGAACTACGCAAGATTATTTCAGACTTGCCGCGGAGTCTGGTTGACGCTTTCGATGCTATCCTGAAGAGATGTCGGCACAGAGAACTTGCAAGGCAGCTCCTGCATATCATTCTGGCAGCCCGGGAGCCTTTGACAGTTGATGACATGAGGATAGCTACAGCCCTTGCGGGCGACCTCGAATATCGTTCATATGAGGAGATTGGGAATGAAAGCTCAGACGAATTCGAACTGAGAATCAAAAACATTTGTGGTCTCTTTGTGACGATAGATGGTGGCTGTGTATTCCTTATTCACCAAACGGCCAAGGAATTTCTGAGACAGACCAATGACAATATTGATCATAACTGTGGACCTTGGAGACATACTTTCAGTGCGCAAGACTCGGAGACACTCATTGCAACCATCTGCATCGCTCTGCTTTCTTTCACATGCTTCTCTAAAGATCAGCTTACAATCGGGGCTGGTGACTCCGATCAAGCTCGCGACGAAATCTTAGCTTATACCAATGATCATCCGTTCTTGGGATATGCAGCAAAGAATTGGATCATTCACTCCCAAGAAGCAAAGCTGGACAACAATCCAAAATGGATGCTGTTAATGGCATCTCTATGCACCGTAACCAAACCGGTGTTCCAAACATGGTATATAATCTATCAAGGATCGAACCAGAATCTGCTCCCTCGGAAAATAACAAGCTTGAATCTCGCCGCTGCCTTCGATTTTACAAATGTGCTGGGTTATTTCTTGGAGAACGGCGAGGATCCAAATGAGCAAGATAGCAATGGAGCAACGCCACTCGCACGCGCTGCGAAGATGTCTAAAAGGGCTGTGCAGCTCCTTTTAGACGCCAACGCAGACATCAATGCTTATGGGTGGGAGGAGCCCTGGTATGATGATATCGACAGTGTTGTCACTGGAATGCAGTTCATGCCTTTCACAGGCACTCCCCTCACTATGGCTGTCATTTCCCGCGATGCTGAGATGGTCGAATACCTCATCAGTCGTGGAGCCGAAATAAACTTTCCCCCACTGGCTGCGATGACACCGCTCATTGCGTCCATTGTATGCAGTGACTCAACAGACATATGTCGCCAGCTGCTTTGTCATGGCGCGAATGTTTCTTTCGAGACACTGTGGGGGGGATCAGAGACCGTGAAATGTACAGCTCTCCATCTTGCAGCCGGACTCAGTAAACCGTCAATTCTGCGGATGCTTGTTGAATCGGAGACCACCAATATAAATCATCAGACTGCGGTGATAGGGAATGGTGTTCGAACGGAAGGCGACGATGCGGCTGGACCCCGATTGAGTTGTGACACACCACAGACTGAAATCAGCAACTCGCACTTATTCCCACATGATCCCCACGATGGAGGGAAGACTAATGAGCGCATTGAGAATGTTGATACAGACGGAAATTGTGAAAGCGACGAAGACGCCTCCGTAATCGACAATGATAATGCCAGTGAATACTACAGGTCTGAAATTAATGAGGACGATGATGAATCTGATACGGATAGCCAGTGGTCTTACGAAGAAGACACAGGGCTTACCGCATTGCACATCGCAGTTAGTTCTGGACTCGTTGAGAATGCCAAGATCCTTCTTGAAAATGGAGCCGATATGCATATCAAGACCGCCCACGGCTATACAGCCATGGAGCGGGCTCTCAATTGGCCTGTTAGCGACAACGATTCTGATTTCGAGACCCACGCTGCTATTAAAGCCCAGATGGTAGCATTGTTCCAACAGTACGATCATGGAACTCGATCGACGGTAAGCTGCCCGGTTCCAAGATTCTTCCGAATGCTGATCAGTTGCTCTGTGTTAGGGATTGTCCGCACATCGGGCTTGACTCCTACAGCACCGGTAAATAATCCCGCGCATCGCTCGTCGTGTTGCTCACCAGTTTCTGGGTTGAAAACTATAATGGTTGTGTGACGAGAAGGGGGGATTTTGAATGCGGGTAGTTATTTATGATCTTCCGTTATTTTAAGCCTCTATGTACTTTGATATAGATCTTCTACATGGAGAATAGAGTTCTTCGCTCATCAGAGCCGTATTGCGGAAATGACCCGCACAGCTTAACGCCGAAGTCCAAGCTATAAAGTTCAATTAATTACATTTTTTATTACAGTTAGTTAACACGTAAGCTCTTATAGTGTAAATGGCCTTAGTGCAAGTCGTCCAATGCCAATGCTCGACGTCAATGAAATACTGGAAATATGCTGAAGAGAGTACATACGACCACAGGGTGTGGAGAACAGGGCTTCCCGTCCGCTCAGCCGTACTTAAGCCACACGCCGGTAAGTTAGTAGTTAGGTGGGTGACCACTAGCGAATCCTTACTGTTGTATGTTTTTTGTCTTTGTTTTGTTTTTTTTTTTGCTTCTAGCTGTACCTGTAACATAACCATGCGATCCACACAATATCTCATGAATATTTGGTCAGTTTTGTTATGTTCCCAGCGTCCTCTGGTGATTCAGAGACACATAAAGATTAGGATAGGGCATTTTGTTTTACTATCTTTATCTTCACCACGACTACTTTGTTCTTTATACTTTGGTTTGTTACTGCAGTCTAGTACATCCATCCATATTCGACAAAAAAGGGAAATGAATAAAAGAGTGATATAAAAAGGCACAAAAACATACAACAGTAAGGATTCGCTAGTGGTCACCCACCTAACTACTAACTTACCGGCGTGTGGCTTAAGTACGGCTGAGCGGACGGGAAGCCCTGTTCTCCACACCCTATGGTCGTATGTACTTATTGCATCATTGTAGCAACTTATATCGCCATTCTGTAAAGCATTGGTCCGTATGAAGGAAGCCTAAAAGTCTTGGAGTGCGGATAAGGACAGAGTCACGCGGCCGCATTGACCCTAATCGCAATGATTAGACCGCGTCGAAATCACTTATAGACCTAGAACTAGGCACCATTTACGCGTAGTATATAAAGTGAAAGTACCAGAGATCATGACAAGGCTGTATTTAACAATTTGCAGCGATTTCGCTTGGGGCTCCGAATGGAACTGTGGGGGTTCGAGAACACCGGCCAATAGGAACAATCGAACCTTCTTAGCAGATTCTTCCATTAGGGGGGCACGCGACAAGTTGCCCAGTAGGGAAATTTCACGTAGCTGTAGGAAATGTAGCCAACCTTGGAATTTATACGAAACTCAGAAGAGCTGTGCCGGCGTTAGCCACAATATCATCACTAATATCTTGCCAGAGGCTCTCTTAGCTCCTGTAGGGCTACCCTGTTACCTCCATGCGCGGACGTCCTCTGCCGATCTTTGACCGAAACACCTCGTGGCGGGCTGTGGAGTAAGACCACGACCGCCCGTTGGACCCTTGGAGAGCCCTGCGCGCTCATTTCCGTTCGTCTCCTATATTCCACTTTTAGCAGCCTGCGATTCATGCGCTCCTTTTTCTTACTCTCATAGACATCCATCTCCCCCTTAGACGTGTCTTTTGCTGTATCCTCATATGACTTAACGGCCACTTCGCTTCTTTACATGCATGAGCGATGGAATCTTCCGACCGGCTAGGGGGTGTCCCCCACAAACTCCGTGGCCAACTTCTGGAAGCGCTCCTCTTCGCCCTTACTGTCGCCAAATCTCCTCAGCACTATCTTGACCTTGGCTGGGCAGCTTCACGTAAATATCTTTTCTCTGTCATTTTGATCTCCCTCGTGTTGTCCAAATGTTTCCATATCTTCGTCCATTTGAAGTCAATGACGCTTCCATCCCTTCTTTGGGGCCCCACCTTCTTTCTGGTGGATATACTATTGATCCTGGTCGCATGCGGTCTGACCCGATCGTTCGAATGGCGGACTACTCGGGACATTGCGGCCGTGGTCACTGTATTATCCAGGTAAGCTATCGTCGGACCCTGAAATACTCAAATGCTAACGCAACTTTAGTCTCGGTCTCTCTGGAATGACCGCCGCTAATATCTCTTTTTACGTCCAAACGGGCCTGGAGATCTACTGGCGGAGATCGAAAACATTCCATAAGGACGTGTCGGCCAAGACAGTCCTATCAGGATTGTTTGTCGCATTCGTTGTAGAGGGATTGATTATGGTCGGTGCATACTTTGCTACGCCGTATCTATTCCGTGCGACAGATGCGTTCCTGGAGATTTGGGCTTCAGTCTTTTCCGCCATATTCAGTCGCTGCCGTCGCAAGAAACCCTTGCCAGATCCAGAGATCTACGAGGAGATCGCCATCGATGACTACGATGACAGTGACAGCGATTCCGTAGCCCTGCTGGATACACCCAGAGTCCCGCCCGTGCAGAAGACCCATTCGCTGTTGAAGCGTGTCATCGTGATCCTGTGCAGTTCCGTCATCATTTTCCTCTGTCTTGTTCGTCCACAGGATACGGCGTACAGTTTTCTCTCTGAGTCCCTACCTCTCGCACCATTTGGCGGCCCCAAATATCGGCCTGCTCATGTAACTGCTGCGTCGCTACGGGGCTACTTCCCTTTGTTGAAAGACCGTTCCGCTCTGGATTATTTCCCGAAATTTGACTGGTTGCCTGTGGACGAGTCCACAGGTGAATTCCCTGATTGGTCGCCATTCCGCTATCTTAATTTCAGCAGGACTATCCAGGAATCTAAGTATGCACACTACAACCCGTTGAAAGATCCTTTGCACACCCCGAACCTCCAAAACAACATTTTGGAGCCTCTTCGTGAAGCGCTTCACGACGGAAGTGTGAAGATTAAGCATGTCATTCTCGTCAAGTTGGAAAGCACCCGCCAGGACATCTGGCCCTTCCGCTCCGACTCTTACATCATGGACCGCATCAATGGGTCTTACGGAAATGGCAGTATCCCCGAGGACGTCCTAGCCAGACTTTCCAACCTCACCCCCACCGCGGAGAGGTTGACCGGATTTGAAACTGGATTCCGCAAGGATAAAGAGCGTCCAAAGCCATATGGTGGCATCAGTGCGAGCAAAGCTTATACATCCGGTACCTATACCTTGAAGAGTATCACGGGCACTGTTTGTGGTGCCAACCCCATGGCTGTCGAAAACCAGCTCGAGTACATGCACGATATCTATCAACCTTGCTTGCCGCACATCTTCGAAGCATTGAACCACCAGCCGAACACCACCAGCCACGGAGATAGTTGGACTTCCTGGCCTTGGCACACTCAGTGGATGCAATCGCACTACGGCACCTGGGACAAGCAGGAGCTCCTCACTCCTCATCTAGGGTACAAACATATCATGACACGGGAATCAATCAATGATGCTGGGAGGAAGTACATCCCAGAAGAGAACGAAGAAGAAGAAGATCACGGCCATGAGGACAAGGTACTGAAGAATTACATTCGGGATCTGTTTGCCGATGCCAAAAAGAACAACACTCGCCTGTTCCTCAGCCATCTGACCCACAATACCCATACTCCTTATTTCATCCCCGGTAAATATCAGGAAATGATGGGACATGCGAATTCCGGACTCAACGAGAAGTTGAACAGACACCTTAATACCATGCAATACCAAGATCAGTGGATTTCCGAGATCCTGGAGGTTCTCGAAGAAGCCGGCGTCGCAGACGAGACCCTTCTCGTCATGGCTGGTGACCAGTAAGTTTCGCCTACATCAAACACCACATCTAGGCCGCCCACTAACCAGAATCCAGCGGTCTATCACTCCCGAATGACGGGGGTATCACAGCCTTCCATGACCCGCACGTTTCCAGTTTCCATGTGCCTCTGTTTTTCTCCCACCCCAAGATACCTCAAATCGAAGTCGACAGCCCCGTTCTCTCAACACAAATCCTCCCCACCCTCTTGGATCTCCTCATCGAAACCTCCTCAATGGATGAACAGTCCACAAAGATCCTGAACGACCTACTGCCCTTGTATGAGGGCCAGTCAATGCTGCGACCCCTCATCACCGAGCAAGATGGCAAGCAAGAATGGCATTTCTCCACCATGAACCCCGGAGGAACATGGGTTTCCATGCGATCCGCCGCGAAGCCATACCGTCTCGTCGTGCCCCTTGTGGCCGACGCCCCGTGGCGATTCACCAACGTCGTCAAAGACCCACTTGAGCTGTCCCCTGAGGAAAACCTTGATGTCATCACTCTGATTGATGTCGTGCAGAATACTGCTGGCGTTGATGCCGCCAGGTGGCTGACTGAGGCTGCCCATGTGGCTCAGTGGTGGATTCTGGAAAACAGACGCCGCTGGAAATTTGATCCTGAGAACCCAGAGTTCTCTAACGGGTTGATTGTTTGATTCCTTGATTCGAACAAGTGACGCTGTGTATAGTCTCCGACTGACGTCTTTATTGCACGTTGGCCTCTGCTGAAAGAAGGTGATACGAATCCAGCGGCGTGCGGTCCTCGAACCGCACAATATGTATAAGAACGAGCCACTGCACACTGCTGTATATAACTTTTGGGAAGGAAGCTCGCTTCACCGCTGAAGTGATTTACCGAACCCCCGGATCACATCGGGTGTCAGGTAGTTCTGCCTTGTCCATGACATATCAATATATACCCATGTACATGTTTTGGGATGCCGAAACGGGAAATAGAGCAGGCCTGTATTATATATTCCGGAGATGCGAAATTGATTTACGTGCAAAGTGCTTAACCAACTGAAGCCGTAGGATCCTTTGTTCGAACATGAATATCGCTTAGCTTTAAGCATACCAGCCGTCTGACTCTTTTGCCTTTCTCATGGCTCGCTCTTTATTGGGACAAGGCAATGCGGCACAATCCCGATCAAATAGTTAGCAGAGGGGTCTTGAAATGAACAGTCATGAGAATCTCCTCGTAGAAATTTGAGTTGTCTAATTTACTGTCGCTTATCGAAGTTCTGGGAAACGCTGTCACTGGCGAAAACACCACCTATCTCGGCGTGGCCTTAGACCTGGTCCGATTGGCGGCATTGGTGTGTGGGGCTACCCGGCATACGCTGTGATTGGTGAGGGAAGCTTTGGTCTCGCATATCTATATCCCAACGTCTATAAACTAAAGCCCGGGAAGATAGACATCTGGAGAAGGTATCTCTTCTCATTTCGATAGATCCTTTTGCCAACTCTACGTATATTACATTCATATCCTGTGGGAGTTACTAAACAGACGCCCTTTTCGTGATAAATGGACATATTTTGTAGACAAAAAAATCTTAGGGGATATAACAACGAGACCAGGAGAAGATATAATGGTAGAGCGTATGAGAAATAAAATAGAATGCGAAATTTGATGGGGGGAAACAAATGCCAAGCTTGTTCAATGGCCTGATCATTATGCTTCACTATGTTTACCACTGTCCGCAACTTGTAAAACCTCCTCCCTATTTCCTTCGACCCCTTGCACAATATCTAGAGCGCCCGGATCAAGTGATGCACTTTTCCTGAAAGAAATGTAGAAGACACCCCCAGCAACGAAGCTCACAATCCCTAGAGATCCATACATCCATACAAGATAAGGGTCCTGTGATACCGGAGTGAGACCAATACAAATCGCTGCCGCAATACCGATCATGAGCCAAAACAGGGCAGAGATAAAAGATCTCAAGCTGAGACAATTGTTATTAATTGTATTAAGCAGTGTCAGGGGGGACTGTTGACTCACTTTTTTGGGGCGTGTGTGAAGGCAAGTTCCAAGCCAGTTACGATAACAAAAGCTTCGGAGATAGCGACAAATATATACGCAGGAGCCTGAATCCACACGTGTATACTTTTAGTTGGTGATATGTAGATAAAGTGTTGTAACACGCTCGCGTAGACCATGGAGGCTGAAACAAGCAGGAAACCGGTAAAGATGCGACGGACTGGGCTGAAGTTGATTTTGAATTTGCGGAGGAATGGATAAAGCCCCACTAAAGGTATGATTGTGAGCAGATGTTTTGGTCTTATCGTTATGAGGAGACGCACAGTCAAGAAGTGGAATGAAAATACACAAGGCGATTGGATCTAGGTTTTGTAGGAGGTCGTTGGGTGTTCCATGCAGCGCCATTTGACCAGCTTGTGAGATAAGATTGTTCCAAATCTGGATCCAACAAATGAAATAGAATGGAAGAAAGACAAACATCTGGTGGGCTTGTAAGCATGTGTTTGTTTTGAAAGATGGAAGTCCAACCCACTCTGCAGCTTCTAAATCCCCGACGGACGTCTGAAACGTACTGATCTGTGTAGCGAGATGAAGATGCAAATGGGTACTTGCTCAAGCGACCGGCAGCCTCAAGGGATGAGGGCTTTGCATCATGGAAGTGTTTCTCCTGTCGGACAATGTTCAGGACTTTGCATGCATCTATAATGGCGGACCCCTGTGGAAGGACCTTAACATATCGCTTCTGGCCGGATAGGAAAACAATAGCCGAGAGACATATTGCACTGGTAACGATAAGTCTTCGCAATATATCGTGTTTCTTATCGGACTTACATTAATGGAATCAAATATGCAAGCCAGAAAGATGCCTTGGCCTCAACATTAACTGTGATCAAGGGCGAGAGCGCACCGACGTTGACGACCCAGTAGAACCACATGAAGAGTCGCTGTATGGTTAATTCGGGGTCAACAACCACGATCTCACCTGTTTTCAGCGTCTTCAGAACTGGTTCCGCATTCTGGTATTGCTCGGCGCACATGGGGGTCACGTTGGCCTTGATTCCACCGGTTCCCAGGCCAATTATGACCATCGCAGCAACCAAACCGCCAAATCCAGCATTACTGTGAATACCGGCCGGTGTTGCGGTAGCGACCAAGATAGTCAAGCCAATGATGTAGACTCCTAGAGAGATAGTGATGGCTTTGAATTTACCGACATATTGGTCTGATGAACTCTTAGCAATAGTTTTGTAATATTGCTGGGGATATGAGACTGTACCTGCGACGATCGCACCAATTATGGTAGATGCGTAAGCCCAGAATTTGAAAAAGTTTCCGAGGGCTGATGCGACTGCTTGCCCTTTGCCTAGCGCACCGGGGAGGTCTGAGCCAGGAACATAGGGGTTACTAGATAGTGAAAGTAGTTAGACTTCCTCCCCGACATATTCGTTTATTCATCAATGTCGGACTTGACGCACTTAATATAATTCTGCAATGGACCGCTGAGGCCAAAGTAAGTAAACCGCTCGCCAAGCTAATGAGTCCGTATTAGCATGCAAATGTGGATTTCGACGTGTGGTAGTGGAGTAGCACACCTCGACAACAAGGATCAGTAGTGCGACAGGTGGGAATTTGTCAGGGATACGCCGGCGTCCAGCGTGGAGATCGGCTGGCGCCTGGTCAATCTTGTGCATGCCATTTATGTGTTCTCCCCGATCATCGACTGCGACAGAATCCATTTCGGCGGAGCAAGACGTTGAAAATATAATCCTGTACTACTCAGTAAAGATGTAGATGAACGTGTTTAATTTAACCAACGCTCAGTCGGTGGAACTGACCAGACCAACCTGGGGTGGCCCACTATGCCCCCGCAGATAAGACGCCCCCACACGATGCCTATCGGAGCCCTAGATCGGAGCCGAGGTGTCCTTGTATGCCGCCAACCGGAGTCCTGCAGTATATCCAAAGTTTATCGAAGGGTTACAAAGATCATTGACACTGACATATCTTGACTGAGAGACATTTACGATTAACTCCACGTGGCTCATTTAGCATTTTCTCCTTTGGCAAATCCTTTTGATCACCAAGCCAATTGCTCCGACCGATCACGATGTCTACTACACAGACAGCAATTGCGATAGAAGAGGACAGGAAAGAATCACGCTTGTCTATCCCGAAAAGGTTCTTGGATGGTTTAGATCCTGAATGGGTAAATTTATGGGAAAGGCATGGTAGCTCCATGGTGAGAGCCGACGAGGTATCTCTCGAAGAATTTCGGAAAAGTCCCGCTGCATACAGCTTCACCTTCCCAACATGCCCAGGTAAGATTGACTCTGCCTTATGAGAGTTGGTTAGTTATAGCCGTCACCCCAACGCTCACTATAATCAAGGACCAGCCGTGTTTCATGTTGAGGACATAGAGGTCCCTGTTTCGCAACCCGCTGGAAAGATTTTGATCAGGGTCTATACCCCTGAAGGGCCAGGGCCATTTCCTGTTCACTTGAATTTCCATGGAGGTATGGCTGTCTTAAAATTGCAATCCTGGTCGCCAGCACTAAATTTCTGGCTTCTATTGAATTTAGGCGGATGGGTTCTTGGAAATCTCAATTCTGAGGCAGCGTGGTGCCGGCACATGTGCAACAAAGCTCAAATTAAAGTTATAGATGTTGACTACCGTCTCGCTCCCGAGTTCCCGTACCCAACTAGCATCTACGACTCGTGGGATGCTGTGAAATGGGTAAGCTACCCCATGCCTCTTTTATCCTGCTTTACTGACGCAGAATGCGAGTACAGACAATTGCAAATGCCTCTAGGCTCAATATTGATTCGTCGAGTGTTTCTATTGGAGGCCTATCGGCAGGAGGTCAAATGACAGCAGTATTAGGCCATTTTGCCCGCGATGCAGGCGTTGACCTGAAACTGCAGCTGATCATTGTTCCAGCGACAGACATGCGCTACTGTCTAAGAACACGAGAGTTGAACAAGGCCACTTGTCCCTATGAAAGTGTCTTGCTATACCATGATGCACCTTGGGGCCCCTTGGGGAGAGAGCAATGGTTTCTGAAATATTGGTTGGGCGATGATGACGGTACGAGTTCCTTTCTCATTTCCCTCGTGCAAATACCTTCATTACTAAACTAACAATTTTTCAGACGTGCAAGAAAGTATCTTGACGAAGGACTGGATTTGCACACCCGTTCTTGCTCCCTCATTTGAAAACCTTGCGAAGGCACACATTATCACGGCCGAGTTTGATCTTGAACGGGATGAAGGGGAGTTTTATGGTCTACTTATGCAGAATGCTGGGAATGAAGTCACAATGAAGAGATACCCGGGCATGCCCCATGCGTTTGCGCACTACAATCACCCAGAAAGAGGACTTTCGCAAAGCTTTGCGTATATTGAAGATACGAGTCGACTCCTTCGGGAGGTGCATTTTGGCAAGAGGGGAGAATAATTTGAGATGTATATGGCAAAACTAAGCGGTATCAATATATATGTGAGATTTGATGTCATATCCGTCAATACTTCCTGTTATCCTTTCTGGAATTTTACTTCGCGCGAATAGGTCTCATAAGAGGCCCGTGTTTAGACCTCGTGGGCACGTGGTTTCTTTAGCCCTAGCAACTGACCTGTAAGTCGGGCGTGAGCGGCTGTGTCGGAGTGAGCATTTAGTCCACCAGCTTGCGTCAAAGAGAATATGTCTATTGTGCAATTGTCCAAGAGTGATTGGCACTTATAAAACGTGTTGTCACGTGGAAGGTGGGGCTTAGTTGCCTCTCAACCTCGTGGTATTCACCCAACCAAAGTCAACACCCATAACTTTCGAAGATTAGAAAATCCTCAGATGTCAGGCAGAGCTCGAAGGTACATGAGCAAGCGAGATCGCGCGTGTGACTCCTGTCGGGCGAAGAAGGCAGCCTGTCGCATTGATCGATCGCCTCCTTGTTATCTTTGCACACTTCATAGGAAAGAGTGCACATTCATGCAGCCAACGGCAAGGACACGGCAACCGTTTTCCAATACAATATGTCCCGTCGTTTCAGATGATGAGTTAGATCCGTGCTCAAGGTTGCACGAGGTTCCAGCAGTTGGCGACTCGGCTGATGATATTTTGATGGCAATTGATGATGGTGCAAACAATCCAGTTGCCGGTATGTCAGAAGGGTTTACTGGTCTTTTTGACCGGTCTGAAGCTTCGATAGCAGGTTTATTTGACGATGGGACGTGGGCAACTGGATTTAGTCCGGGGAGTTTCTTTCACACGTCCCCACAGTTGCCAAGAGTTCGACAGTCGGCCGATGAAGAATCACCACAAGCTACTTGTCCAGCAGTGCCCACAGAAAGGGAGGGCCCTTCCATTTGTCTTGACACTCAAGGTTCAATGACAGCACAATTACTCGGCAGCACTGGCGACATGGACCCTTTACTGATCCGTCGGTACCAGTACAATACATCTGAGGCTTTTCATTTCAAAAATCTCAGTATCCAATCCGTATCGTCAGGCTCCAACCCAATCCAGTTTTTAATGTCAAAACCATCAATATTCGGTGCCAGCAGGGAAGAAAATGGATGCGACAACGTTTCGACGCTTGAATTGAGGCAGAAACTCGAATCCTTGGTACCAGCAGGTATTGGCCTCAGACTTATCAGTCTATTTGATAGGATCGTCATACCAGAATATCCTATGCTCGTTCCACCAGGTCAACTAAATCCCAAGACCACCGCGCCATACCTCCTTGCAAGCGCATATCTAATAGTCGAGCCCTTCACTAAATTTGACGAAAAACTATGCATTGATCTCGCATACGATAAGCCATCGGCAGTCGCACTTCATCAAATTATCAACGAAGCGATTCCATATGAAGTGCATGCACCGAAGCTATGCATCATACAGACATTGCTTACTTTGGTCATTCGACCTTACCCGAACCCAATTGTGTTAGATAGTGGCTTCAAATGGTCACAGCTCGCTACTCTTATTGCTTGCGCTCACACCCTCGGGCTGCATTTGGATCCAAGCTCTTGGCAAATATCTTCATGGGAAATATTTCGGAGACGGTGCTTGTCTTGTCTCATTTATTCGACAGACAAGTGGCTTGCATTGAGTCTTGGGCGTCCAGCTTTGCTGCATTATGATAACTGGCTCGTGACAAGTCTTAGCCAAAATGATTATTCTATTAGCAGCCTTGATCCTTTGGCTTGGTCAAAAATTATGAAGCGAGCGGAACTCGACTCTCTGCTTGACCGTGTCCTAACCCAATTATAGTAAGTCAATCCGCCTGTCTATTAGTTTGCCCTAATTTTGCGACTAATCCAAATTAGTTCTCCTCGTTCCATCAATGCGTTGTGTGCCGATTTTCAGAAGACCATCGCAATAACTGGTCCATTACTTCAGGATCTCCATTTGTGGCATGGACAAGCATCCGCATCATCGAGCCATTCCCGACCATCAGATCAAGGCAGACCAGTGGGGCTAGAGAGGACGCTTGAAATGGAGTACCATTATATTCATTTAAGCATTTGCAGGGCTGCCCTCAGACCATTCATGCAGCCAACTGTTGAAAGGTCGGATGATGCAGAGTATGCGATGGCACGTGAGCAGGCCCGGATCCGAGCAGAAGTTTGCCTCTGGGCAGCGGTTGAATATATTCACGATTTAAAGCCTGAGGATCTTGAAACTGTATGGCCAGCCTGGAGTGCGACCGCATTCTCATCCATATGTTTCCAGATACTCGAAATGGCCGCGAGCTCCGTTGATCGTAAGGAGGCAGATAAGTGGGTGGCTTGTCTCCGTGACGTGCGCCGAGACATGCGCCTGAAGGGCGATTTTCTACCTTGCCTTCATCTTGGCCTTCTGCGGATTGACTCCATATTTTGGAAGGGGGTGGAGAATGTGTTGCACCTGGAAGAGCATGTTCGGCAAGCCTTTGCATCATGATCAAGCATACCACGTCGTCCTCTTGACATAACCGGTCCGGTCAAGTGATCACTCACCCACTACCGCTAGATGAACTTCTAATACAATAAATTCTTTCTAACAGCTACTCCGACCACGCCAGACCTTTTTGAAGTTATACTACTCCGGCGGGGGTTCTATTGGATTCCAAAACCCAGATACTTGCGAAAGACTCCTTTAAAATTGGTAAAGATGGGAAAGATTCAGCTTCTTAGCCAGAACTCAATATCTATACACGGGTAGCAGAACAGACCGCAGCGATACTTTCACTTCACACCTCTGCACCGGAGCCGTCAGTCTTCGCTTTTCCTCCGCACTGCTCGCCTTGCACGTTTTCTTCCACTATAGCACCTATCCACTGTCAGTTGGGCTTGGATAACTTATTGCCTCTACGGCCTAAGATGGTCGAACACACCGTTTCGAAGAACTCAAATCCAGTGTGTAGTTGGGTATTTCTCTTTTCCTCTGGTCTCCCAGTATAACAATTAAGTGAAGGCTACGGAATGCTAAGCCATTTGGATTATTAGTAATCTCGATGAGTCCATGAGCGCAAAAAACTATCCATTATATGCAAACTTTCCCGGTATAAGAATTTCACAACACCAGAAAACCAAAAGAACACAGATAATACAAGCTTAATTACCCGCGTCTATGCGCGAGCCGTTTATGTGCTCGAAGCTTATCTTCACGCCCAAGTCCAAAGGTTTTGTTGCAGTGCGGACATTTCAGAGCCTTCGGAGAGATATGGGTTGATTTGATATGCCGCCATAGGCACGCCTCACGAGAAAATCCCCCAGAATACGTACAACCCTTCCAGCCACAACGGATCAGAGAGCGCATCACACTGTGATACAATCAGAATACAAGGTTATTGAGAAGGGAGGGATGTCGGAGGAACATACGCAGACCTTGATGCTTGGATTTCATCTTCGGAAATGCTGTGTCTTCCCAAGGCATTATTATTGCCGATAAAGTCGGGAACTTCATTGAAAAAGGGATTGTGCTGGTGGCTTTGTTGAAGTTTCCCGGACGGCTCGTACACATTATTCTGTGTGTCCGTATGACAGGACCAAACTGAGCTGCTATCAGACCCGGGCGAGATGCCATGCGAGATAAACGGGGATGATGTTGTGCTGTATGTCCTGGTTTTTTCGGAAGGTGGTTGTAGTGTGGGCATGCATTGAGAATTGGCAAATGGTGTTTCTGCCGTGGGTGTCCAGGGATACGTTGAGTAATAAATTCTCCACTCTCCATCGTTTGCATGGGGGATGAAAGTGTCTGAGTCCCTGTATGGGTTGCAAAAAGAAGCCATCATGGGAATCTTCGTGGGCAAATAGGATGGTGGATGGTGTTGTCAAAGAGGAAATGGTGGGAATGATATGTCGCTTGAGTGAAATGATGTTTTTGGATAGACGCAGGACCGAGAATATAAGCGGTGTTCGTGCCACGAGCCTTTATCCGCTATTAGGGGCTATGCTTCACCTAGGCTGTCTTCATTCGACGGATACGGGTATACTAAACAGAGGAATAATATTTTGACGCAGCAAGCGGAAATCACAGGTGTGTTAATCGTCGCCTTGGATCTTGGCTGTGGAGTGATTTACACACTCCCAACACGGGCAAGCTAAACTTTGCCGACCCTTTGACGCGATCTCTAGACTAGGTACAAAAAGATACACGTATAAATGCTCGCCCCAAAGTACCATTACCCTTTTTAGGTATTGTTGCATTTCAAGGCTATGAACAGCTTCGCCTTTTAGAATTACCCAGGCACGGGACCCGAAAGCAGGGGCCATAGGGGTCTATGAGGGCTTAGCGAAGAACCTGCATCTGCCCAGGTAATATCAGGCGCTCCTCGCTTTAGACTTATCACACTCACCCACCAAATCTATCTGTTTGCTGACTTTGTTAGCCCTGTTGGAGGGAGTTGATATATGAAATCTGCCTTGTAGTCGATTCTCGCCGACGTATGTTTGAGAAGGGGTTTCGAGGGGCATAGCTTGGACTCTAGGGATAATCCATTTACTGCGGCAGGTAGCTTGTACCATAAGACAGTGCATACGAGAAAGTGAATGGCAGTCACATTAGCTCTGCAGATTTTCTAGAATGTTTCCTGATATGGAACACTTCCAAATCCAGAAGTCATCCACATACAGACTAGTGTGTCTTGGCATGTCTTCTTCCATCGACGGCTAACCCCCGAATGCTTGTATAAACATGCTGATCGCAGAGGTACCTAGCTGAACCATGTCCGTTAATGATCAACTCTTAATTGCCGAGAATTTAGGTTACTTGACGTGGTCCCACCATCCGCAATGCGGTTGACAGGACTAGTCCAATTAAGTAAATGGTAATCTGTGAATGTTTCACCTACGGCTTCACAAATGCACCTTCAAGCTCTCTCCTTCCTTCAGGGACTAGATCGCCCATTCAATATAGTCGCATTTTACATCCGTAGCACTCCAGGACTCACGATAACATGCAGACACATCATCTGCCGAAGGCGGTGACTCTATACTTACTAGTTCCGCCCTACGCGAAAAGACCAGCCCAACAAAAACCCGGGGACCGAGCGGGGTTTCAGGGGAAAGTTTTCCAGGCAACCTAATCATTCCAACACTGCACGACGAATCTCATTTATCTATTTATGGCGTCCAGTCAACCCAGTACCCAGTCGAATCGGGTTCCACACCCCAAACCAGCCAAGAATTTAGCCGTTCGGCCGCGAGAATTCCTGTGGGTAGATTACCAGGACGATCGATCGAAGGGCCGTGAACTACTTCGGTCTAAGCAAGCTTTCGTGAGGACGCGACATCATCGATTACGGAGAGAAAAGCAGCAACAATGCACCGCCGGACCGTTCCCCACTGGGCACTGTCCACCGTCCCATACGGCCAATGCCTCAACCCGCCGTGTTTCAAGCGATACCAGTGGTTCCGATGGCAGTTCAGATCAGTCCCCAGTATTAGTCCGGTGTCTCGAAGCGGGGGTACTTGATGGGGGCCCTGGTCTGGCTTTTAGCACAAATCATAATCCGAATATCTACTTCCATCATTGTGAGTACATATTGGACCTGGTATCGAGCTTCCTATTCTAGCCCAGATTTCCGTCAGAACCTTCTGATGGGCTATGGCTAATACTTCAATTAGATCGAATGCATAGCGCAAGAGCCTGCTTCCCTCTCTGCTCCAGCGATGTCACAGTTTGGTTTTGGCAAAAGGCACTCCAAGATCCCACACTGATGCAAATAAAGTTGTCAATTAGTGCGTCTCATCGAGCTGCAATTTTAGCAGCATCGGGTGCATCTACGACCACTGTGCAGAAGCCAATGCATGATGCGATTCGCCTTCGTGTTGGAACGATCAAATCACTTCAATGCATACTACAGGATAAAACCACAATGTACTCCGATCAAACAGTCTTTATTATTGCTCATATCATTGTTTCAGAGGTAAGAGCCTTGTTCTGTTGATCATGATGAATTTTAAATGCCTAAAAATTGGGTGTTGCTCACAAAATCGATCTAGGCTTTGGAGGCCAACATAGAGGCCGTCGACACGCATATGAATGGCATGAAAAAAATAATTGATGCCTTGGGCGGGATGGATATGCTTGACCATGGAACACTTGCTATGGTATATAGGTAAGAGGCAACGACATCCCATATAGATGACTTCCACTCATTCTTTTTCTGTCGGCGCAGCTGCCAATTTTTGCGAGGCATTATGAGCAACTCAATGCCGATGCTCGACATGTGCGCGAAATTTCAAAGGAGAGTCCTTAAAGAGTCTGCTTTCTTCAAATCCAAGAATCGATTTTCAGAAAGCTCCGCTCTTGGTACTCGCTTCTTCGACGCTTCTTGGTCTACGGATATTCACCCTACATTTAAGTCAATAATTTCCTCATTCCAGCAAATTATATCTTACTATGAGAGTTTTGCCAACGTGGATGTTCAACCGATGTCGGTTGAGAATGACTGCTTACTTTTTTTGTGTTACCGATTAATGTCTCTCCCATTTCAGGTTTCACTTACTCCCTTTGAAGAGACCTTGCGGCTCTCAATCATGGCCTATACTTGTGTCCGAATGTGGACGTTATATGGAATCCCATGCCTAGAACGTCTTCTTGAAATGCTGCGGAAAAGTCTGCTTACGAGTCTTTCTACCCTTCAGAGTACCGCGCCTGATTTGCTTTTCTGGATCCTTTTCACAGGCAGTCTTGCATCGAAGTCAATGAAGTCTCATTCATGGTTTTTAGCACACCTGACGGATGTTGCAGACCAATTGTCATTACGAGAATGGGATCGTGCTGTCTCGTTGTTGGAGAAATTCTTCTTTAAATGTCGGCCTAGTGATGAGCCGGCGAAAGAATTATGGTACTCTACTTTCGGACTGGACCTCGTGATTGTCCAGGAACATCAGAAATATTAATTTGAGGGAGCACTGTGAAGTGGAAATATGATACCAAATGAACGTTAATTCCAAACGATACGCCTCTTTATCACTGTTGCCATGGCCTGATTGTTCCTCCTGCTTATTTTAGGTTGGATTGATTCGAGGTGGGCTCCACATATCCGCTTTTCCGCGCGCCATAGGTGATGCACTAGAATTCAGCTTTGCATGAGTGCCAGGAGCAGCTTTAGTTGAACGAGACTAAGTACATGTAACCAATAAGACTAAAATTTCTATCAAACCCCGAAATAAACATCAAATTCCACCGGTCCGTACTTGGAGGGCCATATCGATATAAGTCAGATAGAGATTGGCTTGGACCTTCCTGAAAATGGAAGAAGTTTGCTATGACTATTCACTTCTACTACTGGCTACCGAAATAATATGAAGACTCGGCAAAGTTGGCAGAGCTTCTAATTTCTGTCTATTTTTAGTAGTATACTCCGGCCGGTGTTAGCCTTTAAAAAATATCGTATTGCCGTATCCTAGACAACACTGCATTGGAATCAATAATAGACATGAGCGAGGACTCGAGAGAGCCAAATTAACACCCACAATCGTGGGGTTTCAACCTCCGTTTCACCCATCTGTCGTCCTTCAATTGGTCAATAGGATAATAGGGCTGTTTGTGCTCCCATCTGTTGGTTTCGAGCTACTTTCTGGTATCGAACGAGTCATGCCGATAGAGCCTCACCTTCATCTCACAAAAGCAATACTCTGGGGTTTTTTTGCTTGTAAAAATTGTAGGAAGTGAGAAGCCAGAATATACAAAGTGAAGATCGCATGAATGACATAACATATGGCGTTGAACTATCCGAAGAATGTCATAACATCCGGAAAGGATAAGCGCTCGCTCCATAGCAATTCAATGCAGTTTCGCTTGGGCCTTTTCATCTGCTCCTCGGAAGCATACGATCGTCCGCAAAGATCATTTTCAAAGTGACTGATCAGCACTCTCAATTCACCCGATATAAACATCCGGCCACGGGTCATCCTCTTCGATGAATGCATGTTGCATCTTCATATCGTCGCCATCCTGCATATTCTCCCAGAGACTCCATAGCGCATATGTCCAACATTTCATCCATCCGGGGAAAATATCATACTGATCGATATCCGGGAATGCTTCAAGAACCTTCACATATCTTAAGGGCTCATGGAAATTCTCTGTTTCAGTTTCCGCCACAGTTGCATCTTTCAGCGTTTGTAGAGATTCTTCATCAATTATAATGCACATTCGAAACTTGGTCCATTTATCTCGTATGCCTTGCGCATCCACCCATGTTCCAAAATGAGTGCGAATTTCGTCGAGAGATGCTCCTTGGAATTGTGCAGGGTCTTCCATAATCGTCGATCGGTACTTAGGCCAATCTTCGGAGACATAATTTCGAGGACGATCAGCGCCAGCGCTCACAAACTGCTTTTTAATACAGGCCTCGATGAACCTGATAATGTCTGGGAAAGAAGCATTCGATTCGGCAGAGTAGGTCGTGCGATAAATGACATATCCCCAGTCTGGAAAAACTGAAAGTCTGCCATGGAGTTCTTCCATATTCGCAACTGGTTTAGGGTAGGGTGTAGTCGATGCAAGTGTTTTCAATCGGATTTGGTGGTTTCGCGAAGGAAGAGGATGTGAGGAAGGGAAGTTCTGAGTCCCGGCGTGTTTGCCTTGTTATACACTAAGGGTGTCCATGCCAAGGCCAACTAAAGCCAACCAGATTTGCTAAGGGCAAGTTCCGAGGCCCCCAACATGATCATGGGTATCGATGCCAAGCGTTAGTTAAAATTAAAGCTTTTTACGATGTTTTTAGAGCTTATTAGCTAAGGAAGAAGAGAGATAGACTAGCTTTATTTTTTTTAAAAAAAATGCCTAGTAGAAGCTTAGAAGGCATCAGATCAAGCAAAGATAGATACGCTAGTATTAAGCATAGGAAGTCGTTTAAAGGAAAGGTTGTGCGGAAGGCTAAGGGGTATTATACAAAATATTAAGCAAAGTTTCGAAAGTACTATTATTAAGCAACCCTGAAATTTAATTATATTATTATAGACTATAAAATGGTGGTGCTATATACTGGTGACATCGATTTCCGGGAGCACTGTATGGTATCATCTTGAATACTAAAGGGCGAAGACTGCTAGCGTAAACTATGTGCTGCATTTTTCACACCTACGAGACGAAACCCGCGGGGAACAATAACGAAATATCAGAATGTAAATAATGGAATACAAATGACTGTGAAACCTGCCCTTAGAGGTCTCAATCACGGCGAGCAAGGTCTCGACGAGATCCTGGTACGAGTTTACCAGATCCTGGTAGGCATTTTGCGCCTCACGTAGACGGCGGTTGAGCACCGTCAGCTCCGCGAGGAGCTGGCGCACTTGAGATCTTTCCACGGCATCACTTAATAGCATAAGGTAGCAAATCTCGGTGAGCGTTATCACGTAGTCCCAGACTTAGCGTATGTAGCCTTCGATGACTACTATATTAGCACGTAGAGTTGCGAGCCGTTGTCGATAGGCGGGATCGGGGACTTATGCATTGCCGATAGGGCGTCTAGTTCGTCAGGGGGGCATTCGTTGGCCAGATCCGAATAAACAACGGAAACCATTTCCACCCCAGTGGCAGTTGCCACAATGGGTTGCACCGGGAGTAACAACACAATGAGCTCATGGACCATCTCGTTATAGGCAGTGCCGACATAGGATGATTTGAACGAGCCCAACGACTTGAATCATTGCTTGTTCCACATTCGCCCGCGAAGTCCTAATAGAGCCTTATAGCTTTTCTCCTATCCATGTGACTGTTCGGCCGTATCGTAGATTTGCGAGTCTCTTTGCTTTTCGAGGAGCATAAGGGCTTGTGCTAATTCGGATCTAATAGCGTCGCCATGCCAGAGAACGATAAATCCCCCACGCATGATCGTGTATCGTGCAAAGTTGCAGGACTCACATCTTGCTTGTTTCTTAGACCGAGGCATATTTCGATGTCTGGATCCGAGTCCGAGTCCCACGTATCTAGGGAAGAGTCTGCGGCGCCGGCCAGAGGGAGTACACGATAGAGAACCCATCCTTGTCCATGATCAGCTCGACATTCCCGCTGTCCATAGCAGGCATCGGTGGCGCGACACGCCAGTTGGGGATCGGCCAAGATGCGCAGAGGTCGGTCTCAGCATTGGTGTAGTAAGCAACGAGAGAATTGGCGACCTGGAGGATGTCGCCTGGGACATCAACCGGCGGATGATGAGCGGTCCCCCGGTGAGGAACGATCTGATGCAGATTTCATCGTCGGAAGCCGTGTCCGTCACGGTTTCATGCAGTATTCGTAAGGTAATTGCGACAGAAATTGAGGATTTGCATCTAATACGCCTCAATAAATGGGTAGGAAATAGAGAAGTGGATGTTACCTTCAGTGCTATTGATAAAATGCTAGGGAGTCTACACAGGAATATACCGATTTACTTATTTTTGTCCCCCTAATTAGCCTCTCTTTTTTCACCTCTTTTTTGCCCATTTTCGAGTGCCTCGGGTTAATCATATAAAGATAGGGGTATGAAAGGACTTATTGGTTATGACGGTACGGGCTAATCGAGACATATGAATATAATGTAGGCAATATACAATACTTAATTAGGCCTTAGTAAAAAAAAGGGGGGAGGTAAGCTTATGAAAGTGAGTAGTCCGAATGAACAGCGGAAACTATTTCCACCCTAGTGGCAGTTGCCACAATAGGCAGCACCGGGGGCAACAACACAATGAGCCTAGGAACCATCTAGTCGTAGGCAGTGACGACATGGGACGATTTGAACGAGCCCAACGACTTAAACCACTGGGGACTAGTAGCGCCTATAACTAGTAGCTACGGTGGCTTGGCCCTACTAGTACTCTTACGGTGACTTCGACTACAGCCTATGTCTACACCCCTCACCAGAAGTGCTATAACTGTTCGTTCGACCTGATATTTACTTGATTTGCGTTACCCATACTAACCCAATATCTAGGCGGGGAGGTTGGCCACGTTTCCCGTCAATGCAAGTGTCACGGCCATAAAATTCCTAGCCCGTCAAAATGAACTAGATCTACTAAAAGAGAATCATTTTTTTCAGAAGCGAACATGCTTCAACGGGTTTCGCCTAGAAAGCACTACCCCCTACTATATACAGAGTAGTGTGATAGCCAATTAAACCTGTATAACACCTAGAAGCCCCCTTGAGGAACCTTCTCATGTTGATCCGTCCCTTCAAATGGGTGAATAAATCCTCGCCGTCTCATACAAAACAATTCCATCGAGGGCTTCCACGAGTCATTCCCCAGGTCCATAGTGCCGGCCGTGACGGTAAGCATACTCTCGTACTCTGGGGTCCCCGTCGCAGTCGTGTAGATGGGCGAACTGCAGTTTGAACAGAAATGTCGATGAATCGTATTCTTTGAACCTGGTGGTTTATCGTCGTAGACTTTGAGAACGTCTTCTCCGCTGATGATTTTGAAGTTCTGTCGAGTATGAGTATGGGAGTATTGCAAGAAGAAGAAAGAGTTTCTAGGAAATTTTGAGCCTGAGCTTACCTCTTTCATATACATGCTATTTGCCATGAAGACGGACCCGGTGGTTTTGCGACATGTGTCGCAGTGGCAGATAATGTTGGAGATTGGTTGTCCCGTCAGTTCGTATCGAATTTTCTCGCAGACGCAGCTGCCTGTAATCCCTGGGGTTGTCATCGTGAGAGCAGGTTGAACGGGGTTATTCGCGCCTTGGTTTGTATTTGACCTGGGTAGCTGTATATACTTCATGTTCTTCACACGGCCCCTGCCCCGCTCTTATATGACAAATTTCAGGCGTCCAATACAGCTCGTTGGAAATTCCACGTCTCGGAGTTTAACTGGATAGAGTCATCGAGAACTTTCTGGTTCTTTCCAGAACCTTATCGACTGTTCTACATCAAAACTATCTTTCTTCATACCATTTGCTGCAAATGGTTTAACATCCGCGTAGCAATAAGTGAAACAAATCTACCACGGGAACAACCATCTTTGAATTGACTATATTTGTAGCTAATAGTCGAGATGCCTATGACCTGAACCATCCTATACCGTTGAGAATGAATCATCGTGACTCATCAGCTCCCTGTAATTAACTAGCATGCTGGTGACATGTACAACCAGTTAGTCATCCACCCCGGTGGGGCTTTGTCCGATAGGACGGCAGTCTATTACCGCCATCAGGCCAAAACGACTTCTGCCGGCAGTTGGTAGGAAATTGAGCATTTGCATCTGATACGACTCAATAGATGGGTAGGAAGTAGAGAAGTGAATGTTACCTACAGTGCTATTGATAGAATGCTAGGGAGTCTACACAAGAATATACCGATTTACTTATTTTTGTCGCCCTAATCTAGCCTCTCGTTTTTCACCTCTTTTTTGCCCATCTTCGAGTGTCTCGGGTTAATCATACAATTATACGAAGGTAGGGATATGAAAGGACTTATTGCTTATGACTGTACGGGTTAATCGAGGTATATTGAATATAATGTAGGCAATATACAATACTTAATCAGGCCTTGATTTTCTTTAAAAAAAGGGGGAAGTAAGCTTATAAAAGTGAGTAGGTATAAAGTCGGTATAAAAGACGGTGAAGAATATATATTCGCAGTAAATGACAGATGTGGTTGAGTATTGTCACATAACATATGGCCTGGCGGCTCAATTGTGTGGGATAGGGTACTCGGTTGTGTGTTTCCAAGGAAACATAAGCAGGTTCTGGGCATTGAGGAGATTGATATACTGTGCCAATACACTCACCATGGCAAGTAAGTCCTCACGAGCATCCGATTGATTGGTGTTTGTCTCAACATTGAGGGTGATGAGATCATTGATTTTGCGATGGCTGTCGCGGAGGTATTCCGTACCCACGTATCCTAGAAACTCAGCGGGAGTGGAGACGAGCTTTTTATAAAGAACGACCAGATGTTTGAGATCGAACTCAGGGTACGAGGCAGCGATCTCGAGTATATTGTCAAAGATGTAATATCCCAGAGTGCGAACCTCGCTGTTGGCGAAAACCATGGCAGCAAAATAAGAGTCCTTTGCTCCTGGCTTTGAAGAAGCCCGACCACTATGTATTGCTTGGACATTGTCTGAAACTCCTGACCAAGTCTTATCCGTCTGATATAGGGGCAGAATGGGTTAGCTCTCTTCGCAAAAGTTTCAAGGAGAACCGAGAGACATACTTCTTCGTGGATCTCTCGAACAAGATCCTTCACCTCTTTGGTCACCCCAGTTCGCTGAAGACGAAGTGAAAGACTTTGAGGGCCGGGCTCGGGGGTTGAAGCATCCCAAAGAATGACTTCAGTGGGTTCCTTCGTCTCCAACTGACATTTCCAAACCTTGTTTCCAAGCCAGCGCAGCTTCTCCAAATCCTCAGGAATCACATTTCCACAAGGTGCTGCAGGATGGTGCTCAGTCACCCGACCATACTTTATGGCTAGATGCTGAAACTTTGAAAGAAACACCGTGCCATCAGGCTCTTGTGTTCTGTCGGGGATCTTGTGCTCAGGCGCTGTGTACTACACGATATTAGCATTAAACATGGCAAAAAGAGTCAAATTAGCAACGGCATACAAGCAATGGCTCTGCTGGAACAAGGTGATACAGGTGATCACCCGTGACTAGCGCATGCGTCTGGAGAGAGCGACATGGAAGCGTGTCCCAGAGAATGTCCACTAATGCAGAATTCAATTTATTCATTCTCACCGTGACAGTCACATCAAACTTGGGCCACTTGATTCTGAGTTCACGCAGTGCCTGGCTTTCATTGTGCTGGTCCATGATGAATAGAATATATAGCGATACTCGATAGAATTGAAGGGTAGATTGAGAGACTTTTCGGGGGGAGTATCGTCAAGCCTTGCCTTTTATAGTTGTCGAAGCATACTCTATAGTAAGGGAAAAGAGCTATTGGCATACAGTGACGTTGATGTCAATGTCTGCTGATGTGGTACTACCCAAGTCCTAAACTTGCCGCGACTTTTGTCGCAGCCTTTGACACACAGAAAGAGTTCATGGGTAGAAATCAAGTTATGCGATAGTAAGCAATTAAATTTGTCGACATTCAGTATGGTTACACAGCATTAGTATGTTCACTGCGGCGTTGGAAATTGAAGTTGAGCAGATTATCTCACAAGGAAGGTATTGATTTGCCAACGTCCATGCAGGCTTTTGAAATTCCTTTCTCAGTTTGGCACGATCAACAGAGGAATTCACCTCTTGAGTGACGAGCGCTTTTTTCATCTAGAATACAAGATTTTATTTTCTCATGCCCCAATTGAGTCATTTTGAATACGCATTATAAGTATTGACGAGATATCTTTTAACATAGCAGCCCCTGGCAGATCTCTAACGAGCACCTAGTTCGTTGATTGTGCTGCAATTCGGAAACTAATTTTGAAATGATCGCGGAACACCCCACGTAGCAAAGTGATACCGTATACATCAATCATGTTTAACAAATCTTGAACTCAAATCCGATAGCCGACTCATTGAAATATCATGGCAATTTCCCATGTTTCCTACCCTATCTGTCAAACTCTACGGCCCCCCTTTCGAGTACATTGCGTAAGTATATGCGCGACACGACAAATCGGAGCAAGCACGGGCCTCAATGATGATCGATCGACGGCGTTGGAACCTTGGAATGGCATGCAACCTACAACTTCTGCCAATCCTCCTGTACATTATAGTCGTCTGTAGAACTCCTTAATCGGAAATTATTGACGTATGGTAATATATCCGGTTTGAAAAGTATTACCCTAGAAGACGCATGGCTTATGTCAAATGTTGCTGTAGATGTCGCCGGTGCGGAAGGTGGCAATGACCGGGTGGATTGGAGACTAGTATTCCTTACTACCTCACTGATCGGGTATATTATATAGCTCCAGACTATCCCAGCTCTCATTCCCCCATACCGAACTGAGATCAACAACCGAACCATTTTTCATACTTGCAGACTTCCCTCCGCCATATCATTGACCACAAAGCGTAATGGAGACCAAAGAGAATGATCCATTCCGCAAAACTTGTCTCGTACCGTACCCGAAATTGGACGAGCTTCCACCAAGTCTGCGCGATAAACTGAATATTTTGCCGTTTCGTCGCAACATTCTCCTGACTATCGCAAATTCGCACGGTCTTGCACCCCATTTGCTGGATCTCATCGGCGCCTGCTTCGATGGTACTCAGCGCGGATTGCCCACGCTTGAGTGGCAGTTGATTGTTTTGCGGACTGCCACGAACCTCAAAGCGAAATACGAATACGATGTGAATTTGCCAGTTGCCGAGGTCCACAACATGCCCCAAGAGAAAATCGACAATATTGCTTCTCCTACTTCAGTCATCCAAGACAACACCCAAGGCCCGTGGACAGACCGAGACAGGGTTTTGCTACGATTGGTTGATGAACAGTTAGCGAACTATACAAATGAGGAAAAGACGGTCCGGGATGCTGTGGAACTTCTTGGAACGGATATGGTTGTGGAGGTGATCATTGTTATAGGAATTTATGCTTTATTGGCTCGGGTGATCAAAGGGCTGAGAGTGGATGATGATGCGGAAATTCCAGGATTGAAGGAGAAGCTTAAAGGCGCCATTACGGCTACTAGATAGATTGTGGCTTGAGTTCCACGTCCTTTTGGCTCTCAGGGGCATGGGACTCTGTGAAATAAATACAGGTAACCAATCGAGATCAAAAACTCAGAGTCAGGATCCGAGGATCAATTTCGGAAGGCCCATAAGCATCGCCTATTTCTAAGAAAAGATCTAGGATGTAAAGCGATTATAAATAGGTGACCTTGTAGCGTTGATAGGTAGAGACGTTCTCAGAACGCCCCTGCGAGAGTGTGGTCTTCTGAGGTCCCTAGGGCAGGCTCGTTCCGAACCTAACTTGTTCACTGACCTGGAGATCAATCATCAATGTCAAGCAGTTTCATGGTGAGTTAATTACTCGGTATAACGAGATGAGCCCATCATGCCAGGGGATAAGAAGGCCGTCTTTCTTGCCATCAGATGACCTAGATAGGCTTCTTCCTATTTGGCGATCACAGACCATGCTTCGGATGGAGAGTCACTGCGTGAGTCTGTATGGCGGTTTGGCAATCCTGAACCGCCAAGGCATGCATCCAAGTACAATCGAATTCGAAATTGGCTTCCACGCTCGACATACAGAGTTTGTTTCTAGAATCCTAGATCGCAATGTGCAGGCCAAATACGATTACGCCAAGAATAATCCTTGCCCCCGAGAAATTTGGTGGTAAGGTCTTTTCTTTACAAAGCCCACGATATACCTAGCGTAAAATACCCATGAATATGTAAAGTAGGGATGAGACTATTTAGAAGAAACTGTGACAGAGATGTCGGTGGCGGTTTTGATGCTGGTGGATGTGAACAAGGCCAGAGTACGTTTGTCGAGTGCGTACTGTAGCAAACTGCCGTCGGGTGAGACTTGGACTTTATATCCGCTGGGGAAGGTGGATGGGGGCAGAATAATTTCGGTAGGCGCGTCAATATTGGGATCAGACGTAAACTGCAGCTTGAAAGTGGTCGAGCTCTCAGAAAAGCCGAAGCTGATGGGAGTGCCAGCGATGGCGGCGGGGTATGCACGGCTGTAGTGCTTCGCCAGTTCAGGATAAGGTTGACCAGATGTGCCATTGTACAGGTTCTCGTACGCCCAGCCAATCCAGGAAACCATATTTGCGTCGGTTGCCGCCATGGCATCTGTCAGGCCTTGCATCTGCTTATCATCGCCCATCCAGAACGTAAGCTCGGTCAGCACACCGGCGGTCCTAAGGCGCTCATTGTCCTTGTGGCGGTTGTTGAGCGTGGTGGAAATAGAGCCCAGCTGCGGCGGGCTGTAGTAGTGGAACGAATGCACCGACTTCGAGCCGTCCCCGAGAGGGACGTTGTTGAAACCCGATAAGACGTCCAGGGTAGCGCCTTCAAACCAAATGAGCGTGTCATTGTCCACAGTACGGATCTGTTTCGTCGCGCGGTTCCAGAGCCCTTCTAGGACCTTGTGGTCGGCAACACCTGGCACTAGCAATGTCGGATCAGCCCATGTGTCGCCCACCCACGGCTCATTCAACAAGTTATAGCCGACCACGTTGGTCGTCTTGGCATACTCCGACGCCAGCCTTTTCCAGTACGCCGCAAAGGCATCGCCAAGCCCGTCGTAGTTGTTGTATAGCCGCCCAAACGCATTGCCCACCGCCACCGACGTGTAACTCAGAGACCAGTCAACAGTATCACAAAGCGACTGCGGCGATGGGAAGCCGTTTTCGTCCACAGTGAACGGTGTCAGCTTAAGGGGGAACGGATACATCTTGCTGCTCGATACCCAGTCCTCCTTAACAAACCACTACAAAGCCTTGTCAGTATCAACAGTGCCAAGATGCTATTATCTCTACTTACGTCAGGTACGCCGTGGCCGCATAACTGCCGCGACAGGCAGTCCTGATGCGCGTCCACCAAAACATAGAGGCCATGTTCCTCGGCCATCTTGGTCTGCTTCTTCATGATATCGAGAAATGTCTGGTTGTACGACCCACGCACAGGTTCTGCACCGGCCCAGCTGTGGCCCAATCGCACGATGTTCAGACCCAAGTCGTGCAGATTTTGGACATCTTGCTTGCCAAACGACGAGACACCTGGCACCCACTCTAACGGCCGATGCCACGGCGACTCCTTCATAACGACGTTGGTTCCGTGGAAGAACCGCGTACGGTTGAATTCGTCGACAATCTGATGCGTATCTTGGTTCACCTGGCTGATACGCGCCATGCCTGGATGAGCCTTGTACCAACCCTCGGCATCCTGAGCTAACACACCCGCCAGTAGTGTGCCGAGCACCGCTAGCAGTGATGATGCAGCAGCCATGGGAGTGAACAGCATTTCAATGAAAGGACAACCAAGTCAATCCCAGGTGAGAAACGGGAAAAGAGACGGAATGAAGGAGCGTTCAAACGATAAAAAAAACAAGGCAACACGGGGAGAGTATAAATCCCCTGTGCTGTTTACATAAAGCAGGGTTACATCTTGTCGGTCAAAGTGGAGCCGAAATCTTCCTAGTGTCAATGGTGTATTCAACACCCACATCTCACTAATCCCTAACTAAAGAGTTTTGGGTAGTAGAGTTGGTAGAGTACAGCGAGTCAACTGTAGACTATTTACAGGACAATATATAGGCACCCCATCGCGGCCGCTCGTGAAATACAGGTGCAGCCAGTCACGTCAACCGAGTTGGCGTCAACGTTATTTCGCTTCAGCAGCATCGCCATCACCGCGATATGACCCCGCTCAGCGGCGGGTGCTAGCGGCGTCTCCTCAAGACAGTCGAGAGAGTTGCATGAACGTGTTCATGCTCCAGCAGAGCGGCCACGGTGCCTACGTGGCCCTCTCAGCAGCACATGCCAAAGGCGTGTCACCCTTGTATTCGGCCGAATTAACATCGATGGAGTCTTGCTTTAGGAGCAGTCGTACCACTATAGTATGGCCCCGGGTTGCCGCATGGGCAAGAGGGGTTAACTCCGTGGATATTAGAGCATTATACATAGCCCTCCTCTATCTCGGGCGCCTACACCAAAGTAAGCATCTTTTTTTTGCAGGACAGCCATTCTCGCCTGCAATTCTGTAAGAGAAGGAGAAGAATGCCCTTTTGAGTAGCCTTGCGTCACATGGAAAGACATGAAGAGCCGAGGTTTTGAATGAGGTTGTTCTGAACTGCGAACTCGAACACAGGGATAGTGGGGAACCTGTGGTTCTCCGGAGGGCTGATTGGACACGGTCGTTTGGCGGTTTGCAACTGCGATCCCACGAGCCTTCCTGGCATCGAAGCTAGTTACTAATTACTGTCTGTCGTGTAGAAGGCAGGAAAGCCATCAAATCCTGAGAAAGCCGTTTCTCAAGTAAACAAGGCGAATATTGAATATACTGTTGATATTAGGTACATAGGCATGCTCACTATCCTTCAGCGTCTTGAGAGCAATTGCTGAAATCTTGTTACGTGATAACTTTGTGATGATTGTACAGGCGACATGCGGTTCGGAACATCCACCTTTTAGCTTTACATGGGTGGATGAAAGGGCATTTAGGTACTGCCACACGCCCTGGAATACCTGGTATTGCTCTAGCCCCCGGTGACCAGAACTAGAATTCTAAAGACCATGTAGACGCTCCTGGGAACCTAGTACGTGCCTCTGTGGTCACAGACCCGGGGACCCTTCATAAACCACGTACTCACCAAGCCACGGCGTCAAGGTACAAACTAGAATTTATATTTATGGAAATTTATACGGATTTTCGAGCCAGCTTTCGACTTGCCTTCTCTTTGGACTCCACTGTTTTTCCACATCTGATTCCGCATCATCAAACACTTCTTCTTCGTCAGCGCCTTCCAAGTCCAGCCAAGAATGTTGGTATATGGGTCTTTCGTTGCGAGAATACCCTGTCCATCTTAGCTATTCGAATGTCCTACATGTGGTTCCTTCCGAAAGTAATTGCGAATAGAAATCATAGTTATAATCATCAGGCCTAGCCAAGGTCCTGTTGACTGGTTTATTTGATGCTTTGATAGGATGCCGGGTAGTTTCTGCTCCAGAACCTCGAATTGAACTGCTCTTTGTCAAAATCCATTCCCAACATTCGTACAATGAGCGGCACATTGAGCATGTTGTCGGACTGGGAGCTCTGTATCGCAAAGCTTTGTAAACCCAAAAGGCTTCCAAGCCCGGATTGGAGGCCGATCATGGTCTTCGCAAGTTGTGATGAAAAGCAGCCGGCATTCGTCATCACGACGTATCGATTCACGTCTGTGTTTTTTCGGTCCAGGCAGAGGCTGGAAGATCCAGATCCATCATTCCTGCTCATATGTCACGCAAGACAGAGTTTGCCAGGTCTGTGAGGATTACACCAAGTCAGAGTCTGCCTAGCCGAGGCTGTCGATTTGCTAATAATGCAATCACTGAACTCTTTCTTGCAGAGATCGAATCAAGAACAGCAAAAACGGGGTTCCACCAGGCACTGACAAGGTTACACCCAATATCTGGATTGAAGAAGGTGCTGCATAGAAGAGAGCGTAGACCCCACGTATTGGAACTGAGCGTCATGTATTTAGGAAGCAATTCGCTAAGATCGTTGGGAAGATCTGGAATAGAAACAGAGGAATCCCCGACAGGCTACTTTCGTTCCTGTCGAGAAATTTGTTTTGGAAATGGAAGGAAACTGTCCTCCTCCTCAGAAATGGCACGTAGAGTACTCCAGAAAGGGCGACTGAGCACTGAGCGTAAAGGCTATGGTGCGCACAAAACCGAGAGAGGTATTTGAGAGCGGTCACCGATAATGGCGGCTCTGGCTTGGCGCCCACAAAAGCCTGTCAATCCAGCATGCTTGCCGACACCGACCACGGTGACAAATAGACATGGGGTCAGCACTAGCAGAGAAATGAGGGGAAGGAAAGATAAATAATAAAGATTACGGATTACTAAGAAAGGGAGCCTTAGTTATATCCCGGCTCGTTTTGACAGCAAAACGGGGTTGTTCAGTCCTGCCCCCTGGGACAGTTTGGACTTTGAGACATCCTACTCAACAATCAGCTCTCACCATCTTGCTCTCGATATTTCAGTAGCGGTATGAATGCTGAAAGCAGGACTAAATTTAGCTGTCCTCTCAGAATTTTGTTGATTCAGCGGGGATAGGTCTTTTACACCAAATCTACTAGTGACACGGGATAGACGTGGCGCCCTATCACCACCGTTGGCGCAGCATGCCCCTCAGCCGCATTTCCCAAATGAAGTGTTTTCTGACAGGGTGGGCGTTAGGATGCTTTTTCATCTGCGGGGAGCAGAAATCAGCCATGCAATATAAAATCCCCACGTCCCCAGTATGTACCGCAATCGACGACCCAGGGAAGCTTTTGGAAGAACCGCGAGTAACTCGCAAGGACAACCCCACCCGCGGACTGTGATTCTTAATAATTCACACTACTATTGGTAAACCACACAATGTCTGCCCCGGGCGAGAACGAGTACAACCTGCAGGAGGCATGGGACAGGGCATGCACGTCGTTCGCGCAGACTGCGAAAGTTGACCTCACCACTGCGCCAAAGTTCACTGTCGATCAAGTCCTTGACCAGATCCGAACAAAGCAGGATGAAGACGACGAGCGAAATAACAAGTATAAGACTGCGAAAGATGTGATCGGCAAGACGTTGAACTTCGTCATGGTCCTAGGTGGCATAGCCGCCCAAGGCGCCAGTATGGTAGGTGGCCAAACTGGTCAAAAATATATGGAGTAATGGGTGCTGATGGGATGATTTTAGGTATTTGCTCCTAGCAGTCTGTGCTTCAATGCGATTTCATATCTCATTAGCACCGGAGCAAAGTACAAGCGCATTTTCAGCAGCCTTTCCGAGCTGTTCCGGCGCATTTCCGACGTGTTGGAACGTTGCAAGATCTATATGCGGCTTCCTGCTGACGCAGTTGACATATCACTTCGTAAGATCATCAACGAGGAACTGGTGTGCTTTGTCGACATTTGCGCGTTGTCCATCAAGGTGTTGAAGGGCCATAAAGTTTTTACCGCACTGAAGGTATTTGCATTTGACAGCGACGAGGGTGTGAGTGGCCAGCTAGGTCGCCTGGCAATGTTGGTTGAGCGTGAGTCTCAGATGCGCGCAACTCTGGGCTTTGAGTCGCAGAAGACAAGTGAGAGGAATATCCTTGAGAACAAAGAAGGAACCAAGAAGATCAACGCCACCGTGGACAAGCTACTTAATTTCGAAAAGAAGAAAGATGCAGACAATGTGGTCAAAAGGCTGCTGAACACTATTGACTCAAGCCTCGATACTCCAAGCGAGGTTCACAAAGCATCGCAATCGGTGTACAAGCGCCTTTTGAATGACCAGGTGCCTGGAAGTGGAGAGTGGCTTCAGAGTGATCCCCTGTACACAACATGGGCAGCACCTCAACACTCATCCTGTTTAATACTGGGTGTTTCCGGCGGCGAAGGGTATGGCAAGTCCTTCCTTTTTGCAACCATAGTCCAACACTTGCAAGAAATTCACTCTCATGTTGCCGACGATCTCAAGTGCATTTCGACAGCCTATCACATCTTCCAACAGGAGAAGGGAGAGGCCTCTTTGGTCAAGGCCTTGAAGGTTCTGGCATGGCAGATAGCCAACACAGATGTCGTTTACCGCAAAGATATCAGCTCCACCAAAGTTGACGGTATCAATCAGATAGAAAACCTTTGGGAAACCCTCTTTGCAAAGTCTTACAAAAGCGACTCAACTTTCTTCCTTTTGTTAGATGGCGTTGACCAGATGGACAAGAAACACCTCAAGGACTTCATTCAGCTATTGGCACAACTGAAGGCCATGTCTGGGACCTGGCCTCGTTTCAATCTCCGTATCCTTCTCTCGGGGCGCGATAAAACAATGAGCAAGATCAAGTCTCAGATGGGAGACGGAATATTAATGATCGATGTGGCTTCGAAGAACAGCAATGATATGGAGAAATTCATCATAGACCGCATGAACAAGATGGAGATTTTGAGCGGTTCGTCGGACCAGGTTCTTTCACTCCGGCGCGAGATATTGCAAGCCCTCACAACGCAAACTCATGGCGATTTCGTCAACGTCGGCCTCATGCTACATGAGATTAGCGGCAAACAACGCCCAGGGGAAATTAGAGACATTTTGTCACGTTCAGGAGGCAACCGATCTGACACGATTGTGAGAAAGATGGAACTGTTGAATGAGACACTCAGCGATGAAGATATCTCTGATCTGAACGATCTGCTCACTTGGGTGGTGTTCGCTCCACGCCCGCTAACCCTGCAGGAGCTAGAGGCAGTGCTGTTCCTCAAAACCCGAGAGTCCTCACTGCGTCCACTAGCAGAGAAGATCATAGATCAGTATTCATCGCTTTTCAAGATCTTGGGTGAACCAAATCCCACAACCAAGATCATCCCGCCCTACTCAAGAGTCTTGCTAGTCTCTGACTCGATAGAAGAGTTTTTGCGAACCAAGCCTGACTCTGAGACAGCTGAAGATGAGCAGGATTTGAATGCCACGGGCGATGTCAACGAGGTTGAAGTCAGGATCGTGAAGAGGTTCCTTGAGTCAGTCTGCGACCCGAAGTTGTTCACCAAATTCGGGTTCGACGATTTCTTCCAAAGAAAGCTGAAAGGAAAGACTGCTAGGGTCGGGGTCGATATTGAGAGCGCACACCTTAAAATTGTGAGATCTTGTCTGGACGTCATTCGCTCAGAGCAATCTCCAGGTCTGGCTCCTCTACTCGATTATGCGGTCACCTATTTCCCTGTGCACCTCCAGAAAGCAGACCCATCATTGACACAGCCTCAACAAAAGACCGCCCTCGGACCTCAGCTTGTGAGCCTCTTTTTTGATGATGAAACAATTCAGCGATGGTGGACTGTAGAGAATCCCTGGCTAAGGCATGATTGGATCTACAACGACGAGTTTGCCGATGTTACGCTGAAATGGCTACGGGACTCAGCTGTCACTAAGAATATCTCCGTTGAACAAACCAAGTGGGTGAAGAGTTTAAGTTCTAAATCTGAACCCGATGCAGACATCATCGAGCACATTGGTCGATTTTTGGCTCGCAATTGGCTCCAATCAAGTGTTTCAGGTATCACCGAGGCTTTCGCCGCATTCTATGGATATACCACAAAGGTAAGCTCAAAGGAATCAGGGCGAAGCAGAAGCTTTTTACGAAGGTATGATGACTGATCACATTTTAGATCGAGAATCGCAAAAATCCGACATTCAAGAGATCTACCGGCGACCCGAGCCTGGATGATATCGAGGCCTCCCAGATCTTGGACACCGCGGAATACGCTCGAAAGCATATTGGACTCAATAATTTGGGCTATGAGGAGAACCGAAATTTAGCACGCACTCTTCGAGAGTATCACCAGTATCCCGAGGCCATCGAAAAGTTCAAGCTGGCCTCCTCGCTCGATGCATATAACTGGTTCTCGCAGTGGGGCCTAGCAACCTGCTATGCATATAAGAAGGACTATGCACTCGCAATCGAGATAGTGGAAGGGGCCAAGAAAATTATCAGAGATGGAGACATCGCAGAAGACCATTTGACCATCCCCCACCTGGATCGTGACCTGGCCGAGTGGAATGGAGACGCCGGAAATATCGGTCGGGCCGTTGCGATATATGAAACCCTGCTGCAGGACAATCCCAACGACTATGAGACAGCACTATCGCTCATGATCCTTTTCCATAATGTGAAGAATTATGAAGGTCTGCTCCGTTTCTTAGAGTCACTCAAGGAATCCACGGATGAGAGGACTGGGCTGGACCGGCGCACACAAACATTCCACACGCACTGCAACAATGCGGAATACCACACAGCGATTTTCGCCCTTAGTTCCGACACCAAAGCCTTTGATTCCATCTTTGAGAGCTACGAGGTAGCCATCGCTGCGGCAATGACACGGCTCGCGGAGGCGAGGAAGACGGGGGACAGTGAGGAAGAGGAGTTTTCCCGTGCCTGCCAGGCGATTCTGATGCACCATCTCGCAAACCTTTGCTATGAAAATAGCACCGAAAGCTCTGAGCGAAAGGAAATTGCAATCAATCAGTGGGTACGCATTCTGCAGATGGAGGAGTCGTCCGGTGGCTACACTCTTACGAGCGTCAAATCATACGTGCGCTCCAAGCTTGCGAGTGTCTACTACATTGAAGCACTCCAGGACACAGAAGCTGCAGGTCCTTACATAGAGCAACTGGAACAGCTCGCTGCGTTGA